TGAGATCATGAAGAATTCAGGGTTGTGTGCTAAACATATTCAAGTCCAAGAAAGAATAGAATCCTTTGGATACCTAAGGAGTCACATGACCTGTATATGAGTCATCAGATAGAGTAGTAGGGCACAGTCACACAGATAATCACCAGTCACAGTTAACATCAATAAGAACAATTGAAGAACAGTTAGCTGTTTGCAGTTAGTAGTCAGCATTATCATCAATAACCATCTGTAGTCTGTGCATAGCTTACATTCAAATACTTACCTATTAGCATCCCAATTACCATCACATCAGGATCAATCTTGTACATCTGATCAAGCCAGTCATACCGTCAGAGGTAGAATTGATAAGAACAATAGGTTGTTGCAGTCAGCGGTTACCATGATTCATTTAGCAGTTAGCAGTCAGCATTATGAATAACTATGTATACTTGGTGCATAGCTTACCTTTATCTACTTACCCATAAGCATTAGCAAAGCTATTGATTGCCACTACATCAGGATCAACTTTGGACATCTGATCAGAATAGTCAGCTGTACTGTCACAGTTAGCATTAATGAGAATAGTTAGTTGTTAGCAGTCAGCAGTTAGCATTATTATTATTCATTATCTGTACCCAGTGCATCACTTACCTTCGAAAATTTACCAGTTAGCATCAGCAAAGCAATTGATGACCACCCATGTTAGGATCAATGTTGTACATCTGATCACAATAGCCAGTCATACTGTCATAGTGAACATTAATAAGAACATCTAGTTGTTAGCAGTCAGTGGTTAGCATTATTGTCAATAAGAACACTATCAGCAGTTAGCAGTCAGCATTATAAATAATGATCAGGTCACACTGTCACAGTTAGGATTAATAAGAACAATTAGTTGTTAGCAGTCAGCAGCTAATCGTGCAAGGGTGGAAGAAGGTCCGTAATCTTGAATAGAAATGAAAGATAATAGGCAAAAACAGGGTTGCCTCGATGTGAGGGCAACCCACGAGAAATGTATTTCACGGCCTCGATGTCCTGATCCTCTACGTTACAAACGGACGAGATGAAGAAGAAAAGAGGGAGCAGGAGGGTGGGTGAATGCAAGATACCGCTACCTCAGAAGGATGGGGTAGGAGGAAGAGAGAGGAAAGTTCGACTCTGCTCAACCTGAAACGCTGGTCTCAGAGACCAGGAATATCTCGGGGAGAGGAGATGTGTTACGTCCCCTAGGCACCCATGCGCCCGATTAGACTACAGTAAAAATAATTCTAAACTCGACTAATCGTGCAAGGGTGGAAGAAGGTCCGTAATCTTGAATAGAAATGAAAGATAATAGGCAAAAACAGGGTTGCCTCGATGTGAGGGCAACCCGCAAGAAATGTATTTCACGGCCTCGATGTCCTATTACCTATAAATGTGAGTGAGGGAAAGGGAAGGGGGGGAGATTATATAAGTGTCTTTTGAAAAAGGAAGAAAGAAGTTGAGTGGAGTGGAGTGGAGTGATGTTTGTAAGAGGCCGGGATAAAAATCTGAGGCAGTACAAGTCAGAGAAAATAGTCCAATGTTAAATGAAAAAAGTGAAAAGATCAAATGTTTGTAGCTGGTTGGTGGGCAGGGTGCCCAAATAACATAGCTTGGAGAAGAACAGGATTCTTTCTGATGTAGATCTGAAAGGTATCCGATGCCCATCGTCCAATGGCTTGAATGATGTTGGGAGGTACACCAGCTTCAGCAAGAGAAGTGGCACCTCCAGCACGCATAGATTGGCCTGCAATATCGGCAGGGAAGAAACGACGGAGTCGTTTCATGAACCAGGAGCGGGTCGGCACACTGCCAGACTCACGCAACCAAAGTTCAGGTTTTAACGGATGAAGGGTGTCTCGTGATTGTAAATATGAGGTGAAAAATGAGTATGGGTCGGTTGGGAGGTTTGTCTTTTCGATGATAATCAAGTTTCCTTCATAGAAGCGGTCGGCCTTGTGGCCAGGCAGCCAAAATGAGTAGGATTTCTCAGTGATATCAACAGTGTGCCAGAGGATAACTTTCCGATAATTGCGCTGTGCAGCTTTGTCTGGGAAGGTAATCTCTCCAAGACGCATGAGGCCATGGAAACCTGTCTCTAGCATTGAGAGGAATAGCTTGTCATCATGACAAGTGGAAGACCCTATGGCAGAGATGACAGTTTGCAGATCAGTGGTTGACAGTGGGCGTTTTCATTTTACAGGAGTTCCAAAGCGGCATTGACATCCTGTCATAGTACGTGACACAAGCATAGAGTTGCGGGTTTTCCTCACATCTGGGAAGAAAGGTTCAAGCTGATTGCAGATCCCGGATAGATAAGAATTGACGGAAGAGGGTTTGATATGTGATGACATGTAGACAGCATAAAAGCTGAGAGTTTGTTCAGTGGGTGTGATATCGAACTTGTGGATTTTGCAGAACATGAGATATGAGTTCAGGGCTGATGTGTATGTGATGTGAGAAGAGTTGTCAATGGACATCCCCAATGCAATTGACCGTTCATGAACTAGACGATCAAGAGTCCATGGTTCACGCTGGGGTTGGCGAGAACCACATGAAATAGAAATCATTTATTAATTACCCCCAGCGTAGGTGATCGAGGGGGCTGCAGATAAAGGTAACAATGCGTAACATCGGAAGAGGTGGGTCGAGACATATCAGGGATGAAATTACTGGGAGGACGGGCACTCAGGTCCTTTGTGGCCACCCTTGGAGCACTTGTTGCAAACATGGAGTCGACGACACTGGCTGCCATCAAGCAAGCACAGCCCCTCATTCCATCGGTTGCATGCCTCCTGTTTCTTGCGTGAAGTCGAGGGTACCTTTGAGATAGGTAAGCGTTGCACAACAGCTGCACCAATGGAATCCATGTGTGCGGTTCTAAGATCGGCAAATTTGTCGAAATGAGTGAGCTCGAGATCACGTCGGCTGCCGACACGACGGCGAACAGCCTTGTCGAAAAGAATAACTTGGTCATGGAACAGGATATCAGTTGCTGCAAAAAGTGCGATGATGTACTCAGCATAGTCGGCCAGTTCTCCCGCACGATGAGGGAAAGCCATTGACGTTGCGCGAGATGCTCTATTCCAAGCAATTGTCCACTCCCCCGCACTTGAAACAATTTTGGTTGGGGCAACGGTTCCAAATTTGATATCGAGATCACTGATTGACTCAATGCGCTCATCGTTATTGGATGTCAAGTAATAACCTGTAAGTACTGTGTCAAGGTTGACAGCGCGACCCGCAAGAATGTTCGTCCATTCGGAGTCTGGGAATTCAGGGCATGTGGGTGAGTTGATGAGGGATCGCTTCGTGCCCTTAGGGTCGACTGAATACAGTTTGAGGAGGTCGAGTGAAGCTGTGAGGGAAGGGGATAAAGTGACCGAATGTATGAAATCTGAGACAACCCATGGGTATTGAGACTCATCAGGTTTTGCACGTTTCGTTGGGCGAGACAGTTCCTCCTCATCAAATTGCTCTTCAACAGGTGATTTTGAATGTTGCCTATTGCCGCGGCGTTCGGCTTCGGAAAGGTGGTGTTCGTGGTTTTCAAGGATGACGATATAGCGCGCAAAGGCCTCTTCGACTCCTGTCGGGTCTGCTGGTAATGCGTCGGTGAGTGTGGTGTAGATTCGGCTAAGTGCTGTGGCTTTTGAGATGTTTGAGGCACGAAAGTCTTCGATTGGCTTGTTGCAAGCAGCAAGGGCAGCGATAGAAACTGGGGCATTCCCAAGCGTTCGAACTCGACTTTGCCCAGATTCCGGTGACAAGGATCAGCGATTACCAGAACCTTGTTCACCAGAAGTTGTTCCTGGATGCTGTTGATCACTCGCACCATTGTTACCACCTTGAGTAGTGTCGTTGTTACCACCAGAAATAGGAGTTTCAAGAGGAGTAGGAGTTGCATCAACGACATTGCCAGTAGACATGAAATGAAATGATGAGGATTTGATCCGATGCAACTAAGAGTTGTAATATGAATGCAAGATACCGCTACCTCAGAAGGATGGGGTAGGAGGAAGAGAGAGGAAAGTTCGACTCTGCTCAACCTGAAACACTGGTCTCAGAGACCAGGAATATCTCGGGGAGAGGAGATGTGTTACGTCCCCTAGGCACCCGTGCGCCCGATTAGACTACAGTAAAAATAATTCTAAACTCGATTAATTTAGCAGTTAGCATTATTATTTTACCAGTTAGCAGTCAGCATTATGAATAATTATCTGTACTGGGTGCATAGCTTACCTTTATCTACTTTCCCACTATCATCAGCAAAGCAATTGATTGCCAATTACATTGTACATCTGATCAGGATAGTCAGTTATACTGTCACAGTTTGCATTAATAAGAACAGTTAGTTGTTAGCAGTCAGCAGTTAGCATTATTATTACCTATTATCTGTATTAGAATAGCTAGTCATACTGTTACAGTTGGCATTGATAAGAACAGTTAGTTGTTAGCAGTCAGCATTGTTATTATTCATTATCTGTACCCTGTGCATCACTTACCTTCAAAAGTTACCAATTAGCATCAGCGAAATCAATTACCACCCATGTTAGGATCAACCTTGTACATCTGATCAGGATAGCCAGTCATACTGTCATTAATGAGAACATTTAGTTGTTAGCAGTCAGCAGTTAGCATTATTGATAAGAACTTTTAATTATTTGCAGTTAGCAGTCAGCATTATGGATAATTATCTGTATCCAGTGCATAGCTTACTTACCCATTAGCATCAGTCTAGCATCCTTCCTAAAATGTTCATCTACAATAGTCATCACTAAGCACAACAATTAGTATATCACATATTAATTTCCATTATCAATAATCATCCAGACTTGAACACTGAGAGCTAATGAAGCTGGTCTATTGATACCTTGTTGGCTGGAAGTCTCCCTGCCACCCCTTTCTCTAACTTTACTATAGGTACCAAAGTTTACTACACCAGTGAACAGCTGCATTCTTTTTTGAACAATTTAAATTTTACCCCATGTAATGAGATTTCTTTCTCAATGTGTTTCCTAGGCAAATGCAAAGTTTTTTTTTTTTGATCATTCACTATACTTTCACATGGCCACACCAGGCTTATTATGAATGGAAAATACTGTGTTCATTTTGAAGCAAATGGAAGCATTACATCTTAAATGTGACCAAAATATCTCTTTCATGTGTCACTGAGGCAAATTTGAAGAATATTTTATATATAATCAAAATGTTACCATCACTTCAATGATGCTCAGATAATAAATTTCCCCAGCATGTGCATGTCACCCACATCTTGCCTGCATGATGGGTACAGTTCTTCTGTGGCTTTTCAATTTGCCTCTTGATTATAACAAAATTGCTCACGAGATGGTTCTGGCAAGAAAGGTACAAAATTATACATTCAAAATAGCACTAGGGCCTTTTACACAGTGTTTAGTATTGCATTTAGGAGGTTTAGAGCTATCTGGTGGCTCTGATATTTAAGCAACTTAAGACATGGCTTGGGCTGGCTCAGGCTGGCTCTGGGCTGGGAGCTGTTTAGTGGCTCGGCTCGCCCAAAAACAGTGGCTCACCCTGGTGGCCCACAGCCCTGGGCTGGGCTGTTGGCATCACTATATATTGGTGTACTATGTCCCACTATTAATTTCCCACATCTAGTTGGGGAGGCCCAGCAGTATTCCTGCCACAGTGCTATGCTGACATTCAAAAAAGAAGCTGCTTTGCTCAGAGGCACTAAACTTTCCACCATGGATAGTGGGCAATTTCAGCATGTATGTCAATTCAGCTTGAGGCCCATCTGCATTTCCTAATCCAGTCTTGCTAGGATGACTCTAAGGAGAGTGCCAGGTTTAAAAGTCACCTAACTGCTCGTGATAAGGGTTGTGTTGTGTGTATGGCACAAAACCAGGATGATGATTTGATGTACCTGTATATGAGGTTGATTCTGAGATGTTTATTGGGACCCACATATTTCCTTTGCAGTATTATGATTTGGTGTGTCACTTCCATCTTGTCTGCAGTAGTCTCACTAATATTTTGCTCAGTGGGAGAGAAGAGGGTATTCACAAATTGCTGTTGACCCATACTCAGTTGCTGGTGCTTTTACAAGTGGCCCTAATCACGAGAACACTGACACACACCATATGAACTCAATTTACAATGGATTATTGCTTTGCACAGGGGAGAAACCGTGATTTGTCCATTGAGTAAATCACTGGGCATATGTTGATTGGAGGCATTATTGCTCAATGATTTTCTTCACATTTATTCAATAGGTTATATTCAAAAATAAAGCTGAGATAAAAAGACACTATAGATGGTAGTCCCATGTAAAATATGCCCATTAGTAACAATCTAAATGAAACTGATGAATTTACTTAAAATGTGTCTTGAAATATTGGGCATATTCTGGATACATTTAATAATATCTGGGTACATTGAAATCAAATATTGAATGAGCTGCTGGGGAAAAATTGATGCACATTTTACCAATAGTTCTCATGTGGTCCTTTGTGTACATCCTAATTGCAGTTGATGTTCAATGTTGGGCATATTTTGACTTTACCCACCTGACAAATATGAAGTAAATTATCAAGCAATAATGCCTCCAATCAACATATGCTCAGGATTTACACATTGGACAAATCACTGTTTTTCCCCTGTGTTGTGTCAAACACCATATTCAATTTGGTGCACACCTATTTTCCATTCATCTAGAAGTAAGGTCCTATATGCTCATTTCTTATTCACATGCTCAATTCACTCTAATAGACTCATGTTGTCACCTCTTTCCATCCTCATGCCAGGTATCAATGGATTGACCATAATGCAGCCATGGTTGAATGGCAATACATATTATCCACCTCCCCATAGCACTCTGCTCAAGGATCACTTCAAGTCCTCAATTGCCAGATGGATGTTAGCTGGCTCAGAGTATGAGGAGGATGATGACTTACTGGAGGATGAGGATGAGATATCAGATGTGGAGATGATGTAGCACTGCTGTGGGATGGGGCTAAGGGCTTGACAGTCCTGAACATACTGGTGCTGGTCAGGGATGTTGATGCTGGCTTGTTTTCAGAGTTGTAACATAATACTTGTTACTTGGATGATTTGGTGATCTGTGCTACTCCTGGCAAGGGGGTGGTGGAACATGGATCCCAAACACTAGCTGGGAGGGGGGGGTCCGGCCGAAGGCCAAAAAAAAAAATAGTGACCTGGTCTCAAGGTGGTGGCAGGATGTGGAGAAACTACCAAAGGTCCCTTCCCAAAGATTCAGACCTCTCCAAATTCAAAATTTGAGGTCCGAAAGTGTTCTAAGGGTGCAGAAGGGGGTACATTTCGTTGTTCTGGTGGCTGTGTAGAAACACATGGAATGCTCAAGTGCCAAGACTTTGAGTACTGGCCCTGACGATATATGAAAGGTAATCTGAATTGTAAAAGTCACAGGTTTTCCTGTAATTGTCATGTATGTTCCTCCATGCAAAGACTTGCAGCATCTTTGGCTGTGGTTTAAAAAATAGTGAGTTGATAGGTAGGTAGGCTGGGGCTGTAGGTACAGAATTTTTGAGAATCCGAGACCATAGGTCAAAAAAAAAACACAGAATAAAACATCGGAACTCGGAAAACATACCTTATATAGTAGGAGGAGGGGGGGAGGTCAGCCAAATCCATGAAAAAAAAATAGCAAGTGTTGGTACACTTTCCACGTTCCGCCACCCCCTTGACTCCTGGCAAATTATACTAAACTGAAAATAGAAGAATTTAACATCACCTGTATTCTCTCCCTGCTAGTCCTTCAGGCTAGGCATCACTTGGAGAATTTAGGGCACAGGGAGAGGTCTATTTCTGTACATCCCTTGTGTTGATGTTCAACCCTACCATTTAACCATCAGGGAAAGCCTCAAGCGGAAAAGGATCTGTTGTAAGTAAAATAAAAATACAATAATAATGAAGAAAACCGAAGAAATTTAAAGAGAATGTGTACGATCTGAACAAAAATTCCGAGTCCTGGTCCTGAAAGTTGCTGCGTCGGGAATTGATGTCATCAGCGCTAGTAGATAGAGCACAGCCACCGGCTGTCTTGCAATTCCCTCACAAAATACATCGTGTCACGTACTCTCAACTTTTAGAAAAAGGATCTGATAGAGTAGAGAAAGAAAAGGAAAGACAAAAAGTAATAAAAGTCCAACCTTGAAACAAAGAGGGCGTCGTGAATGGAGCTTGACGCACTACCACACGTTCGAGAAAGTATCACTCCGCTCGCTAATTGTTCGCTTCTCAATATAAAATATCATTCAATATCATATATCATCCTCTGGTCCATCCTCAATCATCTTCGCGTAGTCCTCGTAGCTTGCAAATGTAGGTAGTGACTTCAGCTTCTTCCTTTTCTCGCCTCTCGTCTCTTCCCTCTTCCGTTTTTGACCACCACCAACTGTGCCCTCTGCTATCCCACCCCATTCCTGCTCCTCATCTTCACCAACATCAGAGCCATCGTATTCGATAAGGTCATCGGGCACGTCTCCATCCAGTGAGATAAGATCTTCGTTATCCGAGGCCTCCACTAGTGATAGGGCGTCGGAGTTGTCATCTTCGTCGTCTTCCACTTCGCTACCTTCTTCTCCGCTACCTAAGTCGAGATCCAGATCGTCGTCGCTGTCGTCTTCCATAAGGTCGTCATCCTCTCCTGCAGCCTTGGGCATGGATTTTTGCATAGCCTACACGAGATTCAGCCCAAAATTTCAAAAGATGAGCGGGACAGTTAGTTACCTTCCAGATCTCAGCTTCGTCTTCGTCACTATCGTCTTCGTCTTCGTCTTCGTCCTCGTCCTCATTCGCGCCCTGTATAAGCAACTCTCCTTCATCCTCCTCGTCGGCTTCATTCGCGCTGACTTCTTCCAGGTCTTCCTCCTCCTCCTCCTCCTCCTCCTCCTCCCCGCTCGACTCCTCGTCTTGATCTTTCCGTTTTCCAACTTTGGCAGCTTTCGCCTTCTCTTTCTCGCTCTTCCTCGAGAAATAGTCATAGAAAAATAACTGTTCAAAATCAACGCGGAGCAATTAGGCACCGTCTCGAAGGGTAAAACAGAGACTAACCTGATCCACGGGAATATTAGACCTCTTCTGCCTCAAAAATGCCGCTTCGTTCATCCGGGCCGCATCATCCACCTCGCCCTTCATCAGCTTCACACCCTCGACTCCACTAGCCGCAGGTTGCATAGCACTGGCACCCTTGCCCCCCGTCACACCACCTTCACTAGCCTTCGGTTTCTTGGGATTCTTGTATACGAATCGGTCGAGGAAGTGCGAGAGTGTGTTTTGTGAGAGGTCCGCGCTGGCTGTGAGAGGTTGACAAGATAAGAGTTGTTGGGCGTGTAGTGATATCGCAGGGTGGTAGTGGTTCAGTAGCGGGGTCTATAGAAATATGATCAGGCTCGGGTTGATTCGACGAGAAAAGAAAGGTACGAACGAGTTCCCACAAAGGCGAGGACGAGGCATGTGCGTACTGGGGATCACGTTTGCGAGCGTCATATGACTCGCCTTCTGCTTTGGCGGGGCTGTTGATCATGGCGCGTAAGCCAGGTATACTGCTAAATAGCTAGGAAATGGAAAGACAAATGATCAACTATTTCTCTATCTCAAAAAAGGCACTGACCTCTCCAAGCAAGAACAACCCTCCGGCTACAAACTCGGTAGCACCTCCACCACCACTAACCAATACTTGCACGAACCGTCTGATAAGGGCTTTGACTCTTTCGCCACCGCCCACGCCAGCATCGGCCTTGACAGACTTGAAGAAAAGATTCAAGTACATGGCCTGTTTTGACGATGTCGCAAGCCGCGAGTCGTGGAGGGAGTTGTATAGAGTGCGATAATACCGGTCAACGATAGACTTGGCGGTTGACGATGTAGATGGTGCAGATGCGGTAGATGTTAGTGAGGCACTGATTTGCTGGATCAACACAAGCGCCTGGAGGGAGATGTTGAAGGTTGAAGTGTGCGTTATGAGGAATAGGGTGTCGATATGTTTTTGAACACTATCAAGAAGCGTCAGCACGTTGAGCTCAATGGAAACAGGACAGGGAAATGGAATCGCACCCCGAGTCTCCAGCATCAATCTTTGCGAACGGGAGTGCACGGTTCACACCCGTCAAAATGGCGGAAATCAATTTCGAGTGCGCATCTTCAACCTCAGTGAACCCGGCCGCCCCTTTAACCTCGTTTACCTTGCCCTTTCCCTTTCCCTTGCCTTTTCCCTTACCCCCATCCCTGATCCTTCCACCCTTGTCCGTCTTGAACTCCTTGTTTTCGATGGCCTCCTCCTCGGCGTCCTTGACGTCATCGCTCCCACTAGCACCTTCACCCAACAGTTCTTTAAACAACTCAAAGTAAACGTCGACAAGCTTGAGGGCAACTTCACGATCTCCCGGAGACAGGACGATCTGGTTGAACGTGATCGTAGCGTAGTATCGTGCGTGGGCGTTGCCTCCTCCTGGTTTCTTGTCAGTACCAGAGTTGGCGGGCTTTGGCTTTGACTTTGAAGGTTCCGATTCGTTGAATCGAATGTGTTTGTTCGCTGGCGTTGAAGAGGGAGCCACAGCTGCGGGTGCTGACGGTGGTCGCAAAACGAGGGCCATAATTTCCCGCACGATGACGGTTTTCATGGCCGGATGCGTTTGCAAGACTTGAAGTAAGAGGTGGGAGGCGCGTGCGCAAAGGGGCTTGTCAGTATCTCCCTGGAGAACTCGGTCAGTGGCAAAAGGTGCAGGCTTGAGAAGACACCCACGAGCTTGTTGACTAGTAAACGAAGGAGATTCTGTTCTTGCTCAGGCTTTTCTCTTAATAACGTAGAAATTAGGTTCAACGATTGAGTCCGAACGTAATTGAGGGGATCCAAAGAGAGGGTCTACCGCATTCCACATAAGAAATGCTCATCCGAGAATAAATTCACTCACCTCAAGGACTTGCAAAATGGAGAAAAAGTACTTCTTTAGCCAATCCTCAAAGTACCAAACTAGGAGATGTTGGTCCGTTACCGATGGGTGAAGAAGAGGCTGATCCCGAAAGTATCTAATATAGATCCATCAGTCGACGAAATAGTAACGTATAGAGACGGTACGCACTTGAGTTTACGATTCGGAGCACCACCACCAATCCACCAATCGACGACGCAACGCAAAGCTTTGAGGCTTTCCTCCCTTCCACCCTTGCCTTTGCCCCTCTCGGCCATTCCCTTCAGCGTCTCCAAGGACTTCGTATTATGCAAGGGGCTGCTCTGCACCAACAGCGTTAACGCGCTTAGCCTGTCGGATAGAGTACCGGACTGGATTATCTTCGACAAGAAGCTCGCTTCTGACGCGGAAGAGTTTGACGAAGAAGACGTTTGGAAGGTACGGATGTCTGCTTCGTGCAGGGACTCAGCTTTGGACGTCAAAGACGTCAGCTGGGCCGGCGTTATGGTCGGAGTGGTGGGCAAAGGACTTAGTGCAGGCACTGAGAGGTACCATTGTGAGCTGGGGGGGAAAACAAAGGTTGATTTGTTTGTGAAGGTGAGTTTGGTGGGCAAGGTGGGTTTTGGCGGCTCTTTGACTGGATTAGACTTCGCAATGGGTCGAGGTGGAGGAGCTGTTTCTGGCTTCGTTTTTTTACTCTCCTTTTGCTTTTTCGACTGACGGGGATCAGTCTTCCCAGATGCTTGGTGTGCATCGGATTTTGCCCTCAGTTTCTTGTTCGATTGGTCCTTCGATTTAAATATCAGCTGGACGTCGTGAGGTGTATTTTGGTCCAGGTTGAGTTCCTTCAAGAACTTCGAAACGTCCTTGGAAAGTGCGGGCTAAAAAAAGATATATCATGAGCTTTGAAAGAAGAACGGGAGGCTCACGTCTTCACTCGAGGACCCAGGATCGCCATTGAGAACTTCCAAATCTCCCTGGTCCCGACCAGGTGCCAATTTTTTGGGTCTTGATAGATTTTTAGTCGTCGAAAGACCGCCGCCCTTTTCTTTGCGAAGGCGCGCCATTGAAGAGAGCGCAAAAGCAAAATTATCGCACGTGACGCTTTCAGATTCTTCCCATCAGCAAAAACCCGTGACTATTTTGATCACCTTGGATTCAGTTGCTACTAGTACCAGACGACAAGGATCAAAAGGGCTCGCAATGTCCTTACAATGAGTGCAATCAGTTATCACCGCTTACATCGCTGAGGGATATTTGACAAGATACATTGTCATAGTACAGTAGCAGCATTGTAATGTCACACAATAATTGCACGCATTGCCAAATGCAACTTGCAAGCCAATTACAAGTGGATTTGTATGAAGATAGAATGTCGCCACAATCATCAATTGGGATATGCATATGTACAGGAAGATTCATTTAAATATGGTTGCAGCCTGCACGGTACTAAATAGCCTACGCTTCTCGTGATGCGCCCACATTTGTGCCGCCAAAGATGGTAACGATATCGTCATCTCCCTCGTCACTCTTGTAGATTCAAAACGTTCCTTGGATAAGGTAGTTAAATAAGCGATTGTATTAGAGTGAATTAACAACGCACATTGAAAGCGACGGATGCAATCACTAGAGTGGGGGAACTTGAGAACACATTCATAAAGGAGTGGAGCGGGAGGATCACCTCGTGACGTTCAGAGCAATTGCACTGAATACCAGTATCTTGCGAGTATCAGTCGATGGTCTAAAATTGCGTTGTCAGTGAAAGCTACGGAAATGGTGTGAATCCACGTACCTCGAAATTGCATTACCCATCCTATCGCCCATGGACAACTTCCTCAACATCGAAATGGAGGCCCCATGTCACCACCTCCAAATACCCCCACGCCCGGCACTCTCCCGACGTCACCTTCCTTCGTCGTCATCCAAAGGTCACGTCGCACTCTCCAATACTCACCGCCCACCGCATACTCATGTGTCGTCGGGGGATTCTGGAATTGACGAATTTGTTGCGCTTTTGGTAAGAAGATTCTGCCATAGTATGCAATGTGTCGATGTCAATGTCATCATGAGTGAGTTTGTGCTGGCCAAGCACATACCCAATCATGAAGACATTGCGCGGGGGGAGGGGAGGGGAGAGCGTGAAGTTGGACGTTGAGGGAAAAGTTCACAGGTCCAAAATTTTCCGAATTTGGACGTTCAACATCGACAGGAAAGGCGGAGGGCTGACGAGATGTCGAGGAGGCGGCGCAATCCTGAGAGGAAGCTGAGCCTAGAGAGACAGTAGCTCCGTTGAGCGCCGCCGTACAGTGAGACGTTACGAGGCTGGGTGGTTGAGGGTTGAGCGAGGTGGAATGGGAAAAGGCGGCGCCACCGTGTTGGTTGGATCCGATCCTTCCCGTGACTCTGACATGTTGAAAAACGCTTAAGTCCCATAAAGTAGCAAAGGAATGGTAAGGCGCGGGTGACATAGTTGCAACATCTACAAGCCATTTCGGCTATGGTGAAGAGATTGTAAACCTGTTGTAACGCGTGTTACATATTGTAACGTCTCCCTCGGATTTCACCGACTTACAATGTCTACCAGTTCCCAGGGTTTTTGCTGATGCCCTTCAGCCTTCTTTCAAGTTTTAAATGTTCACTGGTGAGCTCTAGGTTCGGGTTTTCTAGAAGGCCTTTTCCCATCTTACTGATACAACCGTGCGTGCCCTTGGGGAAGCGTCGCGCAGTGAATAAAGTGTTGTTGCTTCGGACGCTCATTCGAAGCCTTTATCACAGGTAACATTAATGAACTTCGGCTCACTTCTAGGAGTCCCAAGCCAGATAGATGACCCATTGGTTTTGGCTTAGGAAGACAGGCCACTAGCTGCCCTGATTTCAACATTTTTAACATGATCCCTTCCGGTCTAGGATCTCCGTAGCCTCTCGAGATCTCTAGGGGCAAAAGTACCCTAACGCGTTCCACTCTGCCATGGTTCTGGTGGGTTGGAGGAATCAGTCGCGGCTTCTACGCCTGACGTCAGTTGAGCTCTTATCCCTGCTATTGGATTTCTTAACGATTCATCTCCAGTTGCGGTTCTTTCCTTTGCCCGTTTCTTATCTCCAATTTCCCGGACGAACAAGCTCAAAGCCGCCTTGTGTGCGTAAGAGGACAAGGGGGCCGTGCCAAAAGATTTCATGATGGTGACACAGAGATTCACGATGAGTGTGTGGCTCTCGTTGCCGACTTCAATCGAAGCACCTGTAGGTCTTGAACAAGTGGTGTTATCGATCAGGATGCGATGCTGGTGAGTCTATTTAGTACGGACGGTTTACCCTAGCATGCGTAGTACAACAGGTGAAGATAAATAAATGTGTGTTGCGAGAGGGAAGGAATGCATAACATATCAGTATCAGTATCGTAGGTCACGGTAATAGTCCCGGCTATTGTGCACGAAAAGTCATAGTCAACCAAGCGAAAGTTGCAGTGAGACGGAAACGAAGAAATTGAGAGGTTGTGAATCGTCCGACGTTCCGAGGACCCAAATCATTCATATGACAACGCATCTCCGCTGCTTCACGATCTTGCCCCATTTTCCCTTCAGGCTCTCCTTCAACGCCAGGTTGAAGACCTCTTGCACGCCAGCACCCGTCTTGGCTGAACATTCAACATACTTTGCCCCAATTTCACGCGCAACGGCGGCTCCTTGTTCAGAAGTAACAGGAACTTGACCCTGGGCACCCAGCATCCGCCGAGTTTGTTCATCGCGTCTCAGATCGGTTTTGGTACCAACGAGAATTAATGGTGTGCCTTCGCAGAAGTGGGCCACTTCAGGATACCACTAGAAAAGAGTTAATGATGATTGAGCGGCTCTAACACCGAAAAGCAGACGTACCTTATCCTGCACGTTCGCAAGACTAGTTGGAAAATCGATGGAGAACACGATGAGGATGATGTGTGACTCGGTATAACTGAGCGGCCGCAGTCTGTCGTACTCTTCCTGTCCTGCTGTATCCCAAAGAGCCAGCTCAATTTCTTTGCCTTCGTATTTGACCTGAGTTATGTAGTTTTCGAAGACGGTAGGTATATAGGCCTGGAAATCTCAGGATGATGGGTTGGGTCATGGCGTTAGAAGGGGTGATGGTGTGAGCGTACCTCTGGAAACCGGTTTTCTGCATAAACAATGAGGAGACAAGTTTTGCCGCAACCACCGTCGCCCACGACGACAAGCTTGCGTTTCAAGTCTGGTCTGCGAGCAACGGAATCCATCGAGGTGGTGGGTATAAAGAAAGGATGTGGTGGAACAACGTTTGTCACGTGGTCGTTAACACGGCTGAAATGCCCACAACGACGCGCACAATATTCTGGCCCGTCGATCTACCTCGCGACGTCTCTGACGGATTTTGTTATGGTTGGTCGGCTGCGACCAAGGTTTGTGTTGCGGGTGTCTTGGACGTTGACACCGAGGACGACGCTCGAGACGTTGTGAGCAGTCTCGACGGAGTTCTGGTCGAGAGTTGTGGTAGCCAAGTCGTCGTCTTGGGAAAGAGCGCAGAGCTGCTGGGCAACACCATCTTTTATCATCGCCACCGTTCAGATTCCCTCCGTTTCTACCACTTGCACCCCGATGACCACGAGGAACACAATCCCTCCCCATACCTTGCTCTATCCCAGCACGATTTCACTCACCGACCCCTACGTCGTAACGACGGATTGGATGACACCTCCATCAACCAATTCAATTCTGCAATGCTTATCGAATCACTCATCTCACCACGCTCGTCCAAGAAACTCGTTCCAAGGACAGCATCCATCCTCTTTGTCGTTGCGTCCATCCTAGCACGGCCCATGCTCCTCCTGATGCGATGCATCGCACCTATCCGAGCGGTCTATCTGCCCTCTTTTCTCCGAGCCTCTGCCCTCGTGCAACAGCTGGATGTCCGCGCTGAGCAAGCCCAGTTCTTCGTCTCCCAGATTGGGTCACTTCAGCGGCGGGACACAATAGATATTGCCTCGTATGCCTCAAGATATACCAAGTGCGTAACTCGCCCGAATTCTCCTCCAGTTACTTACATATGCGACCAACAGCTTCTTCAACACCGTGTGGCTCGTCCTCAACGACGTCACCATCGGTATTGCTTTGGGAACCTTTCTATCAGAGAACCACCATGCCCTCGCACATATTATAAACACCTACGCTGAGCGTTTCCTCGTCGAAGAAATCAAATGGTCTCTGATTTGGCTGGACTCCTGGCCCGCAGGTCTGAAACTGAACACAGAGCTCAGCAGATTCTACTCTCACACGTTTATCGGGCTTGTCGATATTTTTGCACGTGTGTATCCAGTTCTCAGCGTTGCATCTGTAATGAACTTATGGCAGGACCATAGACCTGCTAACAAACCACATACAACCACATACGCCCGTCTTGATTACCATCCTCGGATACGCAAGCATCTTTGGCGGTATAACGCTGGCCATCTCACTCCTCATGGACGTCCTGGCGGTACTTTTGACCCCGCACATTTTCATATGTTATTTCCTTGCGCGAGCCGTGTATGCGCGTGTTGGAGGTACATTGGGGAGTTTATGGGCCCTGTTTAGGGGAAAGCGCTATAATGTCCTCCGCAATCGCATGGATTCTTGGGAATACGACCTTGACCAATTGCTGTTTGGTACCGTGCTATTCACGCTGCTGGCGTTTTTATTCCCGACGGTGTTGGTCTATTACGCGCTCTTTGCTGTAGTAAGCAGGACATGGATTTCTTTTTCTTTTTCTATCCTGTTCTGATATGATGCGCAGCTGCGACTGATCACACTGCTCATTCAAGCAAGTATGGAAACCCTGTTGGCGTTTATGAACCATTTCCCATTGTTTGCGCTTATGCTTAGGATGAAGGATCCTTGGCGGCTTCCTGGTTTGTCCACCTTCTCCTTTGCCCAACGAACGGCTTACATGGTTTTTATCCAGGTGGAGTGTACTTTTTATTTGTCCCTTCTACACAAAGGGGATCACCATCACGGCTTATTCTTAAGGTGTGTTATAGTAGATAAAGAAAATTCTAAGAAATAATGACCTTTTCAATTTCTAGAACCAGCCTGCACGCCTATCATCCATTTTCTTTCAATACAGTGTGTTCTCCTCCTTTCTCCTCATTTCAATGTCACAAACCTCATCTCTGTCGCTTCAAAGTCAAATTGTGGGCTCGGCTTGCACGCCATTATAACCCACTCCGATTATTATACAGTGTCCTGAGTGGCAGGTATTTGGCGGCCATCCCAAGATATGAGATTCGGTATGGTTATGGTGGGAGAGGTAGAGTGTTTGTAAAAGCAGCCAACCTTGGATAGCAGTGTATCCGAATATCTGAGGTAGGATGGTATAGTGCAAAACTTATGCAATTAAACTGACAAACGGCTTAGAATACAACCAGCTGCTTCCGTGTAATTTCTCCCCATACAAACACGCACCAAAGTCGCACGACACTGCAAAGCGGCACCATGACGGGGTATCCAAGCAATCGCTTCCACACTAGCAAAGTGGCCACCTCTGTGACCACCCCAACCCCAACTGACAAGAAGAATCTGGAGACAGGTGCTCCGGATAAAATAAAGATGCCCAGATAAGCCGCCCACGCTATTGGACCCAAAACGGCGCAAAGGTATACCAGGAGTTCAAGGGGGAGCTTGACGATCGACGACCGTGCTAAGAAACAATTGGTCGTCTCGTCGGATGGAAGGGGGAAAGGGATTGGACGTACGGTAGGACCTAATGATGCACCACAGATCGCGCACTGATCGATCCTGGATGCGGCAACCGTCGGAAGATGGCGGCGTATGTAGAACCCAGTTTATACCAATAAAGTTGATGTGTTCTTGACGGGTGATGATGGAGCTCCAGGTTAACGCTGTGGGACTAGCGCTAGACATTCGCTCGAGGTCCATCCCCTCAAATCGAAGCTTGAGCCAGTAAGACAATATTAGCAACAAGACCTACAAAACAGATAAATAGGCAATCGCCAAGAACTCACAATATCTCCGGGGACCATGATATTCCCCAAGTCGACGGACTCGGTCTTCCGATCCCAATCTGTGGTAAACGTCTGACAAGGGCTGGACGCAGCGTGAAGAAGAGAACTGTATCGAAGCATATATAAACCCCTAATATTCGGCTGACAATCAGGTCAATGGATAAAGCGAGGAAGAAGTTCGCACATAGCGTAGCCTATCATTGCCATGTTGGCGGGCGGATACGTTCTGTAACCGTTTTCGCCGCTCATCCCAGGCCCTACCCACCTCATGCTTGGCCTGAATCGATCGAGAGCGGGGTTCTGAGATAGAGAGATTGGTTCTGTCATTGGAAAAGACAACAGAGGGAAGGTTGAGCAAGGGGTCAATTCCTACTTATAACGGAGCCGGATCCACATGTAACACATTTACCAGCTGAGGAGACGAAGGCTCTGGGAAAGGAGAGGACTTTGTGTCGAAAGGGGTGCATGTGTGTTTTCAAACGAGGGCGAGTGGAAGCTGGAATGTTCGATTGAAGGCATTGGCCGCGACAATGAGGGGAGAGTTCCGTACAGCGATTGCCGATGGCGGCCAGTGGATAATTAGCCTGACGTTTGTTCTGTCCGTCTCGAAAGATGTGATTTGGACCTATTTAAACGGAACAATACCATTTTTCGAGTTCGGCACTCCCACCTTCCTCTAAAATTCGTTCCTTGTTCTTGAGCAGATCCGCATAAGTGCTGTGGCATCTTACGATTAGTAGCTACGTCGGAGAACACGTGAAGGGAAGGAGTGAGCGAGCGACCTCGAAAGACCTGGAGGCCACAAATTATGGTCAAGTTTGCCACAAAAGGGAGGACAAAGAAGTCCTGGCGACCATGGGGCTCCTTCATCTGAAAAAACTGCGCAGTATGATGAGAGGGGATTCGTGCAGTACAGGACAGAGCCTTGTAGAGGTTTCTTTTTTCCAGAGGCGAAGCTCGAGCTGCTCCTAAGTGAAGGTCTCGAGAATGGTACTTGACATCTAATGAAGGCCATCGCGCATGCGGCCGTTAACATTGTTGGAGCCACCCGTCTCTTCGGTGAGTTTGTCGCGCCCTATTGCAGAATAATTACAGGTACATAACAATCAGCTGCGACCGCAACAACACCCCAAGTTTCCAATGTCAGGCTGCGGGCGCGAGCTGCTGATGAATCACAACCTGATTCGATAGGAGGGTTAGGGTGCGAATATTAGATGTCAGAATCAAGTCAGAATGACTGTACATGTGTGCCGTAGTGCAACAACTCCAACTTGCATTAGACGAACATCATGTCTACCCTCGATTCTCTACCACCCGAACTTATCCAGCAAATTTGTGCAGAGGTATGTGTGTTCCAGTCCTTATTGACATACATATCCAACCCTTTCGTTCTTTTCTATAGTTGGGGAACAATGTGACAGAATTGCGCCTCGTTTGCAAGAGGATGAGCCGGATACTCGAATCACACGTTCTCCGATCAATTGCCATCGACATTACGAAGCTTCGACTCGATGTTGGCATATCACAACTCACGACGCTGGCGACGCAGGGCAATCACGCGGCGACAGCCACACATGATCTGCACATCCGGAACCTCTGTCCTCTAAAGGACCCATTTGGTCGCTCGCCTACTTGGGCGAAGCCGCCCACTCCTTACCCTCCTGAGGTGAAGATTGCCGAGGAAAAGATGCACGCCATGCTTCAGGTGGCCGTCGCCTCTTTAAGCAACTTGCGAAGTCTCAGGTGAGTCGCCCATTGATCTTTCCAAGTGCTCCGAGTTAACATCTGCTGCAAGATGGGACATTGGTAGGTGCGATTCAAAGTGGACCCCCAAAGCGGTCATGAATGCCGTCAAAACTCTTCCCCTCCTTGAATCCTTAGAGTTGATTATAGAAAGTTCTGATGCGGCAGACCTCCAGCTACAATGTCTACGTAATCTGCAGAGCATCAAGATATCTGTGCGCAGGAACGATTATTTCATGAAAATCATTGAACCCCTTTCGCTCTTGGTTGCGAAATCGCCAAACCTTCACACCCTTCATTTGGGACCTACGCACCGCCCAGCTGCATCGCTTCATCATCTTTTGATGAATTGCCCTCCAAACCTCGTCTTACCGCTAAAGCATCTGGGTTTGCAGGGATTCTCACTGAAGCTCGACAGCATAACAATTCCTCATCTCCACCGCCTAACGTCCCTGACGCTACACCATTACACGGAGTTTGATCCAGACTTGCATCCAGACGGGATATGGGCGATGTTGAAGACCACCGATGTCCGTCTGAACGGCATTGATGTGACCCGCGTCTCTACCACCCTTCTCGATTATATCTCATCGTACTCGGGATTGAAGAAACTGTGTTTGGCACGTATGGACATTGAGACTCATGAACAATCTGAACTTGCCGCCAACCAATTTTATAACCTTTGTTTAGGCAAGCATACGAGCTCTCTTGAAGAACTCATCGTCACGGCTGATGATGAAGGAGGGTGGTGCCTCGGGGATCAGGCTCTCGCAGTGATCTCGCTATGTAAGAAGTTGAAGATCCTCGAGGGTAGCCTTGTTTCGGCTGCCCTTTATAAACGCGTTGTGAGTTGATGTGTTTTTTCCGATGGTGAGGCTGTGCTCAGGAATGGTGTAGAAGTCGTTGATCGGCGTTACCACCCAACTCCCTCGCATGGAGAAACTGATCGTTCATCCTGCGGACGTGGAGGTCTTCCCTTCGTATGTCGGTGATTACCAATGGATGAACCATTTTGAGCATGTGGAGGAGCTGCTCTCAGATTGCATTAGAGAGTATGAAGTAACTGAGTCTTCCGAACCCGTTCCCTTGATCCTCGTAGGCTCAAGGAAGTTTATGATGACGCCGAGTGAACGTGCTCGAAGCGCTGGTGTAGCGTTGAGGTATCAGTGCGACTCTGATGAGCCTGACGCCGGCGATTGCGATTTTTGAATACTAATAGTAATTGAGGGGAAGGGAATACACTTCAGCAGCAGGTGTATCAAATGTTCTTCTGAAGAATAAATAAACTTCAATGTGTTTCTCTTCTAGTACCTGCCTCCGACATACTATATTAGCCTGAAGTCCGTCACAGGTGACGGTGTATAACAGCGTTGATCATCACTACTAGTAACTCGGTTGCTCAGTGAGATAACTCTCAGCTCGACAAAACATGCACTTGCCATATGCATCATGCTTACGGGATGGAGATCAGTTAGGTTCACTTCTATTTAGCATTGAGGAAACAAAACGAATTTTCATTGGAAGCGCGTAGTGACGAGGGAGAGGTAGAGGTAGAGGTAGAGCCTGAGGTATATTCCGGAGCGGTCCCAATGAGGAACAACCGGTTCCCGATACATAGTGGTAGCGTCTAAATACAACTATGCTACGGAGCACACCACACAGGAGTGCAAATTACAAGATCTTGTATGATTGCTTGTATGTTTATTATGGATTACATCGTGTACTGGTGCGGGTGGGTTGTCGGACGACCACCTTCTATTTCCAATGACTTAGACAGATTTTGGGAACACCTCGACTGTCGAGGCGGACTGCGCTTGTGTGCTGTGAATATCATTTCTACAGCTTGCCACAAAACGAAAGGACCAATGAGTTATTGACAGCTGCGCGTCAGCGGATGGTCATGAGCCTTCGAACGAGCCAAGAGCTTGGAAACAAGTCAGGTCCATCGTTCCCGTGAAAGGATGTTTAAGCCAACACAGATCGCGGCAGCGAAACCGGGTAATTGACCTTTACATAGACCTTGTTTGACGCAGGGGGTCATGAGCTCAGAAGAGATATGTTGGTGTGGCCAAACCTCTCCGTATACACAGCTTGGGTATAAACGCAACTCTCCGCAGCTGAGAACCACTAGTGACGATCGAAGTGACACGACGAGTTGATAGTCCAATGAGATGAGTTTGGGAAGGGTCCCCAAACGAACAAGATGTCTGAGTGGAAACGAAGCTAGGAAAGTACCTCGTCCAACTGCTTCCGTAGAATTTCCCTCCATCCAAACACGCACCAAAGTCGCACAACACTGCGAAGTGGCACCTTGATCGGGTATCCAAGCCATTGATTCCACACCACCAAAGTAGCCACCTCTGAGACCACCCCAATCCCAATCGACAAGAGGAACCTGGAAATAGGTGCTCCAGGTAAGACAAAGATGCCCAAACAAGCCGCCCATGCTATTGAACCAAAAACAGCGCAAAGGTATGCCAGGAGTTCAAGGGGAAACTTGATGATCGACGACCGTGCTGAAAAACAATTCCGTTAGCAGGAAGAGAAAGGAATGAAAGGGATTGGACGCACAGTAGAACCTAATGATGCACCACAGATCGGGCACTCCTTGATGATAGGCGGGGCGACCGTCGGGAGATCGCGGCGTATGTAGAATCCAGTATACAATATAAAATTGAATGTGTTCTTGGCGGGTTATGATGGAGCGCCAGGTTAACGATGTGGAACTGGACTGAGCCATTCGCTCGAGGTACATCCCCTCAAATTGAAGCTTAACGACAATGTTAGCAACAAGGCTTACAAAACGAATAGATTGGCAATCGCCGAGAACTTACGATATCTCCGGGGACCATGACATTGCCCAAGTCGACAGACTCCGTCTTCCGATCCCAATCTGTCGAAAACGTCTTACAAGGGTTGGACGGAGCGTGGAGGAGAGAAGTTAGAACTGTATCGAAGCATACATAAACCCCTGATATTCGGCTGACATTCAGGTCGATATATATAGGGAGGAAGAAGTTCGCACATAGCGTGGTCTATCGCCATGTTGACAGGCGGATAGGCCCTGTAACCCTTTTCGCCCGTCAACCCAGGCCCTGCTGGTACCCTTGTGCTTGGCTTTAGTGGATCGTGAATGGGGTTCTGAGATACAGGGATCGGTGCTTGCATTATTAGAGACGACAGAGGGGAGGAAGTCATAGAGAAGTAGAAAGGATTGGTTGAGCAAACTGCTTATAACGAGGCAGCCTGTGGTTTATAGGACGCAGAACTTTGCGGAGGCTTGACATTTGTCTCGCAGAGGATACCAGTTAAGAAGACGAGGGCTCTGGGAAAGGAGAGGACTTTGTGTCGAAAGGGGTGCGTGTATGATTTCGGACTCGAAAGATGTGATTTGGACCTAGGCAATCCCACCTTTCTCTGAAATTCATTCCTTGTTACAGATCCGCAAAAGGGCAGGTGAACACGTGGAGGGAAGGAGTGAGCGACCTCGGAATGCCTGCAGGCCACGGTTTATGGTCAACCGCAGGGGTCAAAATTTAGTGTAGCAAGAAGGGTTCGCACTGGGTTCGCCACCAAAGAGAGGACAAAGGAATCCTGGCGGCCATAGGACTCCCTCATCTGGGGAGTATGATGAGAGGGAATTGGTAGAGTACAGGACAGAGCCTTGTAAAGGTTTCTTTCTTCCAGAGGAAATGGAGCTGGAGCTGGTACTTATGCTTGACATCTAATGAAGGTCATCGCGCATGCGGCCGTTGTTGAAGCCACCCGTCTCTTCGGTGAGTTTGTCGCGCTCGAGGGTTGAACGTTAACGTTGATGTTTGAGCACAGTTGTATCCAGATCTATACATTTACCAAGTAACAGTCATTCTGACATCTCCTCACACCCCAACCGTCCTTGCTATCGATTTGGTTGTTGTAATTCCGGCTTACACTCAGCAGCTCGCACCCGCAGCCTGGTATTGGAAACTTGAGGTGTTGTCGCGGTCGCAGCTGATTGTGTCGGTCCCGACGGCAACGAACAAAATGTCCCTCCAACTTGCATTAGACCACCACCATGTCTACCCTCGATTCTCTAGCACCCGAACTTATCCAGCGAATCGTTACAGAGGTATTTATATTCCAGCCCTTATCGACATAATACCTTCAACCTTTACATTGACTCGTTCCTTTCTGTAGTTGGGGAACAATGTAACGGATTTGCGCCTCGTTTGCAAAAGGATGAGCAGCGTACTCGAATCACACGTCCTCGGATCGATTACTATCGACATTACGAAGCTTCGACTTGATGTTGGCATATCGCAACTTACGACGCTGGCAACGCAGGGCAATCACACTGCGACAGCCACACATGATCTGCACATCCGTAATCTCTGTCCTTTGAAGGACCCATTCGATCGCTCGCCTACTTGGGTGCTTGACCCAGTTACGGAGAAATGGGGGGAGAAGCCGCCCACTCCATGCCCACCCGAGGGGAAGATCGCCGAGGAAAAGATGCAGGCCATGCTTCAGGTGGCTATCGCCTCCTTAAGCAACTTGCGAACCCTTAAGTGAGTCGCCCATTGATCCTTTTAAGCCCTCCGAGTTGACATTTGCTGCAAGATGGAACATTGGTAGGTATGATTCAGAGTGGACGCCAAAAGCGGTCATGAATGCAGTCAAAACTCTTCCCCTCCTTGAATCCTTAGAGTTGATTGTAGGAAGTTCTAACACAGCAGACCTCCAGCTACAATCTCTACGTAATCTGCAGAGCCTCATGATATCTGCGCCCAACAACGATTACTTCATGAATATCATTGAACCCATCTCGCTCTTGGTTGCGAAATCGCCAAACCTTCACACCCTTCATGTGGGACCTACATACGGTCCAGCTGCATCCCTTCATCAACTTTTAAGGCATTGCCGTCCAAACCTCGTCTTACCGCTAAAGCACCTGGGCTTGCAGGGTGTCTCAGTGAAGCTCGACAGCATAACACTTCCTCATTTTCGCCGCCTAACCTCTTTGACGCTACACCATTACACGACATCAGAGTCTGATTCAGACAGGGCGTGTGTTGACAAGGCAGAAAGCTCGCGTCCAGACGAAATATGGGCGATGTTGAAGACGACCGATGTCCGTCTGACCGGCATTGATGTGAATCAGATCCCTACCTCCCTTCTCGATTATATCTCATCGTACTCGGGGTTGAAGAAACTGCGTCTGGCACGTATAGACTTTGAGACTCAGGAACAATCTGATCTTGCCGCCATCCAATTTTATAACACTTGTTTAGACAAGCATACGAGCTCTCTCGAAGAACTCGTCGTTAAGGCTGAGTATGAAGGAGGATGGTGCCTCGGGGATGAAGCTCTCGTGGTGATCTCGCTATGCAAGAAGTTGAAGATTCTTGAGGGTTGCCTCGTTTCGGCAGCCCTCGCTGACGCTGTGGTGAGTTCGTGAGTTTTTTCCAATGGTGAAGCTGTGCTCATGAATGGTGTAGAAGTCGTTGATCGACCTTACCACCCAACTTCCTCGCATGGAGAAACTGACCGTTCATCCTGCGGACCTGGAGGCGTTCCGTTCGTATATGTGCGGTTACCTTTCAATGGCCCATTCTGAGGACGTGACGACGCGGCTCTCAAAATGCATCGGAGAATACGAAGTAAATGAATTTTCCAATCCCGTTCCCTTGATTCTCGTAGACTCAAAGAAATTTATGATGACGCCGAGTGAAGGTGCTGGTGGAGCGTTGAGGTATCGGTGCGACTCTAGTGAGCCTGACGACCGCGATCACTGAGCAGTAGGAGAAATAACTACAATTCAGCAGTACTTAGGTGCTGTAGTAGGGTCCAAGAAAAAATGAACTCGAATAGACTTGAATTTAACTTGAATATGTTTCTATTTTAGTGGCCTCACCAAAAAAACATCGCGGTGTTCACGGAATTATGCAAACGGCAGTACTTGACTCAACAATGTTCCTCCAACTTTTATTAGACCATGATCATGTCTACCCTCGATTCCCTAGCGCCGGAACTTATCCAGCGAATCGGTGCAGAGGTATGTATATTCATTGCATCCCTTATCGACAACCCTTTCATTGACTCGTTCCTTTCTGTAGTTAGGGAACAATGTTACAGAATTGCGCCTCGTTTGCAAGAGGATGAGCAGCGTACTCGAATCGCACATTCTCCGATCGATTGCCATTGACATTACAAAGCCTCGACTTGATGTTGGCATATCACAACTCACGACGCTGGCGACGCAGGGCAATTACGCAGCGACAGACACATGATCTGCACATCCGTAATCTCTGTCCTTCGAAGGACCCATCCGAGTAAGTACTTCCCTTATTGCATGTTGGACCCAGATACAGAGGAACGGGTCGAGCGACCGCCCGCTTCATACCTTCTGGAAGTGAAGATTGCCGAGGAAAAGATGCAGGCCATGCTTCAGGTGGCCATCGCCTCTTTAAGCTTGCTTTAAGCAACTTGCGAAGTCTCAAGTGAGTCACCCATTGCTCCTTTCAAGTGCTGCGGATTTAACATTTGCTGCAAGATGGAACATTGGTGAATACGATTCAAAGTGGACGCCAACATGTCGGAAAAACCCGGGAAGCCTTATAAGGCAGGTAAGGCACGTAATCACCTGAACGAATTACACCACCATTTGTTCAAAATGCTGATGGCATCTGGCATGAATCTCCGCTTGACAGATTACTGATGGAGGTCGCCCTGGCATGGAGGGCAGGTGTGTCGGAGCTTGGGGCGTAAATGTTAGAGCCAGTGGCTCGACACCTGACCCACAGGTTTTCAACTCTGCTCAGGAAGACCTGTACCGCCAATTTTCTTCGGGCGACGAAATGATGTACTTGAGATACAAATTATTCATAGTAAGATAATAAAATGATACATTGAGCACTTCCAAGTTCTTACAGGTAGAAAAGACACGGAATCCTGAGCTCAACATGAAAAGGCCTGTGCGAGAAACTCTCCAAAATTTCCCCAAGTCGTTTAAACTCCGCCCTATGTTTGGTTATTTCCAAACTTCAACCAGAACCAAACTCACCTTCCTCTCCACCACAACCGTCTCTCGCCCAGTTGCTTGCTTGCTCCCCTCATTATTTCTTGTTTTCATCTGTGTTCCACTACCAAGTGGTCTGCGCCCCATGTAATCCTCCTCATGTTGTTCCGTTGGTTGTCCTTGTTACCCACCCGTGCGTCTGTGCGCGGTCACCACCTGTCACTGTTCTGGGCTTTTGTTCCTGCCCATTGCCTCTTTGTAGTTCCTCCCCGACAAGTGGCCACTTGCTAATACTGACTCTCCCGGACAGGTTCACTTTCGCATGCGCCATGTAGCGGCAGCCGCAGTAGACGCGCGCCTATCACCATCATCAAACCCAAGCTTGGCTCTCCAGACAACGTCTCAACGTGGTATCCGCCCTCCGCTACCCTCCTCTCATTCAACGAGCCAGAGGCTCCGCTTTGACGCGCCTTGTTTGTGGTTGCGCATTTGGCGGACAGCGCAAAGGGTGGTCGGGTGGGGGAATGTTTTTTGAACGGAAGAGCAGACACAGGTAGTAATTGGAGCTGCCTCATTTCTCACATCCTTCCATACACCCTATACCTTTGTACTATGCAGCCTGTTTATAATCCTTGCTTATGAAAATGTGGCCAACGTCATACTTCTCCTTGCCCCTTGTATTTTATGGACTAAATAAGAACATGAACACCTAGTACAAATATGGCCAGGGAGAAATATTGAAAATATAGTGAATTTACGTAGGCTGGGCTGCCAGCTGGTCCCCAGCTGCCCCAGACAGGTAGTGCCAAGATCGACCTGGGCACACCCTGCTATTAGTCGGATTTCGATCATGGTGTGGACTCGGATCATTATTGCCTGACAGGTGGGAAAACATGCCACACAGGGTTTGACTCTCAGGTTTTTCTCACATGCCTGTCATTTGGCGGTGTATACAGTGCTTTGCACTGCCGTTTGCACAAGGAGTTTTGGAAATCGTGTTTGTGTGTGTTGTACTGTGACCCTCAAATCGGAAAGTGAAAGACCGCTTACCGGACCCAACATCCAACAAGGCCTGCAATCTCCTGCTGTGAAATATGCCGCTCATCATGGCGAACAATGATTCGCGCACGCATCTCATCCGATACCTGAGGCACAACAAAAGTTGGGTTTGAGAATTACAAAATTCCCAAAGTCATCGTAATGCGTGACAAAATGTGACGAACATACAATACCAAACATAATTTTCACGATTCCGGTGTGCAAACGGCAATGCAAAACACTGTAATCCAATTATAATCAAGGAGAAATGTACTATAATACAAGACATGACCATTTTAACGCAAAGGGACAATTGTAAGGTACCACTCAATTGTAAATGAAACGAAAATTTGTAGTGAGCTCGTAGCTCAATTGTAATGTGTGATTTTCTTACTAGTCGATCTGCGGATTTGTAGTCGTGTTGTTACTTTGTACTGTTGAACAATTGTTATTAGAGGGAATCGAACTCTGAACCTATTGATTACTTACTTTGTTATGACATGCTTACTGACTTGGCTATAGTTACCACTTGGTTATGGGGACATATTTAGCAATAATATCTAGCTTAATTTGTCATGACGAGCGCTAGGCTCGCAATACAGTTGATACAGAGCACTGTTCTCGCTCCTCGTAAACTTAGCTAGATAGGTGAAAGAACAGTAATAAGTAAAAAAGTCAGTCCATAATGCAATAAACAAGTGAATCCAGTCAATTGCAGTAGCTAGACATTGATACAATGCAGATGTAGTAGCTCAGCATGCTCAATCGCCGTTCAACGGCTGCTCGTCGACGATGCCCTCACAATGCTGGACCCAGCTACTTCGCATTTGCCTTCGATTTTGCACCACGCGTCTGCCAACTTGGATGAGCGAGCGCCGCAGGTATTCCGGCACCTGAATCAGCATCAACTTGAACAACCGAAACCTGTTTTGGGCGTCGACCACGGGGAGCTTTAGTGGGTGGCGCAGGCACATCAGCAACAGCCTCAGAGGTTGAGGGAACTGGCGTGGGGACTCAACGACGTCCACGGGGTGGATTGATTGATTGGGAGATGGGCGCGACAGGAGCAGGGGTGTGCACTTCCACGTTTGGATGCAAATCCGGCGCCCGTTCCACATCTGAGTGGGCGTTCACGCACTCTACATCGGTTGGAAGGGTCTGGGGGAGTGGGAATGAGCTAGAATTTTTTGAAGTGGGAGCTGAAGAAGTGTCGGCTCCCATACGCAGTCCACGGAACATGGAATCGAGACCTGGGTTTTCATCAGCGTCAACCTGGACACGTGGTGCTTCTTCTTCTTCGTCCTGTGAGTCGGGAGCGAGGAGGAATTGTGGAAAAACTTGCATGTTCCAGTATTGCAGGAGCTTTCGAACGGTTGGCGCATCCTGATTTTCGATTAAAAGCTTTTTGTAAGCTTCTGCCTCGCTTGCGTAGTTGATTCCTGTAAGTTTTCCGACGCCATGCTTGTTCAGCTCAGGATCACCTCCGAGAAGAAAACAAATCTAATAATTTTGTTAGCCAGAGGACTTATATGCCTAATGAAGAGCTGTGAAGCGTACGACAACTGCGGTGTTGCTAATAAATCCAAAGGTAACACCATCTACACGGCCGTGAAAGGGACTGTTTTTGTTGAATGCAGCTCTCTCCAATGTGTATGATCGTGGGCCATAGGCGATGAGACGTGCCATCTAGTATTGTAAGTAGTACGACGAGTGTTTAGAAGTCCATTAATGAAAATACTTGAGAAATACTTATGGAGATCAAGTAATCACTTCTGAACATGCCCTCTTTGTCGTGAATATTGCCATTAGTATAGAGAACTGGTGCATTTGAGGGGTAGCGTGCTGTAGGTGTTTTCCCGCGGGGGTTGAAGCCAAGAAGTGTCGCAAGTTCAGGATTAGCTTCCATGCGCTTCTCGTCACACTTGGGATTGTAGTCGAAGAGGCTTTGGTCAAGGCCAAAAATTGCCCCTGCGCTCCCACGCGTGCGCAGAAGTGTGTTCGAGCGGCCTGATGAGACGCTCGCTCGGAACTAATTGAGCACATTGTGAGTTTTTATGATCTATGCGAGAGGGAGAGATCACATACAATACTTCGGAAATTCTCATGCTTCACCATGTAGTCATGGTATTGAGGAGGAACGCACATGTAGAGCTCTGCAGTTTGGCCGGCTAATCTTGTTGTTGAATCGAGGTACCGGTCCTCGCTATCCCATGTGAAGTCAGGGCAAGAAATATCGAATGGGGAAGGTGTGCTCTGCTGAATCCAGAACGAGTAAAAATGAGCAAAAACTTTCCCTAGTTTACCGATTTCTTCGTCGTGTGCAGCAAGTTCTTGCGACGGAGCTTTGGAGCCTTTGTTTTGACAACGGAAAGTGGCAAGTTCTTGTTTTAGCTGTTGGTTCTCAGCCTTCACAGCATTGAGCTGGCTATGCGCATCGTGCAGTGCCTGGCCGAAGAATGAAAAATTAATAAAATCGGAGATCAAGGTGATGGCCATAAGTCAGTCAGTCATACTTACCTTAAGAAGCACGGCAGTGTCCAATCCAGCGTGAAGCTCTGACCCGACGCTGCCATGACTGGCTGTTGAGTTGTCAGATCTGGATGTGGAGATGGAGTCAAGGCCAATCATCGATGGTGTGAGCGACGTCATCAGAATAAACTAAGGGGAGCTTTCACGAATCACAAGTGAATCAAGAGTGAAAAGAGAGTGGGGATGTGTTTGCTGCGAGAAACTGCCTTGTTTAAATGAGAAGTGCATATGGTACTGTTTCCTAAATGCATGCAACGGTGAATCGGATTTCGCTCCGGAATTTTGACAACATGCAGTATGCAAGGTCTACAATTTAGGTGTAGATAATTTGATCTGTTGTTGCATTATTGCGTGTCAGCTCGAGTAATGGAAAAATGAAAGAACAAGGTCGGGCCGGTGACTAAAATTAAATTTCGGTAACTTAACTGATGATAATACATTTTGAAAAGCATGGGCCGGAGAAACTTTGCCTTGAGGCCAATTAATTACCTCATCGACATGCATCAGATTAAATAACTCTAAACTTTTGAATGGGTGCCGATCTCAGTAGCACTTGTCTTGAGTAAACTTTGATGTGAGAATGAGTGAAGCAAGAAAGGCATGATGAGGGCAGAGAAGGGGGGGGACGGAAGTGGCGGCAGAGGCATAACCAGTGCAGTTGGCAACTTTGGCTTTTGGATTCCTTGTCCATCATTGGACTTTACGGATGTCAGACTGGATTGCAGTATTGTTTCTGGGCAGCTAAAAAAATCTATTATGCAAATGGTATCCATGGTGTCGTTTGACATGATGCTTGCAATGGTGGCTTTTCGGCTTTGGTAGCAGGGACAATTTGGCTGGTGGGCATCAATTGTGCCAAAGGAATGGACAAGCAGCAATGTTCTTGATCTATGTAACCATTTCTTTGTTAATACTTTTACAGATCATCATTTGTATCAGATACTACACTAATCTATACCTCCTTTTTTATATAATTCTTATTTCTATATTCTATTTATATCAGAGTGCCTCAGGTTTTCATTTCCATCTGAAGTCAACAGTGAGTGCCACCAGTGTGGGGAACATGGAATAATGGAACATTGACAGAAAAGCATCTCAATCTTTAAAATTTCTCTCACAATACTCTAATTAACAATTTCTATGGTAGCCCTTGGCCTTTCAGAATTGCTTCAGACAATTTTTGGAAGGATAAGAATAAATGCAAGAGCTTAATTTCTGTTTGAAGCATCATCACCCTTATGAACACTAAACCTATTGAAGTTACTTCAGATTCAGTATTGAAGCCTGCCCTTAAATATCTGCCACAGAACATCAAAATAGCATTATATACAACATTGTGCTATGCATTTTGCTTAGAACACAGAGCCTCTATCCTATACGCCGTATTTGTGCCAACCATTCATTTGTTTGGCTGTGTTACCTCCCAAGCTGGCCTGCACTGGTTTTGTTAGAGTTATTAGAAGATATGCCTGTTCTTATTTCACAATGAATTTAAAATATATAGGAAGCCTTTCTTTATTTCTACATATTTAAATTGTTTTCAGAGCAACAGACTATTATTGTAGTGTTCATTTGTGTGAATATGGTTCCCCAATGTATTGTCTGCTTAGTCATTCCCACATGGCATCTTCGAACAATGTAGCACTTCATCTGAGTGATCAGCAATTGCATGAGACCCAGGGGGACTTGATGTGTGTGATCCTTGCTGAACGAAGGGTTCTGGTTAGGGTCCACCCTGAAGTTTTTCTTGACAAAGCACAGCTGCATCGCCTGGACATCCCTACCTAACCTTCAACACAATCCAAAGGCTACCTTCATCAATGTTCACTTGAACTGGAAGCTGTTGAGACTAAGTATATTAAGCTTTTAAAGTTTTCTTTATGTGTGGCACTCATCTTCCTCAGCCTCACATACAAAGACACACCAAGACACTGAAAACCAACCTTGAGCAACAGAACAATTCATTGCAATGTTCAGTGACCTAAATCTACTCTGCGTGCAAGGGGTAATGACTTCATCCTCAACCACATATCCGAATCCATGTCCATCACCAGATACTCATCTGAATATTGTGATCCATAATCTGTTGCAAGAAGACCTCCACGAATGATTGATTCAACGGAGATAAAAACTGAGAGTGAGCGATGTCGGGCCTTGACTCGATTGAAGCAAAGGTCATTATCCCGTCCACGATTCTCCAAATCAGGTGGAAGATCCATGGGTAGGATAAGTGCCATGTGATACTCCTTGTCAAGAACTTGAAGTCCAAAAATGTAGAGTAAGCGTGCAAAGATATACTTCTCCTCATCAATCTTGACAATGATGCAATCATATCGTGGCTTGCCATGGAATTTTGGGTTGGCACGAAGAAGGTCGGTGGCTACACACCAGTCATCTTTTGATTCATAGTTAACTCTTAGCAATTGAAAGGGATTGATCTATTGAATTCAGATACCATCATAAGTGGACAAGAGTAGTCTTCAAAGGTCAAAATTTACCTGATCACTTGGTCCAAACCTTACTGATCTTCCAAGATATCTTGTAAAAAAGCGTCCAATCTTCTTGCGAAAATCTTTGAATGCAGAGTCTGAACTGTGTTCATCCTCAAGGTCTGAAAATGCAACTGGTGCACATTGAGAACCCAAGGATACATGGGCCGTTCCAATGATGTTTCGTGTCACCTGGATTTGGCTATCTTCAGCAGATGCTTCTGCCTGGGATAAATCAAGGTAGTCAATGTCATCGCGGATGACAGTTGCAACTAAATCGGCATGATCAAATTTGAGTATCTTATTTATGTCAATTTAAAACAGGACTTTGAATAGTTAGAGAATTTAGCAAATACCTGTGGTGCAACATTCTTGAAATTTGTTCGGAACTTGTAGCTGTTTTTGAATGCACCATGACATTTTTCATTGGGCTTTGTATTATAGTTTCGTGTCACCCCTTTTCGCTGGATATCGTCAAACATATGCTTATGTGTATGTGCTTTTGGAAATGACCACGATTTAGCTGGGTTAAATGGCATATATTCCTATATATATAAAGGTAAATTGTTAAAGGCAATGTAAACCAATTATTGTACATACATGAAGTGCTTTCTCAAAAACCAACAGTTCCTCTCGACCTTTTTGAATAGTTGTCTCTGTATGAACCTTGAGAGATGCATACATATCAAGTTCAACATAGCTTCGCAGAAGCTTGAGTAGCTGATATCCTCGAGGAGATGCTTCCTTTGTAAAAATATTGTGGAGTGCAAAGATAAGAACCTAACCCAGGTCATGAAACTTGAATTTTGAGAGGAAATTCAAAAAGCTGACTTACTTTCGACATGTCCTCATACTTGCTTCCATCAGCAAATTCACCTGTCTTTATAATGGAGGTAAAGTGGTTTAAACCACTCCAAGTAGGGAGAGCATCAACCCTGTAAATAAAGATAAATATATTCTATCTCAACAAAGAGATCAAATCCATACTGGGTATCAATCAACTTCGAGACACCCTTTCCAAGTTCCTCAGCTACACTTTTAACCTCTTCCCAGATATGATCTGAGAATAAACCTCCATGATATGCATGAAGGCGATCCCAAGAAATTGCTCGGTGAATATCAGTGCGAGGAAATTTCCAAAAAACATTCTTTGGAAGTAAGTCATCAGTGAAATATATGAATCAACCCATTTGAATGTTACCTCAACATCCCGAAGACCAACATTCTTCAAGGTTTCTTCTGTCTCAGAGGCATTAAGTCCTATTGTGGACTTGTAAATCTTTTCCATGTCAGAGGAAAAACAAAGGGGAAAGTCTGATGAAAGGTTGGCAAGCTGATCCCCAGGAATGAGGCAGACTGGGCAGGGAAATTTGCTGTTGACCCCACGAATGAGGGCAATAACACATCTGCACAGAAAATTGTGAAGTTCAATGTAAATTGCAGATGTCAATACTTACTGCTCCTCATAGTCTGCAGATGCAATAAGCACAATGGGAAACATCCACCGTTCAATATCAGCAGTTGTTAGGTGGTAGCCAGTTTCTGCATATTGCTCAACAGACTTCAAGATTTCATAGAATGCCTTATGCCAGACAACTCTTTTGAAATTCACATATTTCTTTTTTCCAGTTTCACCTGAGTCTTCTTGCAACTGCATGGCTCTATGGGTAAGCTGCATGCAATTATAATTGATGAGAAATCTTCTTACAACTGGAAACCATCCAACACAAACTCTTTTCCCCCTCTTTTCCCCATTTCGAATCGATGTTGGAAGATGGGCACAAACAGCAATGGCAGGGTAGCCCTTTGCAGTGCCAAAGGATGATAGCCTGTTTTTATCTGCATACACCATGAAAAAAAAAGGAACTGCTCCTGGTGGAAGCGATGCCTAGTTGATCATTAGATATCATGATAATGAGCAGATGGGACTTCACAACTTACTTGAATTTCCCACCATGCATCAGCTGTCCAGGGCTCATCAATGAATCGTTCATAAGTCTCCCCATTAAATCTGTAATGATGTTCAGCATCCCAATGAAATTCCCTGGCAAGGTGGGGGTCGAGAAGAAGTTCCTCAGCCCAACTCCACAATGGACGCGTCCAAACGTCAAAGGGTTTATCTTCATCATTATACTCTACTGTGATTGTTGTTTTCTCAAACTAATATAGTCAGATCACTTTTCCACCTGCAGGTGAACAAAATTCTGCTTACCTTAGTTGCCCGATTTGCAGCATTCTCCCAAATTTTTGACAAGTCAGGTTCATTTTTCAAGGTAAAAGACTTGGGGTCTAGAATACATCGATGGATGAGGGAGATGAGTTCATTCGTTTGATTCTTATTCATGTGGGTATCAAGAATCAATTCTGCCAGTTCAAAATCGAGACGAGAACAGAAAGGTTTCCATGGCTCGGGATCAACTGGAATGTCAACACTATCGAGATCCTGGAAATTGCTTTTGTACTCATCAAAGCTAAAGAATTGAGGTTGGCGTCCGCTTCTTGGATGGTACTCCACTTTGATGTCATTGAGCTGTGGTGCCTGCTCAAATGGACTAGAGGACCCTTCGTCAGTATGGACTTCACCATGGGGCTCGGTGTTGTTGTTATCGGTGTTGTTGATCGTTTCATTTTCATTGAATATTGCTATGTTTGCATCATAGGCTGGGTAACATAATCAGATGTGTGCTATCAAGTAATACTTACTATTTTCCACATTTCCTGCTTGCAATTGAGTATGTGTATACCCTAGATTGAACTGATCAGCTTGGAAAATCAAGAAAAAAGTGGAAGGGAGGAATGAATGCTACCAAGAGGAGTGTAGGCAGAGCTTGGCCCAATCACAGGGATAAAAGGGTCTGGACCAAGGCTATTAGCCAGTAATATGCCATCAAGCACTGTACAGCTTACCCAATAACCCCTCTTGTTGTACCTGTTCCTCAAATGCCCTGGATCTTGCATCTGAAGCAACTGCCTCAGGACGAGATTTGCATGATTTTTGGTGCTGTGTTATGCCCTTTGACTTGAAAGGAAGCCCGCAAAAAGTGCATAGAGGGTCTAAAACAGAAGGCTTTAGTGTTCCTTTTGGACCTTTCCCTTTGGGAGGCATTGGGAATGAGGAGGGACGACAGACGCGCGTTCAGCGCGGCGCGCGCACTTTGATTACAGGACAAACATTGATCTTATAATGCAACGTGACCATTATAACGTGACTACAATAGCTCCCGGTAGCCTTGTAATTTATTATTATTGTAAGGCATCACGGATTTTTCCGACACAGCAGTCCTGAATGCCGTCAGAACTCTTCCCCTCCTTGAATTCTTAGAGTTGATTATTGGAGGTTCTTATGCGCCAGACCTCCAGCTACAATCTCTACGTAATTTGCAGAGCATCAAAATATATGCGCCCACCAACGACTACTTTATGAATATTATCGAACCCCTTTCGCTCTTGATTGCGAACTCGCCAAACCTTCATACCCTTCATTTGAGACCTGGGTACGGTCTACCAGCATCCCTTCATCCTTTTTTCAAGAATTGCCCTCCAAATTTCGTCTTACCACTAAAGGATTTGGGTTTGCAGGAATTTGGCAGGAATTCTCACTCAAGCTCGACAGCGTAACACTTCCCCATTTCCACCGCCCAACGTCCCTGACGCTACTCAATTACACGACATCGGAATCTGGTACGGCGGAAAGCTCGCATCCGGAGGAGATATGGGCGATATTGAAGACGACCGATGTCCGTCTGAACGGCATTGATGTGACCCATATCTCTACCATTTCTCGATTGCATCTCATCGTACTCGGGATTGAAGAAACTGCGTCTGGCATCTATAGACCGCGAGACTCAATGTGATCTTGCCGCCAACCGATTTTATAACCTTTGTTTAGTAGGCAAGCATACGAACTCTCTTGAAAAACTCGTCGTTGAGGCTGAGTATGAAGGAGGGTGGTGCCTCGGGGATCAAGCTCTCGCAGTGATCTCGCTATGCAAGAAGTTGAAGATCCTCGAGGGTTGCCTCGTTTCGCAAGCCCTCCATAACGCTGTGGTGAGTTGGTGTGTTCTTCCCGATGGTGAGGCTGGGCTCACGAATGGTGTAGAAGTCGTTGATTGATGTTACCACCCAACTCCCTCGCATAGAGAAACTGATCGTTCATCCTGCGGACTTGGAGGACGACCGTTGGATAATCTGTAGTTACCCAAGTGGCTCAGGGAGGGGCCATTTTGAGACTGTGACGACGCGGCTCTCAAAATGCATTAGAGAGTACGAAGTAACTGAGTCTTCCGAACCCGTTCCCTTGATCCTCGTAGGCTCAAGGAAGTTTATGATGACGCCGAGTGAAGGTGCTGGAAGTGCTGATGGTATCAGTGCGACTCTAGTGAGCCTGACGACAGTGATGAGTCTGACGGCAGTGATGAGCCTGACGACAGCGATTACTGAACGGTAATTGGGGAGAAAGAGCTACAGTTCAGCAGTAGATACTGTACGTTACCAAATGTCAGAATAAATGAACTCGAACATGTTTCCATCTCAGTAAGCACCCTCCGACGACGAAGCATACCAGCCTCGAGCTCCGTCACAGGTAAACGAGAAGTGTCTGAGAGCGTTGATCATTACTACGCTTACGAAAATCGATTGACTGAAGGGGGGGTCATAAAGTATCTACATTATAATGTAAGAGAGCTGCAGATAGCAAGCAGATAGGACACTTGACTCCTCTCCGAGGTGACTGTGTTCCTTCTTGGTTCCATCGCAGCTCCAACTATTCTGGCGTCCAACTCATCGTTGGGGAAGTCTCCTCGCCGTCCCTGCTTCAAGGGGAGATTATATTTACAGCGGTAATCACCATATCCCGCGCAGGCTGGTATAAACGAAGTGGCTGCGAAGTTCAAGTTATCCAATCCAACCTTCCCGTTCTAATATCGACGCAGAATCCAGTTCGACTTCATCCGTAGTGGTAAAAGACGTGATGGGCTGCACAGACGTGAAGATCTCCAAATTGTTTCCATATGCAGAACGGGAACGAGACCCATGATTATTGGGAGTGAGGGGCGGGGGTGATTCTGCACGACACTTGAGAATCTGGAGCACCACTCGGTTGCAGACGATGGAGTGAAGGACACGCTGAGGACTAGGGGTAGAGTGGTTTGAGCACTTCTCTGGCAATGTGCGGCAAACAAAAAGTGGACGTACAGGGTGAAAATGCCCTTGAGTTCTAGTGGCTGTGAGATGTGTCAGCAGGTGTGGATAAACAATTATGAGTGGCCTTACAAGGCATAGTCGAGGAACGACGATGTTGATAAAAGTAATACCTAGAGTGGGGAGAGAATGATTATTGAGGGCCCACGGGCAATCATTGACGACTAACATAGCATGCAGACGCAAAAGAAAAGGCCTGGGTGATAGCGTCAACATCAAATCAAGAAAATCAAGGGATTGCCTATACCATCCCGATATATTTCTTTAACCCAAGAAGAACGACTTTGTCTCACTGTAGCAATAAACATTGAGCGATTGAAAGTGAGAGCGGGTGCCCGAGGCTTACCGTGACTCAAGGCTTTTATCGCCGTTAAAATGACAATTACTGACACAGCGATTGAGTGAGCCGTTCAAAAGAAAGTCAGCCACTTACATAGCTCTATCAAAAAGATAGTTATATATAGCGCGGAGATTTTATCAGAGGCCCCCCGAACCGGACATCCACGAGCCGGAAAATCCAAGGGCGAATCTTGGCAGTGAGTAATTGGAAAATAAACTTCATGCCGTATTAATTATGTTCCACTCACATTCAATCGATGCCACCAAAACCGTAACAATGCTAATGGCGATGATCCAAGAACACTAGGTTCATGGTTATTATCTCGAGTGCAATTAATGAAGGTGATCGCAGACTCACGATCGCGACAAAGCCCAAGGCATATCCAATGAAACGATTCGTCCCCCAAAAGGCAATCGTGCGGAGTATAATAATGGCTGTTAACAATAAATTGAATGGACCCCGTCCTCTTGATATATAAATCACACCAACTTTGCGAGATTATGGACCCTATATTGAAAAGACCTGGATAGATGACACCTAATCAGCAAGCGCAGGTTTTGCTCATTCAGAGAAGACTGAGACGAACATATTGCGAGCGAGCCTTCTATTAAACAGGCCTTCAATATAATTCGGTAAAAAGGGACAACGTGAAGGGGTTTCAAAGCCAAACCTGTCGACTATTCACAGATACTTGCACTGTTGAAAAAAAAAACCACCACAAGTTAATATTTTCGGGAATGGAGTGGGCCGCTGATTCACGTACGCTGCAGTAATATCACTTGGTCGACAAAAGGCAGGTATCGATTGAGGTAAAATAGAGGTAGGGCTGGAGCCCAAGGACACGACCACACATAATCAACCTAAGGGAAAGGGACCATACGTAGATCCGGATATAACAACACTGAAGACTCATGTCGAATGGGTAGCACGCACCTCTTGTTTGAACGTGCATAAATAGTCGTACGCCTATAAATGCACATGTAAGTTGGTAATAACTCAATGAAAGGGTAAAAGTACAAGGACAGTCAAACTCGCTGACATTACCCAGCCCTCAACCTCCATAAGTGCAACTATACAGTCAAGGAAACAGTAGAAGTAAGAGAGGTAAACGCGGCTACCATTTGACGCATTCACTATGGGCGAACGCTTACGCACCAGGTGGGTTGAGTGGTGCCAGTGGGTTGAAGAACAATGTCAAAATCCACAAGTGTATATTGGGCAACGCCTGGGCGCCCAATGAAAATGCGTGATGCGGCGGCTGCAACGTGGTCGATCAATTGAATTCGGAGCCCTGAGTATGGTAACCGAAAAAGGTCAAGACGAGGTACGCTGAGGTAGCTTCGGAAACTCCCTAAAAATCTGCTGATGGACCCACAAGTGTAGTTCCAACTTCCAAGTTAGTTCCCAAGTCAACGATGATGACAACGGAAGCAAACCGGAAGTGGCACACAATATATAATGAATTCCGCTACAACAAAAAAAAATCACGAAATGCTCGAATGAACAAAAGCTAACCAGAACAGACTGTATGACCAAACGCCGCTTGAACGGAACACAATTACAATGTCCATAAGTTACAAGACGAACCACAAAAAATGAAATCCTATACGCTCAATCAACGTTCTTGATGCTACCAGTCGAGTAAGGGCCATATGGACCAGGGTTTCGTTCGCGGTGTCCGCCTTGTTTGCGCTTTCGTCTCCCATTAGCATTGCTGGGCACCGAATCACGCTCCGGACCCAGCAGCTCTCCTCCGTTATCAGCCTTTTCGTCATCCTTCTTCTGCTTCTTGTTGCCCCGCGTGTCCAGTTCGACGTCATTTTCTTCCGACGCGACTTGCTCAGTTTCAATGGGGGCGACAGCGTGGGAGGGCCTCCACAATCCAAATACCTGAGCAGACTTGGCGCCGATGGTAAGCGTAACGGCAGTTCCGTAACGTAACCACCTGATAGCTGGAAAAAGTGGTGGACACACGAGCGCAGCTAAATCCTTATAGGTAAAATGCGCATATAAATAGGTCCCGTCACACGAGTTCTGATATAAACTCACATCCAACTGACACAAATCTTTCTGCATAGAAATGAAGAACAAGTGCTTTTCCTTCCTAAGCGAAAAGCGGCTCGTGACGCTTTTCAGAGGATTAAAAAGTCGAAGAAATCAACGACGCGGCGAGACCGCTCACTGGCAAGGCACAGGTTGGAACGGCCAGAGTTTAAAATGGACGCTGAGAACACTCTCGACAATAAGGACGTGATTTGCACGCTCGTAGACTGCATATATTCAGCTTAATGACTCTGAAACATCGTAAATTTACCCACCTATGCTCCTGATCTCTACTTCGACCCGAGAAGCGACGGTGAGCAACCATCTAACCGAAATTAAGCATTCAAAAAACGGGAGAAAAAAAGGAAAGGCACTGGTAAACGCCGAGGATGGTCGACCTCGATGACGGGCCTGGTTCGATGTGGAAGAGAGGGTGATCGAAGCCCGCGTTGTGCATGAAGTACTTTTTAACGGCGGCCTCTTGATCATCTGCGGAAGGCGAGGAGACTATAAGGCGGAGGACGTCGCGGATTTGCAGTTGAGGATTCTCCATGGTGGCCGAGAAAGAGAGGCGTTCTGAACGGAAATGAGACGCGTGACGTCACTAAAGTAGGTAACGTGACATGAAAATACAATTACAATTAGTGTTGCCGCAAAGCAAAGTTCAAAGTGCTTTAAACCTAAAGTTGCTTTAAAGTGATTTCCGCTTTCGGTCGACGGTCCACAGCCTTCTTGTCGTGACGGAGGCTCGCCGCTCCCTCAGCAGATAAGCACAAACTGTGTACTTATAGTAGAACATAATAATATTAAGTGTTGATTAAGTGGATGCAAGTTCTGGCTAAGTAAAACAGGAATCAGCTGGTCAAGGTCATAAATTCTCTCATCCCCTCGAGCATAACAGAGATCTACATAGGTCCCCTTCTGAGGATACCCAATTATCAAGCCTGCTCTCGCACTTGTTTTCACCTTCTTCAGAAAGATCAGGTCATTGGACTACTTTTCGCGAAGACAACCTTTTTGTCCGCTTCACGATGTTAGAACTGGTGAGGGGAGCGGCGCCATTGTTGGGACCTTGCGCGATCGATTCCGCTGAGAGGTTTTGTACAAGCTGATTTACACGCCTCAGCCCCGAGGTTTGCGCTTGCACGTCGCGTGAAGCAGATGAGGGAGAAACGTAAACGCTCGTGCGCGCGACGGACGTTGGTGAGTTCGCGTACATTGTGCATGCTGACAACCGGCCAAGATTTGACAATGCCGGCGTGAGGCGGCGTTGCCAAACAACACAGCCTTGCCTTAAAGTACCTTAAAGCGCCCAATATGGGCATAAAGTCCTTTAAAGGCACTTTAGTGCTTAAAGCACTTTACTTTGCGGCAACACTAATTACAATTCTTCGTTCCTCTCGTCTGGGATAATTATACAGGGCTTCATACGAGTCATTTTGGGGACTTTGAATTGGACTGCAGTGTTTTCAGATGAGCGCCAGTTTTGCCCGAACCGTTAGCTTCCAGTGAGCGCCCCATGTATGCCATGCAATGCCAGTGGTTGTTGAGCCGTTCTAAGTACTTCATCGCGCTATCTGTGTCTCCGGACACCGAGTAGACGCTCGCAACCATCCCCAACAGGAAGACGAACCACGGAGCATCGGCCAGACCTTCTTTTTCGATCTCTTCCATCAGCTTGAGGGAGGCTGCGAGTATGTTCGGGCGTGTATGATCCTTCAACCAAGCGTGGTGGTCAGCTCGTATTGCTTCGATGCGTTTTTCGAGCTCCGAGCGCAACAAATCCGTTTCCTCGGTTGCCCCGACACACCCGGGACATGCGCAGACAATGCCGTAGGGTGCTAGCTCCTCAGCACGCTCGGTCTTGGTTCTGAAAAGGTCGCAGTACGAGGTGAACAGCTCTTCTCCTTGTTTGATGTCGTGAACTGCTCTAAGCTCGAAGGAAAGGGAAGCCATGTCGAAATTGTACGTAGTATTGGGCGAACAGCTGAAGATATCTCAGCTTGAGACTTGTTTGACGGTCATATAATACAAGCATCTTACCTGTGATTGATCCTCGACATCATATTCAGAACAGCAGCGTAAGCCCTGGCGTTGTCGGCCTCGTCACCATCGTACAAGCCTGGTACTTTGTATCCATTGGTGCGAAGGATTCCCAGAATAGGCCCAGTCCCGTCTTCAGTATGACTGTTCGCCAGCGCCATGAATGCTTTCCGATTTTCGTCAGTCATCCTCTTCACTGCGACGTCAAGGAGTTCCTCCCACTCTTTCACATTGACCTGGATAATCTCCGCCTGGGTAAAACCCTCCATGCCAGACCCAACCGTCATTTCGAAACTGCGCTGTGAGATCAGGAGAGGCCTCTCGGCGATGATGAGGTCTCCAGTGCGGAGGGGACGCGCGGCGAACATCCCAAGTCCACCAAACGACGAAGGCCTAACACGATGGTTTACCTTTCCGCCTGCAGTTTTCTGTACGGGGCGCGGAAATCCTGGGGTGCTGAGGATTCGACGCTTGATGTGCCCAGCTAAGACACACTCTGTCCAATTGTCAGGTTCATCATCCAGTGTAGCGTCCCGATTCATCGGTGGGAGAGTAGTGACTATGATCATGTTGTCGCTGTAGTCTACGGTGCCTCCAGAAGTTTCGCGACGGAAAGCTTTCTTGGAAACAACGCCCTCAGTCGGCCGCACTGTTACACTGTTAGGTTGCACAAAGTCAATGACAGAGGCTACGTTACCGGTCTCAGCCTTCCCATAAGGTAACATGATAATAGGTTGCGAAGCTGTTCAGAATGGTGAGGTGAAAACTGGGGAAATGAAGAATCCGACTATGGGTGGCACACCTGGAGTCGATGCGACTGGCGGGAGCGCGATACCCTCCGTCTTCTTCGCCTTTGCGGTTTTCAGAAATCCGCGCTTCATCAAGATGAGATGGAGTGGATAAGCGTAAGGTGATTGATTGCATAGCGTCGCCTTCTTATAGAGGTGAGGTCATGTGCACCGAAGTTTAGAAGCCCCAAGAGTCGCCGGTTTTGCATAGATTACTTGATGACGAGGTCACAAAGGACGACAGTCTCCGCACAAGGATCGAAGTTGGACAAAAACGTTATAGTATGTATTCCTTGGCTATGCGTACGGTGGCATATAAAAAGAGTGTGAATTCTGTGAAATGAAAAATGAAAAATGAACTCAAAAAATTGAAGAAAAAAATATGCCCACCGTTCAAGTTTCAACTACATTTCGATCACCATTCTTGAAACGAACCGTTACGTGTTAAGTCCTGCTTGACTACTGCATGGCTCCCTAAATTTTCCTAAATGTTCAAGATCAAAATCCTGGGCTGTTTTCTAGTCTCAAAGACTCTTTAGGACAAAAAGACTGTTGAGAGTCGAGACGCTCTACGAACGGTGAGCAACCATCTGACCCTGTTTAAGCATTCAAAAAGAACGAGAGAGAAAAAGGAAATGCACTGGTAAACGCCGAGGATGGTCGACCTCGATGACGGGCCTGGTTCGATGTGGAAGAGAGGGTGATTGAAGCCTGCGTTGTGAATGAAGTACTTTTTCACAGCGGCCGCTTGATCATCTGCGGAAGGCGAGGAGACTATAAGGCGGAGGACGTCGCGGATTTCCAGTTGGGGATCTTCCATGATGGCCGAGAAAGAGAGGCGGAAATGAGACGCGTGACGTCACTAAAGTAGGTAACGTGACATGAAAATACAATTACAATTCTTCGTTCCTCTCGTCTGGGATAATTATACAGGGCTTCGCGCGAGACATTTTGAGGACTCTGAATTGCACTGCAGTGTATTCAGATGAGCGGCAGCTTTGTGAGCTTCCAGCGAGCGCCCCGTGGATGCCATGCAATGGTTGTTGAGCCGTTCTAAGTACTTCTTCGCGCTATTTGTGTTTCCGGACACCGAGTAGACGTTCTCAACCATCCCCAACAGGAAGACGAACCACGGAGCATCGGTCAGACCTTCTTTTTCGATCTCAGCTATCAGCTTGAGGGAGGCTGAGAGTACGTTCGGGCGTGTGTGATCCTCTAACCAAGCGTGGTGGTCAGCTCGTATCTTTTCGATGCGTTTTGCGAGCTCCGAGCGGAACAAATCCGTTTCCTTGGTTGCTCCGACACACCCGGGACATGCGCAGATAATGCTGTAGGTTGCTAGGTCCTCAGCACGCTCGCTCTTGGTTCGGAAAATGTCGCAGTAAGAGGTGAACAGCTCTTCTCCTTGTTTGATGTCGCGAACTGCTCTAAGCTCGAAGGAAAGGGAAGCCATGTGAAAATTATACGCAGTATTAGGCGAGCAGCTGAAGATATCTCAGCTTGAGACTTGCTTGACGGTCATTTAATACAAGCATCTCACCTGTGATTGATCCTCGACATCACATTTAGAACAGCGGTGTAAGCCCCGGCGTTGTCGTCCTCGTCACCATCGTATAAGCCTGGCACTTTGTATCCATTGGTGCGAATGATTCCCAGAATACGCCCGCTCCCGTCCTGAGTATGACTGTTCGCCAGTGCCATGAAGGCTTTCCGATTTTCATCAGTCATCCTCTTCACTGCGACGCCAAGGCGTTCCTCCCACTCTTTCACATTGACCTGGATTATCTCCGCCTGGGTAAGACCCTCCATGCCAGACCCGACCGCCATTCCAAAACTGCGCGGTGAGATCAGGAGAGGCCTCTCGGCGATGATGAGGTCTCCAGTATGGACGGGACGCATGGCGAACATCCCAAGTCCACCAACCGGCGAAGGCCTAACACGATGGTTTACCTTTCCGCCTGCAGTTTTCTTTATGGGGCGCGGAAATCCTGGGGTGCTGAAGATTCGACGCTTGATGTGCCCAGCTAAGACACACTCTGCCCAATTGTCAGGTTCATCATCCAGTGTAGCGCCCCGTTTCACGGGTGGGAGACTAGTGAATACGATCGTGTTGTCGCTGTAGTTTACGGTGTCTCCGGAAATTTCGCGACAGAAAGCCTTCTTAGAAACAACGCCCTCAGTGGGCCGCGCTGTTACAATGTTAGGTTGCACAAAGTCAATGACAGAGGCTACGTTACCGGTCTCAACCTTCCCATAAGGTAACATGATAATAGGTTGCGAAGCTGTTCAGAATGGTGAGTTGAAAACCGGCGTAATGAAGAATCCGACTAACAGAAAGAGCCATTTCCCTTGGGTGGCACACCTGGAGTCGATACGACTGGCGGGAGCGCGATGCCCTCCGTCTTCTTCGCCTTTGCGGTTTTCAGAAATCCGCGCTTCATCAAGATGAGATGGAGTGGATAAGCGTAAGGTGATTGATTGCATAGCGTCGCCTTCTTATAGAGGTGAGGTCATGTGCACCGAAGTTTAGAAGCACTACCAAGAGTCGCCGCTTTTGCATAGATTACTTGATGACGAGGTCACAAAGGACGACAGTCTCCGCACGAGGATCGAACGTTCAACTCACACGACAACCCTCTTCCTTGAGACAAACCATACAAAATGCGGGGAAGGAAAGCTATTCTGGTCCTTGACTTCTAAGGGAGACTAAGAGTGGGAGTGCACCTGAAAACAGGTTATCTCTGTAACAACATAGAAGCCAAGAGCTCGCGTACGTTTCAAGCATATCATGCATTGGCAGCAAGTGTGGTACATCCTTCTATCACCTCCTGAGTCACGGATCGTAATCCCACCGTTCAGCAGGGGCGTAATCGGTTACTCTAGTGGGATGACGAGCGATTGACGACGGAAGAATATCCGATTTAGCAAGACCCGTGGTATCCAGGCAATAAAAGCAGAGTCTTGTCCCCAGCGCGCTTATAGCATGCAATGTAGGTAGAGGACAATTCCCGGCAAGATCTCCCATCCGTCTCCTAATCTGATCGTCTGCTTCCCCGCGCGTAGAGATCTGAAATATCGCAGAAGGGTCCTTCAACTCTACAATGAAGACAGGCAAGTTCCTCAAGTATATTTCAAAGCAAACGATGAAATTAGCAGAGTCTCGAGATAATGGTCGAAGAAATTGCGGCACGACCGTGAAGTCAGAGTCGGGGGGGAACAAAGTGTAGAGAAGTTTATTAACAGGCCGTGGTAGTCAGATTCTTTAGGGTTGGGTGGAACCGCTTGGAATTTGTCGAACGATTTTGTCGGGCCACATAGGGTTTCGAACGAAGAGTGCAAAAGCAAAGCCGAAACCCTCAGATAACAATAGCGCCAAACATAAGGCCATATCGACGCGTGACGTCACTAAAGTAGACATGGAAATCCCAATGATAACAATTACAATTCTTAATTATACAGGGTTGCACACGAGACATTTTGAGCACTTTGAATCGGACTTCAGTTCTTTTAGAATAGCGGCAGCTTCGCCCAAACCGTTATCTTCCATTGAGCGCCCCGTAGATGCCCTGCAATAGTCGTCGAGCTTTTCCAAGTACTTGATCGCGTCATCTGCGTGTCCGACCGCCGAGTAGACATTCGCAACTATCGCCAGCAGCGTGAAGAACAGCGGAGCAGCCCTCAGACCTTCTTTTTCCATCTCCTCTATTAGCTGGAGGGAGGCTGCCAGTGGGTTCGGGCGAGAGTGATCCTTCGTCCAAACGAGGTGGTCAGCTTGAATTTTTTGGAAGCGTTTTGTGATCTCCGTGCGGAATAAATCTGTCTCCTTGGTTGCTCCGACACATCCGGTACATGCGCAGACAATCCCGTAGGGTGCTAGCAGCTCAGCACGCTCGCTCTTGGTTTGGAAAATGTTGCAGTATGAGCTGGACAACTCTTCTCCTTCTTCGGTGTCCCGAATCGCTCGAAGATGGAAGGAAAGGGAAGCCATGTCGAAATGATGCGTAGTATTAGGGGAGCAGCTGAAGATATCTCAGCTCAAGCCTTGCTTGACGGTCGTATATCTTACCTGTGGTTGATCCTTGACATGACATTCAGAACAGCAGAATAAGCCCTGTCGTCGTCGTTCTCGTGATCATCGTACAAGCCTTCTACCTTGTATCCATTGGTGCGAATGATTCCTAGAATCGGCCCACTCCCGTCCTCAGTATGACTGTTCGCCAGGGCCATGAATGCTTTCCGGTTTTCATCCGTCATCCTCTTCAACGCGACGCCAAGGCGTTCCTCCCACTCTTGCATACTAACCTGTATCATCTCCGCCTGGGTAAGACCCTTCGAGCGAGTCATTTCTATACCGCGCTTCGAGATCAGAAGAGGCCTCTCGGCGACAATGAGGTCTCCTGTGCGGAGGGGACGCGTGGCGAACACCCCAAGTCCACCAAACGGCGAAGGCCCGACACGATGGTTTACCTTCTCGCCTGCAGTTTTCTCTACGGGCTGCGGAAATCCTGGGGTGCTGAGGATTCGCTGCTTGACGGGCCCAGCCAAGATACATTCGGTCCAATTGTCAGGTTCATCGTCCAGTGTAGCGCCAGATTTCACGCGCGGGAGAGTAGTGATGACCATCGTGTTGTCGCTGTAATTTAAGGTGTCTCCGGGGAATTCGCGACCGAAAAGCTTCTTAGAAACAACGCCCTCCGTCGGCCGCGCTGTTACAATGTTAGGTTGCACAAAGTCAACGAGAGAGGCTACATTACTGGTCTCAACCTTCCCATAAGGTAACTTGATAACAGGTCGTGGAGCTAAGTTCCTAGTGTGAGGTGAAAAACCGGCGCGATGGAGAATCCGACTAACCGAAAAAGCCATCTCCCTTGGGTGCCACACATAAACTGGGTGGAGTCAATGCGACTGGCGGGAGCGCGATACCCTCCGTCTTCTTCGCCTTTGCGGTTTTCAGAAATCCGCGTTTCATGAAGATGAGAGATGGAGTGGATAAGCGTAAGGTGATTGATTACACAGTCTTGATCTTGTGGCCTTCTTATATAGATGCGCCCGCCTCGAGGTCATGTGCGCCGAAGTATAGAAGCTATGGCCACCCAAAAGTACTAGACACAATCGTCGCCACTTTTGCATGGACCTACTTGACGACAAGGCCACACAAAGGATGACGGTTCCAGCACGAGGATCACACATTGGACAAAGACGTTATAGTATGTGTCCCTTGGTTACCATGTGCACGATGGCGTACAAGAGAATACTGTGTGCCAGAGTCTGTGAAATGTGAACTTTAGAGATAAAAGTTGAAGAAAAAATATACCGGCTTTCACCCAAATTTCAACCGTTCTAAGAAAAAGAGAAAATGAACAGTTGGGTCCAGCTTGACAGCTTCATAGCTTCCTAAATTTTTCTAAACGTCCCGAGGTCAAAATCAAGAGCTGTTTCCTCGTAAAAGAAAGTGTGGCTTGAGACTCGATCGCGAACGCTCAGGAAAACAAAGCCGACGCCCTCAGATAACAGCACCACCATACACCGTCCAAACAGATAAGGCGACGCGTCTCCTCTCCTCTCAACTCTCCAGCAACTCTTCACCCATCATGTCCAGCAACAACGACACAACAGGCTCAGGACGCCTCGACGGTGGCCCCGCCGAATCTCTACCCGCATCATGGGCTCGACCCACCGAAAGACCCAGAGTTGGAAGAGTTGGTCAATGGGGAGGATCTGGAGCGCCTTCTTCATCTTCAAGGTATGTGCATATTCCAGCATCCACCTAACAAAAGCTCAATTCCGATCTCGATATTCTCTTGAAGGAGTGGCGGTTCGGGAAACTCACGGTTTGCTACACTGAGCAGCCTGGGGGGGGGTAATAGTGCTGGTGGTGGGCATCATCCACATCCCCACGCGCATGCGCATGATGATGATGATGACGACGACGACGACGATGACGACGATTCGAAGCGAGAAACTTGGTTCGCTGGTGGGGAGAGGAGGTATGTTATTCTCACTATCTGATCACTCAATCTGAATGACTCCCTCTTCCAGCGGAATCAACGTTCAGAATCCGGACTCTGCCAGACCTGGTGGGAGCAGGGTCCCTGGAGGTGATATGGTACGAGAGCTGCTGAGACGTGCACAAGAGTTTGTTTTTCATTTATAGCTTGAACACTTTTCTCATAATTTCACACACATAGAGGCGGGCAAGCACCCGAAGATGCACCAAGGCCAACGGCGTTCTTTGGTGGAGGCCATACCCTCGGCAGTGACGACACCCCAAGCAGCTTCATTCCCGACCCAAATGCTACCTCCACTGATCTTGGTACGTCTTCCAACTTGCCCCGTCTATTAATGAACTCCTTATAATGTGACAACAGACCGGGTAGTCGTCCGGCACTTGACCTTTTGGCGGAACGGCTTTCAAGTCGAAGACGGCGAATTGATGCGGTACGATGATCCAGAACACGCAGCCATCCTTGCAGAGATCAATTCCGGGTACGTTCTACTTACTCCCCTCTAAAACTTCGTCTTCATTTGAATCGTAGCCGTGCTCCACCATCCATCCTGAACGTCCTCGACGGGCAAAACGTCGATGTCCGCGTCGCGAAACGCGTCAACGAAGACTACGTACCTCCCCCCAGTTCCGTCAAAGCGTTCACGGGATCAGGACATCGTCTTGGCGCACCGGTCCCAGGGTTTAGCGGTGCGAGTGGGAGTGGGGCTTCACCACCCGTAAACATGCCTGGCACTTTCCCAAGTTCTGGTGTTGTGCGGACGCCTTCTAGTACAGCGGCACCGGAGCACGAAAGGGCGTCTATCAATACGAGGTTTGAGGTGGATCAGACGCAGCCTACGACGAGTGTGCAGATTCGATTGGCGGATGGAACGAGGTTTGTGGTTTTTTTGTTTTCCCATCGATACACCTGTGCTAACTATCGATCTATCTACAGGATGGTTGCCAGGATGAACTTGACTCATACCATTTTGGACATTCGGAACTTTATCAACGCGTACGTTTCCCATATCTTTTCAGCTCTTTACTTTGCTCAATTAATTGATTCCATCAGCTCTCGTCCCGAAAACCTCGTTCGACCATACGAGATCGCGACGACTTTTCCTAATCGTGTCCTGGACGACACCAGCGCTACGATAAAGGACGCGGGGTTGGTTAATAGTGTTGTTATACAGAAGTGGGTGTGAAGGTATTCGACGACTCTTTTCTTGGACGGACTTTGAAGGTGTACATGAAGATAAAAGCAGAAGTTGACTGATGGTTGTAGATATAATGGAAATTGACCATTTTTTGGGTGCCCTCTAATCTAAGGTCAACAGCGATGTAAGACAAGTGTCTAACAACTTGACGTTATGCCATTTCTACCTAACCTTGCCCCCGAGCTGATCCAGCATATCAGCAACGAGGTAAGTTTTCCCAACCAAAGCACCTTCTCTGCTCACCCGATTCCAGCTGGGGAAGAAGACCTCCTCACTCTCCGACTCGTCTCCAAGCATCTAAACACCATCATAGAACCGCAAGCTCTCCGCTCACTCGCGCTGTACATCTTACGAGATCACCTCGACGCTGGACAATCCCTGCTCACAACGCTATCATCCCAGAGCCACCACAAAGCGACATGGGCCACCAAGAACCTACGCATCGCGGCGCTTTGTCCGATGGCTTATTGTACTAGTGGACCGCCGTGTTGTAGGTGGGTTGAGGAGAGGAGTGTGTGGACTGTTGTGCGTGAGACGGAGGATGATGATCCCGGGAAGGCGAAGGTTGTTGGAGAGGAGATGAAGAGGTTGATTGAGGGTGCTGTTGGTTCGTTGAGGAGGTTGAGGTCTTTTTGGTGTGTTCGTTACCCTCTGCGACGAATGCCAGGTTTATTGAAGGGTTTTTGCAGGTGGTCGATCTGTCCTAACGATCCACAGTTCACCCATTCAGCAGTGATGAACGGTATAAAAACTCTACCCAACTTGGAATCCATTCAAATAGATCTATGCGTCTCCACCACCGCTCTCCAACTCGATTCTCTAAAAAAACTTGACGAAGATCGTCATAACGGGGTACTGCGTCGATTTCCTCAGGACCATTGTCGATCCGTTGACCATAGCCATTTCGAGGTCACCCCGCTTGGCTTCGTTGGAGTTTGGTACTGGGTATATGAACGTAGACCTGTTTGATCTGCCTACGCTTCATCGGCTTTTCAAAAGACGAGCGGTGGAGGATGCGGTGCATTTGAAAGAGTTGGATGTTAAAGGGTGTTGGGTGCGTTTGGACCAAACGACGCTGCCGCATGTGAGGTATCTCACTTCGTTGACGCTTATCCATGTCATGGTGGATACTTCCCGTATTGCGGAAGGTGACCCGATAATGGAGGAAAGCTCGACGCATGATGAGATTTGGGCTGCGCTGAATAAAGCTGGTGGTTGGCTACAGAGTGTATCTGTGGATAATGTTGGGACGGTGTTCCTCCAGTACCTCTCCTCCTACTCGGGATTGAAGAAGATACAGCTCGCTCCTGAGAACTTCCCGCATTGGAGACGGGGGGAGTCTGAGGATGCGGCGGAGAAGTTTTATGAGGGGTGTTTGATCCATCATGTAGAGTCTCTTGAGGAAGTGGACGTTCAGGCTTTATGAAGGGCGGTGGTGTTTGGTTGATGAGAATGTTGATGTTTTGTGTCAGTGTCCGCGATTGAGGGTGTTGACGGGATGTATCGTCGACTCGGATTCGAATTCGAACCTTGTCGTAAGTCCCACTATTTTCACCCCAGATCGATCGAGCTAATGGCAAGACAGAAACTACTTATTGATAGCGTCGTCGCCCGGATGCCGTCATTGGAAGAGTAGGTGTGAGTGATATCAGCACACGTATAGGCCAAGCGCGGGTGTGAGGCAATTGCCATTGGTTCAGGCTGGGTCGCATCGTGCGAGGATGAAGCGGTATGTATGATAAGAGACAAATTGATCGACGCCATCAAATCAAGCTCTTTCCAGCTTTTTCACATTTTCGATATGTCTTCGCCATGATGACCATCGCTTAGCGCCAACTTTTGTCTTTTCTTTTCTCATGTCCACCCCTTTCAACGCCGAGAGCTCCTCTTCAGATTCGTACACACCGCCTCAACCACATCCCTATCAACTAGCAGCGTACAACTCTCCCGTGCAGAGCGACAGCCCCGCTATATCGTACCACTCCCGCCCATTAGAGCCGGACAAACCACCAGAAAGTATCACAGGACACACTTTCACCGTCATCCAACAACAACAACCTCAACGCTCACTCCAAGCACAATCCTACCATCTCCCCAACTTCAAACCCCTCACCCTCTTTCTCATCTTCCTCCCCATCCCACCACTGCTCTCCATTTTATACCTCGTAACAGGGCACGCCATCCTCCGACACCACCACACACCCAATGGCCCCTACTCCGCCCCATTTTCATCCTCCGCCAAAGCAGGTCTAGTAGGCGGAACCATCCTCTCCATTCCCCTCGCTCTCCTGCTCTACCTCCTCCTCTCCCCAACCTCCAAACCAAACGAATTACCAGAGGACTTTTTCGAAGACGACGATGATGAAGGCGGAGTGGGTACTTCAAGATGGGCGTGGTACGCTGGCCTTGGGACTGTTTTTGTTCTCGTTCTGTGCATTGGAGGCGCGGCGGGTCCGTTGGGTGTTACGTGTCTCTCTAAAAACGAGGGCGAGGAGCTGTTGAGTCCTGGGGAGGCGGCTGCGGCGGGCATGGTGGGCGGGCTGGTGTTGGCTTTTGGGAGTGTTACGGTCGCTGCTGTTGGGTTGGTGTGTTGTGCGATTTGGTTGAGGAGGACGAGTACGAGGTCATGACACCCCTTGTGAGTGTTTTGTCTTTTATTCCCCATTTCTGGATTCATGTGTGTAGATTTTAGAACACGCTTGGATAACTTGATGAAAATGGGCTCTTATATATAATGGTAAGTTGCTTTCTTATCTTACTTTTGCCACCTCACTCACCCGGTACAGTGCACCTTATTATAGATCTCCGTTATATTCCCTTTCACGCTCCCTTACGACTTATACCCACGTCGGACACCCCAAGTACTGCTATTGCGCTTGTGTTTAAAATGATATCTAAGCAACGCTATTTAATCCGGTTTTTCTTCTTGATGATGATGTGCTTTTGATCATGATTTGAGTTTTTCTTGTTTTTCTAGGCGACCCCACCGGTGCTTGCTTACTTCAGTCCAACTTAACATCAACTTCATACAGGCCTCCAGATCGCTCGCCCCATGAAATTCGCCCGATAACCCTGAAATCCGCCCAATCCAAGCTTGAGCTCACGCTTTACTTTGAAAGCCTCGTCAGCCACCAATGCAGACCTATCCCAGTCTCAGCAGTCATTTCATCAATTTCTCTCAACGCCGCTTCTTTTCGTGGAAGTTGACGCCTGAATTGCTCTAAAATCCTTTACCTGCACGCGAACATCTTCATCCTCAATGTCTAAATTTCGCAAGGGTGAGTTTCGTATGATAATAACGCACAGGACCTTGCAGATAACACAACCATTTGCAGCCCATTTTTACATTATGCGCCCCATTTCAAACCTGCCCGATCACCTTGCTTCGAAACGAACCTTGGGCTACTTTGAAAACGAAAAAGATGCCAGCCACCAAGGTCTGGTCTCAGGAAGGATTCTTTCTTGCCTCTCTCGATTCCCTTCAACCTTCGGTCTTTTTCTCTTGTCTCTTGACATTCAGTCGGTCGTTTCCCTCGGTCTTTCCTCGACAATCAAGTCAGTCAGTCTTTACGAAGCAGCATGCCTTCCCTCCTCGATACCCTTTCCATCGCCATACGCGAATTCTGGAGGATACTCACACGACAATCGTCAACCACGCTCGTTAACGGTAACATTCTCAAAGGGGTACGAAAACGTGAGCACACACACACCCGCCTCTCCGTCCTTCCTTCTCTTTCTTTCATCTGAACCTTACTTCCTTTTTGTTTTTTTCTAAGCGACGACACCCCGTCAGCCACCACCCATCCGCACAAGATTCTCATGGTCTTACCTGCTCGTCCTCTTTTCGTGTGGCCGTCGTCGACCACGCCGTGGAGATTCGTCGTTCTATGTTGATGGGGATTTAGAAGCTGGCGAGGGTGGTTCATTGAGTGCGTTGGACTCTTCATTTTTATAGATAGAGATGCTCATGGATTGTGGTATTAGGCCCACATGAGGGAGGTGGACAGCGTAAAGATAGTCCGTGTGATCATGAAGGAGAGTTTGTGGATATTGATTTGAATGATGGGAAACTCCTACAGCGACCGACAGGGACGAGTCAGAGTCAGAGTCGAGGTGCGTTTTTTATATTCATTCGGGTTTGCTTTTTTGAGTGGCGTCCTTTTCTTTATAGAACCCTCTTCGTTCATGCCCCCAAAGTTCTACTTCCCTATCCGTGAGTAGAGTGCGCGACTCTCCTACTTTGGCTTGTTCTAAGCCCCTCTACGTATCTAGCAATCCCTCTAATCGAAATCGAAAAAGACAACGACCAACAAGAACAACAAGAACGAGAAGGAAATCCAAGCCCACCAATCCTCGTTCTATCCGACATCCTCGATCAATTCCCACTCCCACCAACATCCCACCCGCGTATACCCAGGAACGATATCATCCGTGGAGACTCAAGTCCCTCCTCAAATCTAAAGCGCTTCCCCCGGCCCCTCACACCAATGATCGACTTTGACGCATCCTCGTCGTCCTTTAGCTCCGAGTTTGAGAGCATGTTATCAGTTTCATACGACTCTTCTTCTAATAGCTCGTGTTTCTCCCCCTCTTCTTCGCCGCCTGCGACCCCACTGTCGCCTTTTACGCCTACGACGCCAGTTTCACCTTGGATACCTGCTACGCCGCTTTCGGCTTGCACGCCTACGACCCCGCTGAGGGCTGTGTTGCCTGCGTGGTGTGAGTATCATACGTCGAATATTGCAAAGAGGGAGGAGGCGTATAGGAGGATGAGGTTGAAGAAGAAGAAGTTGGGGGAGAGGGAGGATGTGGAAAGGGCTAGAGATGATGATGGATTTCTGTTGAGGTTGAAGACGAAGAGCCCCGTTGTTTCTGGAGAGCCTGAGGAGGATGTCGGTGGGAAGAAGCAAGAACAGACTATTGACGCGGTTCATCAGAAGGCCAGCCATAGTGAGAAGGACACTCGCTCGGATACAGCAGACGACCGAGAAAGCCAGGACACCTTACGCAACTTCAAGATCCTCCACAAACCCATCATCCGACCACCTCTTCGTGTGTTCATCCCAGGCCACAAACGTTCTACGAAAAGGGGTAGTGCCAATGGATCTTTGTCGAGGATAAAGAGCCCTGCTATTTCTGCAGAGCTTGAGGGTTATGGTGGGAAGACGCAAGAACAGACTGTTAACACGGCCAGTCATAGTGAAAAGGATGCTCGCTTGCATGCAAGCAAATCAGAAAGTCAGGACCTTCGCAACTACAAAATCCTCCCCCCCAAACCCATCCGACCACCTCTTCGGGTGTTCATTCCAGGCCATAAACGGTCCCCACCCATCTTCACACTTCCAGGTCCAGATGATTTCTTTATTCCAGAAGAAGACACGGAAGACGCGTATGCGGATCAGTCGTACATCGTCACCCAACCCCATGACCATCACACGCAGCAGAAACCTATCGTCCTCCGCCGAAAGTCAACATCTGATTCTGAATCACGAGTACACCTAAAACGAGCTTGTTCCGATGCGAAGCACGACATGACGAATGTTCTGAGGGCGTTTAACGAGATGGTCCTTGGCACCGAAGAGGATTTCAGGACGTTGTTTGAAGGGGAGAGTTTGAGTACTAGTTTGAGTTTGGTCAGTTCTGTCGTGGAGGAACGCAATATCTTGCCCCCTTCCTCGAGCCGAAGCCGGAGCCGGAGTTGGAGTGGGAGTGGGATGGGGAAGATGGGGAGGACGAGTATGGCGTCGAGGTTGGCGAGGGCTCATTCGTGTGCGCATGCGAGGACGCAGGGGGGTAGGGATGGGGATGGGGATGGGGGTGAAGAGACCTCGTCGGATGAGGATGGGTTTGATGAGGAGAAGATGGCGCCTGGGGAGTGGTTTGATATGGTGGGATTGGATGAATATTTGGCGTAGTGCTTTCCCTTCCCCCTTGGGTTGGTCAATTTCGATTCATCTGGTGGACCTCCTTCTACCTTCAACCTTTTTTTTTTTTTTCAAATAATAATGTAGCCTTGGTACTAATATCTACGGAGAGCTTTAGTCAACGAAATAGGAATCATTCATAACATATCTGGGTTGACCCTCATCTCACCTTCGCCTGTGAAGTGGCAATCGATGTTGATGACTCGTTCTTGGCTCTGCTGGAAGACGTCCAGGTCCTTTTTCTGCGTCGGCTGTTGGGGCTCCACAAAAGATCCATGTGTGCTGTTCTATTCACAGAGACAGGAGTCATGCCAATTAGATATCGCCGCATCATCCTTGCATTGCGGTATCTACAATACTTACAGAAACTACCAACACATCACTACGCTCGGGCTGCCTTCGACGATGCTTGCCTCTTGCATGCAGTGGGAAAGCCTTCCTGGGTTGGAGACATCTCCTTTGCACTCTCTCGCCTTCGCTTTCCTGTCGTGCTTGAGCCTGTGCACCTCACCGACCCTGAGTCAGTTACAGGTCTTATAGCTGACATCGAGGTGTCGTGTGCGCGTGCCCTCCAGAGGGACATCAATGAATCCGAGAAGACAGTCCTATTGAAGGAGCGCATCACCAGTCCCGCAGCTGTTAACCTGTCGGATGTGCTGAAGTATCGACACTACCTTGACGTCGTTGTTCCTGTACACCGCAAGGCGTTGACGCGACTCGTTACTTCATGCCACGTTCTTGCAGTAAATTGCTTTCGTTGGGATCCTGTTCGACGAAAGGAGATTCCGCGGAACCTGAGGTTGTGCCGTTTCTGTCACGATGAGACTGAAGACGAGTGTCATGCGATGCTGTACTGCGTTGGAAATGGCGCTCTGACGGTGAGGAGAGGAGTCTTCTTTTCGGATGCCCATCAGGTTGTGCCTGGGATTCGGACTACAGTTTTGAATCTCCCCCCTCCAGACTCATTGCGTGTTCTAGTGAGAGAAGAGCGAGTGGTTAGGGTCCTGGCTAAGTACGTGTTTGATGTGCTCAGCATCTTTGAGGCGGCTGAGCCGTACCTTCATCCCACGTTGCTGCACCCCAGCGCCCTCTCTCCATAGTGTGTTTGTGTTGGGTTGAGGTCGTTTTTGTCCGCACACTGTTTCTGAAGTGTGCCATAGCTGTTGCAGATGAGACGGTCGAGGTCAGTGGAGCTCACCCTGGGTCACGATGAGTTTTGGTGGCTGGTTGGAGAACCTGCCAGTGGCCCCTCCATGGAGGTTTTAGTCGTGTGCCCTGCCGTGTGGTATGCTCCGTAGCACAGTTGTATTTAGGCGCTACAGTTGTGTATCGGGAACCGGTTGTTCCTCATTGGGACCGCTCCGGAATATATATCTCCTCTCTCTCTCTCTGGTGTAGAAAAGATAAAAACACGACGGACCAAAATTGTGATTTTTGTATTTCGACCTCTTTCTCATGGATCAATCTAACCAGAAACCCCCTTTTCGCGTGGAACCCTGGGTTTCTTCTGCATTTGGTAGAAATCCCCCTTCCATCAGTCGATGGGTTATTTTGAGGAACCCCATGTCGGAGTTAAATTCCTAGATGCCGACGCGTGTCGCGCTCAAATTTGGCTCAAATTTAAATTGATCTTGGCTCCCCGGGTCATGATGAGAAGAGAGCGCGACGAGTTGAACTCCATCATGCACATCCCTTGTCGCACACGTATCGTCGCGCGATGCGACGCGCCCACTCGACAAGTGGTTACCACGGTAAATAATATTGGTTCATGGTCTACACGATGCTACAAGATGCAAACAAGATGAGGGTTTGGACGGGTAGCTATACTTACATAGATGTAGGAGAGCGAGAGTGGTTTAGGGATGCCACTGCTCCCTTCCATAGTCCCTTGCTACTTGAAAGGTTGATGACCCCCGCCGCCAACTTGAACTTATGCATGTGCATGTGGTGGACTTCAAATATTCTGAGCTCCGCTTCTTGTGGAAACAAGGTTTCTACGCAAGCACTTTGGAAACCCTGGGTTGTTCAGGGGAAACCAGGGTTTCTGGATAGTTTAATCCCTTTCTCATGACCCTCAAATTCTCGCTACCTCGCCGTGAGTATTACAGCCAGGGGGCTCCCATCGGCGCATCCCGTGAACGCAACTACCTTTGACATGTACCAATTCCCACGTCAGGGTCTTCACGCTATATCGGTAACAATGATTAATGATACATCCAAATCCGTGCGAGTACATGTTGCTTAGATCAAATCAGTACATACATGATACATCCTGCCCTCATTCTCTGCCCCTTCCACATTGTGTCTTCTTTGTTGGAGATGGCTGTCGAGTGCTTGAAATTTGAGAGACACTTGAGGCTGCTCTTTTTCTTGATGCCTCCATTACATCTTGGAGCCCTTCAACTGCATCACTGTTGATCATTTCTCCAAAGATAGTGTCTTGTAATTCTTGTCGAAATTCATAGTTAGGACGCTTTCGAACCATGGCAGAAGCGCAAGCAAGCAGTGGGGGAGAAAGGAAGAACGTCTATCATATCTATCTGATCTATTTAACGTGTATGTACGGATTTGGGTGCGTGATCAATCATTTTTCCTGATATAGCGTGAAGACCCTGACGTGGGAATTGGTACATGTCAGAGGTAGTTGCGTTCACGGGATGCGCCGATGGGAGCCCCCTGGGTGGAAGCGCCTGGCAAGGTTCTGAGTGTTATATTACCGCGTCTGGCTGGTAGTGAGTACCAATGGTCCATGATGCCGACCGACTCGTTTATGAGCATATCCAGCAACTAACTCGCCGCCAACCTGGCTGGTTGAAATTCATCGTGAACTGTGGGGACAGCGTGACTTTCTTGGCAAGATTTTTCGTACCGCAACAGTGACCAAAGACGACTTCACCAAACTTCAATCTCTTCTGGACGCACTGAATCCCGAACGCAACGCTGATGAATATGTGTCAAAGGATGTTCTTGCAACGAAAGCCGCGTTTTTACGCGAGAGGAGCTCTGATGTTGACCCAGACCTTGTTGATGGTCTAGTCCCCCGACCGGTTTTAGTTGCCTGCCAACCTCCAACTTCCGATGTCGTGGACCAAGACGGTGCTCTGGGCGATCATGACATTATGGACGACGATAACGACGACGCTGCCATGTTCATTGATGATGCTCATCTTCCAAACGAAGCCACAGCGATTTTCCCCTGTACCTTTCAGTATGTGGACCTGACTGTCCTCCGTTGCAAGCAGAATCTTCGCGTGCCACGGTTGATGCTCTTCCGAAGTGAGTGGGGTACCATGATAGACATCTTTAACAAGGGGGAAAAGGGTATATGTGGAAGTGCCATCTTCTCAGGCCAGCCGGGCATTGGTGAGCACCATTATCAGTATCTGACGGTCACTTCCAACCAACGAATTAGGGAAAACATGCATGTTGTATTCAATCCTCGTTCTTTGCATCATCCTTGCCCGGCCAATCGTATTTCAGGACTTTCGCGGCAAGGTCTTCATTATTGGCAATACCTTGCACCTTCTTGGCACACCGGGGGCATCTATCGATGCCGATGATGTTCTTACACTCGTCGATGCCGACAATGCAGCCTGTCAACCTGATGACTATTTCTTTGACCATGAGAAATATCGCATACTGCTAGTTTCTCCGCCAAGAAAGAGGGAAGAGCAAAGGTGGCTTAAACAATTTGTTGGGCCGGATGCGATGTTTATGATGGATCCATGGTCGCGAGAGGAACTTTTTGTTGCATCGTTCGTGCATTCCGCTCAATCAATTCGCCTGCTTACGATTTATAGGTTATTACTCGAAAGCAAGGACATAACTCTCAAGCGACTTCAGGAAGCTTCTCGTATTTGCGGAAACATACCTCGTAAATGTTCCGCAGCGGCAGTATCTCCTCTTGCTCTTTCGCTTGCGAGACAAAGGATCAGGGTTGCGATTCAGCAGATCAATGAATTGTCTGATACTATCATCAAGGTGAGGGTGGGTGGTGAATCAGACATATTCCAAATACGCCCGTTGTCTGAGCATCGATTCTGGGTCGACTATTGCGTGGAGCCAGTTTCGGCCTGGGCTCTCTCGGAGATGCTGGATGTCCTAGACGAACGAAAGGCAGGCTCTGCATATGGGGTTTATTGTGCCGGTATCGGACCTCGAGCGCGACATTTGCATCCAGTCGATAGACCCGGTTGCTCCCTAATTCTTTGATGCGACACTGTCCTTGCGCGCATTGTAGTCGTATGCTCTTATCATATGTACTATTTTATGATCAATTGTAATTGTGGGCAATACATCGAGAATACTCTGTGTCGTTCTCAAGCCGCAACTTTCTGTAACTTCCACTCACAGGAGTTTTCCAACATGCAACCAACATGGGCTGACTTATGAATGTCCCTCCGAGCGTTCGATTACCATCTTGTCCGCCCAATGTCCACCCCAGCACCCGAACTTATCCAACAAATCGGTACAGAGGTCTGTGTATAGACAAATCCAAACCGGTTGTTCCTCACTGCCAGGACCTCTACCTCTACCTCTACCTTTACCTCCAACCCAGAGCAATGTCGCAGAATTTCGTCTCGTTTGCAACAGGATGATCAGCGTACTCGAACCACATATTATCATTGACATTACAAAGCTTCGGCTCAGCCGCTCGATGTTGGCAAACTCGGCGGCGCATGGCAATCTGTCACACACCCGCATCCTTCGAAGGACCTATGCGATCGCTCCCCTACTGGGTGTTTGACCTAGATACTGGGAAACGGGTGGAGCAGCCGCCGACTCCAGACTCTCCTGGGGTGAAGAAAGGTTGCCGAGGAAAAGATGCAGAAACTGCTTCTGGTGGCCATCGCCTCTTTGAGCAACTCCGAGTCGCGAAGTCCCAAGTAAGCTGTCAATTGGACTCTCTTAAGCTCTCCGAATTCACGTTCTTTGCCAGATGGAACATTGAAAGGCACGACTCAAAGTGGATACCAACGGCTGTCGTGGACGTTATCAACACCCTTTTAAGTCTCAAGTCCTTAGAATTGGTTTAGAAGGTGCTACTGCAGGCGTCCAGCTAGATTCTCTTCGTTATCCGGAGAGTATCGAGATATCTTCGCCCGACAATGATTACTTCGTAAATATCATTGAACCCTGTTCGCTCTTGCTTGCGAATTCGCCAAACCTTCATACCCTCAAAGCATCTGGGAGGATTGCTCACTAAATCTCGACACTTCCCCATCTTCATCGCTTGACGTCCTTGACACCACACGATGTTGGAATTTGATCCAGGCGGGCCGTATGTTGGGAGGACAGAAAGCTCGCATCCAGACGAGATGTGGGAGATGTTGAAGGCGACCATGTCCACGTTAATGGCATTGATGTGAACCATGCCTCTACTACCCTTCTCGATATATCTCATTGTACTCAGGACTGGAGAAACTGCGTCTGGCGCCTATAAAGGTTGAGGTTTATTCAAGCATACGAGCTCTCTTCGAACTCGTTGTCAGGGCTGGTTTTGAAGGGGGGTGGTGCTTCTGGGATCAAGCTCTCGTGACGATCTCGCTATGCAAGAAGTTGAAGATCCTCGAGGGTAGTCTTATGTCGGCAGCCCTCGATGACGCTATGGTGAGTTGATGTGTTCTTTCCGATGGTGAGGCTGGGCTCATGAATGGTGTAGAAGATGTTGATTGACTTAATCACCCAACTCCCTCGCATGGAGGAACTAACTGTTCACCCCGCGAGCCTGGAGTGCTTTCGTTGGCATATCTGTGCTAACCCGGTGATGGGCAATCTTCAGTCTCCTATTGTGTTTACGGAGGCGGGGATCCCACGTCTGACATCAAGAATTTACGAAACGCTTTTCAAGCTCTCATCGACGTGACAAAAGGTGTGTAGACTCCGTTGAGCTCGCTTGCAACCCATCTGATCATGATATAGGTGGTGGTAACATACTTTCCTACAAAGGCAGCGGGAAGTTATGTGACCTGAAGTGTGCCATCACACTTCACGGCGCCTGGGGAAAGCATGGTGGCGTGCCCACGGTAAGTCGACTACTCTAGTTCTAGGCATAATAAGACTTACTCGACGTTTTCATCGTCAAGGAACCTTGGACACCATGGCTGCGGAAGTCTTCTACGAGGAATATCAATTTTCGCCTTTGCTAATTGCCAATCGACCTGACCCGGACGGCTGGGTAGCTGACGATCTCCCTTGTATGGACTCATGGAAGATGCGACTCAACCTGAGGTTGTGAAGTTCGGATGTTCTCGTGACGACGTGAAGAAACAAGCCGGCACTGCATTATCTCTCTTTCCCCATCTCGAGGCACCCAGAAGTTCGTGACTCTTCAAAACTTCGATGATATAAAAGACGAATACCTACGGCATCCCTTTCAGTTTCGTAACACTCTTGGAAATATGCCGTCGAGCATTGCACACAGCCCACTGCATATAAGGGTGTCAGGCAAAACTTTGACGACAAAGCAGCGACTCCAAGTTGGCTTCAAGTCACTTCTACATTCAGAACTACATTATGTAGCTAAAATGCTCAACCCGACGTATGAAGTTGAGGATGTCGAGATACAACCTTTGCTACAAGTTTATCGCTCCCTCAACCGAAAGGTGGATACGCCTCTGGCTGACGAGGCAGTTCCCACCGAACGTACGTAACAGATCCAAACGTCAAAATCGACATTTTATCCATATAGAGGTGTTTGGAGCTGCTTGGCGGGCGTCTGTGTTCTACGGTGTCCCTTGATTTTTACATAGGTGGAGTCAATGCGGGTGATTGGACTCGGGAGCGCTTTATTACCGCAGTTCGAAACTTTCGCAGTACAACACTTGAACAATCATCTAACCACCATGAGCGACAGAGGTCACCGAGGCATTAAGGTTCATCCTGGACGAGGCGACCCAGGTTTTGGGAGGGGGCGTGGTGGGCCTGGCTTCGGCAGGGACCATGCGGGACCTAGCTTTGAGAGAGGCCGTGGAGGAGGACCTGGTTTTGACAGAGGTCGTGGAGGATTTGGTTATGACAGAGGTCGTGGAGGATTTGGTTTTGACAGAGGTCGTGGAGGACCTGTTCTTGTTTGGGGGCGTGGAGGGCCTCTTCTTGTTGGGGGCCGTGGAGGACCTCGCATCGACAGAGGTCGGGGGGGACCTGGTTTTCACAGAGGCAACGGAGGTCCTACCTCTTTCGACAGGGGCCATGGTCGGCCTGGTGTCTTTCACAGAGGCCGTGGGGGACCTCCCTTTGGCGAAGGCCGAGGCGGTGGCCGAGGTCGCGGATTTCTAGGTCTGGGGTTTGTTTGAAGAGCAGAACGTCATGGACACGACGCAGATTTTGAATTCCACATTTCGCCCATTTCGCTGGCCATCTATACTTTGTCGGAATAGAGAAACGGCTTTGGCTTCTCTTTTGACACGTGCGGGCGCAGTTTCGAAGGAGGAGTGATATAATTGATCAGTAACAATTTACACATCACTAGCACTCATGTACTGGAGTCGACAGCTTCAGCAATTCAAAATATGTTGTAAAAATGTCGTCACGACTCACAATTCACTCTTCCCCGTTTCTCCAATGATCCTCAAGTGGCCATCGTCAACATTCTGTCGTAGGGTACTTTGAGCTTCACCACATGTGACTAACACTTTTTTCTTCAGGGAAATGTAATGGCACGTAACGATGGGCGCTCAATTCAACTCGGACGGACCCGATGGGCGCCTTTGTGACTTTATGTAAAAGGACAGCACTTCAAACCTTCTTCAGCTCACCACGTACACTCGAATTCATTCACTAGCAACTGACAATCATGAGCGACAGAGGTCAACGAGGCCGAGGACAAAACCGTGGCGGACGAGGTGGCTCAGGAGGCCCACGTGGAAGAGGGGGCGGTGCTGAAGGTCAAGGAAGTGGTAGGTCAACACCAAGTGAGAGAGGAGGGGGCCGGGGCGGTCCAGGTTTTGACAGAGGCCGAGGTCGAGGATTCGACAGAGGTCGCGGCCAAGGTGGACCAGGTGGCGCTCGTGGTGGGTTTTCGGGATCCACGATATATGCAGAGAATACTCCTGCTAGGCTTCCTGACCGGCTGGCGGACAATAGCCAAGAGAAATTGATCTCAAGCTTCAAGTCGTTAAAAGTCCAGCCTGACCGCCCGCTGCGTCCAGGCTACGGAACGCTTGGAAAACCTATTACCCTCCGCGCGAATTTTTTTCCCATGCGCGTTCCAAAGGGGCCCATATATGACTATACCGTTGAAATCACGCCGAAGACCAATATCAACAGGCTCAAAAGTCGTATCTTTGAACTCTTGGAGTTGAGCCCTTTATGCCAACCACATCTCCCATACATTGCCCACGACCGCAGTCAGAGGCTTGTCTCCGGGCGTAAACTGCCTCAACCTCTTGATATTCAAGTTCCATTTTTTGACGACACCGAGTCGGGGCCAAGCGCCAACGCTAAGGTTTACAACGTTTCAATCAAATTTTCTCGCGAGATAGACACCCAGCAGCTAAACCGGTGTGTTGGAAGCCTTATCTGCGCTCGTCAGTCCTAATTCTCTTCTCAGCTATCTGGATGGTCGAGGTGAAAGCCGGGACTACGACACACTTCCACTTATTTCCGCACTTAACCTCGTTTTACAGCAACATGCTAGTAGGCAAGGTGTACGTGTCGGCAAGAATCGGTACTTTTTCCCAACCGCAGACAAGGTTTCCCTGGGGGCTGGCGTGGAGGGTTGGCAAGGCTTCTTCATGTCTGTACGACCATCATTTAAACAGCTTATGGTCAACGTGTAAGCTCCTCCCTCACGCTGAAAATAGTTTCGCTTATTTTCCAACGTAGCAACGTTTGCATGACAGCCTTCATCCAACCTGGCAACCTTGCCGATCGGTTAATCGAATTTCGACACTCATCTGGCGCAATGCCGACTTTACCCAAACAGATGGTGAAGAGTATCAAAGTGAAAACGAAACACTTGGGTCACAGGAAACCTCTCAAAGCCATAGGGACTACGTCGGCTCGCAACACTTATTTTGATTGCGAGCAATTTGGGGGCAAAATTTCAGTGGAACAATACTTTTTAAAGGGTAAGTCATGACCACAACGTATTCAGCTATCTCTATTAACTTTTCTGCTGTAGCGTATAACAGAAAACTCCGCTATCCAGTCGAGTTACCCGTTGTTGATATTGGAGGTAACAAAAAGGTCTGGGTTCCCGCAGAGATGTGCGATATCGAACCCGGAAACGCCTATCGGGGGAAGCTCAACGAGAAGGAAACCGCGCAAATGATCAGGTACGCGTGCAATCCGCCTCGTGTGAACGCGGAGGCCATCGTTGGCAAGGGACTACCCACTCTGGGTGTATCTCCACCACAAGGGCCGCTTGCTGGGTTCGATGTTTCTATAGATCCTACAATGGCCGTGGTCCCAGGCAGAGAACTTTACCCCCCCAAACTAACGTATAAAGTCGGTCGAGCGGACGTCAAGAATGGCAGCTGGAATATCCTTGATGTCAAATTTCAACAAGGGGCTACTATCACGTCGTGGTGGGTTATGGTGGTTAGAGATGGACATAACATGCTTTCAGGCCCGAAGGACCCGAGGCTCATGGGCTTGGTGCAGGGATTTGCCACGAAGCTCAAGAACAGCGGCGTGAACATTCCAACTGGACTTCCCCGTCTCATCCCTCCGCCAACTTTACCTCCTCCATATTCTGACCCTTCTAGGACACAGGGGCTGCGGAATATCAAGTTAACTTTGGAAGGAGAATTAAAAACGCAAAAGAAACCAAGCTTTGTTCTTGTTTTATTGGAAAACCGAGACAATTATATTTATCCCGGAATCAAAGTACGCATTGACACATTTACTCATTACCTTTTAAAAGATCTGACTATTTCATCTAGCGAATTTGTGATGTAGAGCTTGGAATCCATACAGTCCACATGCAACTAGGGAAAGCCCTGACCGACGAACGCAAGCAAGATCAATACTTCTCCAACGTTGCTTTGAAGGTGAACACGAAGCTTGGGGGGATGAATCATTTGGTAAGCACCTTGTGCTTTTGATCATAGCAATTGACTCATTCGTTCTCAAGCTGGAACCCAACGCCATGAATTGGCTAACAAAGAAGAAAACCATGATGGTTGGTATAGATGTCACCCATCCAGGTCCCAATAGCCGGGAGGGAACACCATCAATCGCTGCGGTCGTCGCCAACGTCGATGACAATTTCGTCCAGTTCCCGGCTAGCCTTCGTATACAGCAGCATAGCAAGAAAGAAGTACGTCTCGTTTGAGACTGATCCACCTCATGCCCACATTCACAACTAACCTCATGCTAATAGATGCTCGACGAACTCAGGGATATGTTAGTTGAGCGTCTGATTGTCTACGAAAAGAAGAACAAAGGTCTTCCGGCGAGAATTTTTGTATTCCGCGATGGCGTTTCGGAGGTAGGTCTTAGTGACTCCTGATGACAGCCCCCCCTCATCATCAATGCAGGGCCAATTCGACACAGTCCTCCAAGAGGAGCTTGCTCAAATTCTCGAGGCGTTCAAGAAGTTGAGTACGAAAGCCCGTGGATCGGCTTACCGACCATCTTTGTCGATTATCATCTGCGGGTGTGTACTCTGCGTCATGTTCAGTTAAATCAGGGATGTGACGCTCTTCCTCTCCTAGAAAACGGCATCACGCGAGGTATATACCAAAGTCTTCTCAGTACTCCTTTCGTTCATTCTGCCCTAGGTTCTACCCCATCGATTCCCAGTACGCAGACAGGAACGGAAATACGCGTCCAGGTACTGTTGTTGACAAAGGTGTCACTGGAGTGTACGTAGTGCTACCCGCCATCAACTTTGATCTGGCCTAACTTTTTTTTCGTAAAGCTTCGATTTCGACTTTTACCTCCAAGCACATGCCGGACTTCAAGGCTCCGTCAAAGCCACGCATTACACAGTGGTATATGATGAAAACAGCCTTACCGCGGACGATATACAACAAGGCACACACACTGCCAGCTATCTCTATGCGCGAGCTACAAAGGCTGTTAGTCTCATTCCCGCCGCGTACTACGCCGATTTGGCGTGCGAGCGGGGCAGATGTTATTTGAACGATTTCTTAGTAGATGATAAAACCACCACTGCTGGCAGGAGCGGGTTTGTCGACAAGGAGCACGAAGCTGCTCGGGTTTTTGAGTCAGCTAAGGCTGCATGGGGTCAAGGGGTGAGTGTCTGACATCCTGTTCCAGTCGCCGGGCAGGACAAATCTAACTAAACTTCTATGTCAGCTTCATCAAGATTTGCGGGAGTCTATGTTTTACATCTAACCAGTCGGGTCCATAAGTACATGATCTAACGGGGAGTGAGATTATCCTTTTTTTCTATCTGTGAACAATGTCGATGCTTTTTGTCTTACTCCTCGCAATTTGTTCAAGGTCAACCCACACATCTTGAGGGTTGACCTTGAACAAATTGGCCAAACGCAGCTGCTGGAACTGCCTCAAGAAACCTCTACCCACACCAGGGTTTCCGTATCATCGTTGCAGAACCGGCGTTTGCGTCGAAGTCGTTTTCACGATCTTGGTAGGGGTGCCTTATGACCGTTATCATAAAGTTTGCAAGGGTTATCCATTTGACAGCTAAAGATTTACAGATTTAAGTCCAAGCATTTGCCAGTAGCCCATTCTATGTATTTAGACATGAAGAGATTGCTGAATTCGTAAAAGCAGAATGGAGGGTTCTGATTCTTACTAGGCAGCTGCTCGACATCGACATGGTGAATCATACACCGCGCAAAGCTAAAGCCTTCGATGTAAAGTGCTGAGTAAACCAAGTCTCCATCGGACGCGACAAAAAAAGACATATTCACTAGTAATCGCCTTCTTCATCTTCATCAGAGTCGCATTGGTACCTCAATGTTACTCCGCCTGTGCTTGCACTGGGTAGCGTCACGGTTACAAACTTCCTGGAGTCCGCGACGATCAAAGGAACAGGTTCGAAGGACTCACTGGCCTCGTACTCATTGATGCATCTCGAGACCTGCGTGTTCACCCACTGAAAGTGGCTCATCGCTGGATTACCACATCTAGCCCAGCGGAAGCACTCCAAATTCGAGGGATTAATGATCAGTTTCTTCAGCCTAGGGACTTGCGTTGTGAGATCGATTAACGATTTCTAATCACGTATTAGTCCAGCTTGGTCTACTCAGTAAGAACTTTCAACTCACAACAGCATCGTCCGCGGGTTCTTTGAAGGATCCTGAGACAAGGCTACCCTCAAGAAGCTTCAATTTCCTGCACTGCGAGATCACTAAGAGAGCCCTGTCTCCAAAACACCACTCTCCTTCAAATGGGGGCCTAACACTGAGTTCCTCAAGGGAGTTCACATGCCTGCCTAAAGAGGAGCCGTAAAAGCAGTTGGCAGCAAGATCCGAGTCCTCCCGGGCTGAAAAGTTATTGGGTGCCAAACGTAACCTCTTCAAACCCGAGTATGAAGAGATATAATCGAGAAAGGCAGCGCAGCTGTCGTCAACATCGGTTTCGTTGAGATGGACGTTGATCGCCTTCAATGTCACCCAGATCTCGTCGGGATGAGATATCTCTCCATTATCGATGGACAACGCGTCCGAATCAGATTTCGCTGTCCTAACATTGAGTAGTGTCAAGGACGTCAAATGTCGAAGATGAGGAACAGTTATGTTGTCGAGTTTGACGAACAAGCTCCGCAAACCCAGATCTTTCAGCGGCAAGACGCGATCTGAAGGGCAAAACTTTACGAGGCGATGAAGTGTTGTTGCTGGACCATCCCCATAACTGTAGGTCGGACCCACGTGGATGGTGTGGAGATTCGGTGAATTTGCAATCAATAGCGTCAGAGGCTCCATGATATCCCTGAAGCAGTAATGACTGGGTCCAAAAATCTTGATGCTCTCCAAATTGCGTAGAGAATCTAGTTGGAGGCCTGCAACAACATCTTCTAAAACCAATTCCAAGGACTTGAGGCTTGGAAGCGTTTTCATTGCATCCACGACAGCCGCTGGTGTCCACTTTGAATCGTGTTGACCAACGTTCCATCTTCCAAAGACCGTGAATTCGGAGCAAGTGAAAGGTTCAGATTGGCAACTTACTTGAGACTCTGCAAGTTGCTTAAAGAGGCGATAGCTACATGGAGCATGGCCAACATCTTTTCCTCTGCAATCTTCACGTCAGGAGGGTCTGGACTGGGCGCCTTCTCCAGCCATTTCCGTATATCGGAGTCGAATACATAGCGTGCGGAGTGATCGGATGGATCCATTGAGGGACAAAGGTTGCGGACGTGCAGCTTAAATGTAGCTGAAGCAGAATCGCTACTCTGTGTAGCCAGTGTCGTGAGCTGGGAAATGCCAGTGTCGAGTCGATTTTTCGTAATATTAATGGAAATCGACCGGAGAATGTGCGATTCGAGCACGGCGCTCATCCTCTTGCAAACGAGGCGCAGTTTCGTTACATCCTTTCCCAGCTACGGAAGGAAGATTCAATGAAGGAATGGAGATAAAACTGGTATGAACGTACCTCTGTACCGATTTGCTGTATAAGTTCGGGAGCGAGAGAATCCAGGCTACATTTCATGATGGATGTTATTTGAGTTGGAGGCAAGGCGTCGGTACCTGTGTGCCCATACATCCGACTCCATTGCGACAGTCCTTCATCCCAACCTGCTATAATCGTGCTTCTTGATAAGCTAAAGCTTTATGTTAGCAGAGATGGAGGTACGACAAGTGTAGATTGGATAATTTTTGATGTTTTTCATTTGCAACTAATTATGCGATTCAACCTAGATCCGGACCTGTATACAAACTCGCATTCAAATTGAAAGAACGTGGCGAACAGAAAATGATATTGGATAACTTCCTAGGCTCCTATAGGTCTAGAAACCCAAGACATGAGCCTAAAAGTCAGCCGTCGAAAAGATATCAATGATAATCCATCAAGCATGCCTGCGCACTCGCCCTCTGGGAAGGAATATACTGGCAGATACGTCATCTTGTTCAAGCATGACGCTACTAGGGATGATTTGAATGCCTTGACTTTGATCGATGGATTCAGCTTCCCGGACGACAAGGAATCCTATGATGACAGCTTCGATAAATTGAAGGTAATCATTGGTACGTATCTGGTTTCTTTTTTTGCATTATTCTGAAGCACATCGTTGCCATAAAATCCAGGTGAATTCGACGAGACATCTCGTCAGATTCTCGAGAAATCCAAGCTTGTCACATTCGTTCACAAGGAGTACGTTTTCCCCGCTCCGTACGGAGAATAGCAAAGTTTAAGAGTTGCATCCAACACGGACACGGAGGGTTGGCAGCGAATGATGTTTGGAGAAATCTTGTGTAGATGTATCAATATCATATTAAATCAATGTATTCCATTGAGACGGTCATTTGATAACCTACAGTAAGTATCTACTGCTATATTGCAATTCCTTACCTCAATCACTCTTCAAAAATAAAAGTCGCTGTCGTCAGGCTCATTAGCGTCCCATTGATACCTCAACGCTCCAACAGCACTTCCAGCACTGTCACTTGGCTCCATAATAAACTTCCTTGAGTTTACCAGGATCAAGGGAACGGGTCTGGCAGACTCCATTGCTTCGTACTCTTTGATGCATCTCGATAGCTGCGTCCTCACATGCTGAAAATGGCTCATCGCCATGTTACCGCAGATCGCCCAACGGAGGCATTCCAAGTTCGCAGGACGAAGGGTGAGTTTCTCCAAACGAGGGAGTTGGGTAGTAACATCGATCAACGCCTTCTACACCATTCGTGAGTTCAGCCTCATCATTTGAAAAGACACATCAACTCACCACACCGTCATCGAGGGATGCCGAAACGAGTTTACCCCCAAGGATCTTCAACTTCTTGCATAGCGAAATCACCGCGAGAGCTTGGTCTCCGAGGCACCATTCTCCTTCATACCCAGCCATAACAACGAGTTCCTCAAGAGAGCTCGTATGCTTGCCTAAACAAAGATTATAAAATTGGTTGGCGGCAAGATCAGATTGTTCCAGAGTCTCAAGGTTGAGAGGCACCAAACGCAGTGTCTTCAATCCTGAGTACGATGAGATATAATCGAGAAGGGTGGTGGAGATATGGTTCACATCGATGTCGATAAGACGGACATCGGTCGTTTTCAATATCGCCCATATCTCGTCTGGGTGCGAGCTTTCTTCCTTACCAACATAAGCCCCGTTTGGATCAGATTCCGATGTCCTGGCATTGAGTAGCGTCAAGGATGTTAGGCGTTGAAGATGAGGAAGTGTTATTCTATCGAGCTTCAGTGAGAAACCATGCAAACCTAGATGCTTTAGCGGTAAGACGAAGTTTGGAGGGCAGTGCCTTAAAATATGATGAAAGGATGCCGCTGGACCGTACGTAGGTCCCACATGAAGGGTGTGAAGGTTTGGCGAGTTCGCAATCAAAAGTGAAAGGGGTTCAATGATATTTACGAAGTACTCTTTGTTGGGCGCAGATATCTTGATGCTCTGCAGATTATGTAGAGATTGTAGCTGGAGGTCTGCGGCATCAGGACTTCCTACAATAATCTCCAAGGATTCGAGGCGTGGAAGAGTTTTAACTGCATCCATGACCGCTGTTGGCGTCCACTTCGAATCGTATCTGCCAATGTTCCATCTTACAACAAATATCAACTCTGAGCGTTTAAGAAGATCAATGGGTGACCCACTTGAGACTCTCCAAATTGCTTAAAGAGGCGATGGCCACCTGAAGCATGGTCTGCAGTTTTTCCTCAGCAATCTTCACCTCAGGAGGGCATGGAATGGGCGGTTTCTCCACCCATTCCTGCGTATCTGAGTTAAACACCCAAGAAGGAGATCGATCGGATGGGTCCTTCGAAGGACAGAGGTTACGGATGTGCAGCTCTTTTGTGGCTGTCGCCGCGTGATTTCCCTGCGTCGCCAGCGTCGTGAGTTGTGACATGCCAACATCGAGTCGAGGCTTCATAATGTCGATGGCAATCGATCGGAGAATGTGTGATTCGAGCACGGCACTCATCCTCTTGCAAACGAGGCGCAATTTCGTTACATCGTTTCCCAACTACAGACGGGAAGATTTAATAAAGGATTGGAAATAAGAACTGGGATCGACGTACCTGTGTACCGATTTGCTGTATAAGTTCGGGAGCGAGGGAATCTAGGCTCATGATGGTTGTTATCTGAGTTGGGGGACATTCAAAGTATGCAGGGCGACTCAGCATGCACCGCAACATTACTTGATTCTGACCGTGAATATAGCTAGCTAATAAGTGTCATCGCCGCCTCTTCCACCGCGTGGTGTGCTTGGATTTAGGCTGCTTGGCTGCTAGGCAAATCCTCGCCAGCCCATTTATCCGGGTTTGGGCAGTAACTCGTCTTGGGCCACATCGTTTCTTTCGATCGCGCCTCTGTCGAAAGCGATTACTCCACTAGGACTCGATGGATGGACACCCTGACGTTGTTGTGAATGGGATACCATCTCACCAGCCTTTCTGCGTAAAACAAGTGGAAAAAGAAGAGGGAAACCGAAAAGGTCCATAGGGTCGAAGAGGTCGAGAGGATTCCCTTCAGGTGGCTTATCGGGATGAATTGGAACGGCAACGAAAACGATGACGACGGTATAGGACTTGTGATCTTTTAACTTCTACCAACTCACCCGCCGAAGAGGCCACTTTGAGCCCACTGCAATATTAAATTGGAACAGGACAAGGCTAGCGTGCCCAATAAACTCGTCCAATTTATGGCGAACTTATGCCTCCTCCTTCCGCTCCCAGGCGTCCCACTTCAACCTTGAGGCGGGCTCGAACCCAGCACCCCTCACTACGACCTTCTAACCTAGTGCGCCACCAACGTCCACACAGCTCAAAGTCTATTGCACCATCCTTCCATCCATCCTATTCCCTATCGCGGTATTCGCATCCTCTCCTTCTCAGGGGTGCTTACCATGGCTTACTTTTAACAGCGGGCTTGGGAGGTATAGTGAAAGCGCCCAGTGGGTTTATAGAGGGGTGGAAGAGGGTGTGAAGTTGGAATTTGGCGACGAGCGCGAAGAGAAATCGCGACGACGAGGCGAGAAGGATCCGTGGTTAGCGCAGTTGGATTAGAGGTGGAAAAGTCGAGGAGCGTGGTGTGTAGTGCTTTTTCGTTGCTGTCTTCTTCTTTTTGCTCAAGCTACGTTCAGGTGCAAGGACTTGATGAAACTGAAACTGAACATGACGCGTAGCAGGCACTTGAAGATCTAGTATGGCTCAGTACCCTCGCTACTTCTCCTTTCTCCTTCCTGTATTACACCGCTGCTGCTCAAGCTAGCGGACAATGGTTAAATTCTCGAACACAAAAAAATTCTTATGTCGACGACATGAGGTGGGCAAACTGCGTACCGCTCGCGATAGGACCAGTCAAATTCTTGGTTCGCGCCCTGCAGAGGTGCTGTTGGCTTCGGGCGAGGTGACATCTGACGATGATAACGACCTAGATATGGCGCTACGGCACGGTTATTCTGACATCTCTTCACACTCCGGCTCCCTGCTATCGATTCAGTTGCCATCAGTTTGTGATTCAGGCTTGTTGTGGTCAGAGTCGTCAACTGGATTGTAATGGGGTAAACCATGAGGACGAAGCTAAAGTGTTCCTTACGTTTCACGCAAGCCTGTTATTAAGCTTATAAAAAGCAACCTACAGTATCTACTGTTGAATGGTAGTTTTTTCTGTTTAATTACCGTTCAGAAATCGTTGTCGTCAAAGTCGGGCTAATCAGAGTCGCATTGATACCTCAACGCTCCGCCAGCACTCCCAGCACCTTCACTCGGCGCCAGTGTAAACTCCCTTGAGTCGACGAAGATCGAGGGAACGGGTTTGGAAGACTCAGTTGCTTCGTACTCTCTGATGCATCCCAAAAGTTGCGTCGTCACATGCTGAACATGGCTCATCATCGGGTTAGCCCAAACATTCCAACGGAAGTCCCTCTTGAGGTCCGCAGGATGAACGGTCAGTTTCTCGATGCGAGGGAGTTGTGTGGTAACGTCCACCAACGACTTCTACACCATTCGTGAGCCTGGCCTCACCATCGGAAAGAACAGATGAACTCACCACAGCGTCGTCGAGGGCTCCCGAAACGAGGCTACCCTCGAGGATCTTCAACTTCTTGCATTGCGAGATCACCACGAGAGCTTGATCCCCGAAGCACCACCCTCCTTCATACTCAGCTATAACAATGAGCTCTTCAAGGGTGCTCGTATGCTTGCCTAAACAAAGGTTATAAAATTGGTTGGCGGCAGGATCAGATTCTTCCTGAGTCTCAAAGTTTGTAGGCGCCAGACGCAGTTTCTTCAATCCTGAGTAGGATGAGATATAATAGAGAAGGGCGGTAGAGACATGGTTCACATCAATGCGTTAAGACGGACATCGGTCGTCTTCAATACGGCCCATATCTCGTCCGGACGCGAGGTTTCTGCCGTACTAACCTACGCCCCGTCTGGATCAGATCCCCATGTCGTGTAATTGTGTAGCGTCAGGGACGTTAGGCGATGGAGATGAGAAAGTGTTATGCTGTCGAGCTTCAGTGAGAATCCCTGCAAACCCAGATGCTTCAGCGGTAAAACGAGGCTTGGAGGGCAATTCCTCAAAAGGCGATGAAGGGATGCCTTTGAACTGTACGTAGGTCCCAGATGAAGGGTGTGCAGGTTTGGCGAGTTCACAATCAAGAGCGAAAGGGGTTCAATGGTTTTCACAAAGGAGTCGTTGTTGGGCGAGGATATTTTGATGATCTGCAGATTTCGTAGCGATTCTAGCCGGAGGTCTGCCATATCAAAAGTTTTTTCTACAATCAACTCTAAAGATTCAAGAAGTGGAAGAGTTTTGGCCGCGTTGATGACCGCTGTTGGCGTCCACTTTGAATCGTACCCACCGATGCGCCATCTTGTGGCAAATGTTGATTCAGAGCACTCACTAGAAGTATCGAAGGGTGACTCACTTGAGACTCTGCAAATTGATTAAAGAGGCGATGGCCACCTGAAGCATGGCCTGCATCTTTTCCTCAGCAATCTTCACCTCAGGAGAATATGGAGGCGGCTGGTCCACCCATTTCTCCGCATCTGGGTCAAACACCCAATTAGGAGAGTCATCGGATGGGTCCTTTGAAGGACAAAGGTTACGGATGTGCAACTCAAGTGTGGCTGTCGCTGCGTGATTGCCCTGCGTCGCCAGCGTCGTGAGTTGTGATATGCTAACATCGAGCCATAAAGTCTAAGTCCCAAAATGACAACAACAAACCACAACTGTGAACTTCGCCATTCCTACCATGTCCTTTGTAGAAGAAACAGACCAAGGCCAAGCACTAAAAACAGAGGTTTACGCCATTGACGAAGCCGCATTGTGCTACCACCACCATCTCATTTACGAAGCCAAAATCCTCAAAGCCACCAGTTTGGACGACGAAAACACCAGCATAACGGGTGCCATAGGCCCGCAATACTATGTGCACTACAAAGGGTGGAAAGAAAAGTGGAACGAATGGGTCCCCGCCGAGCGGCTGCTCAAAAAGACCCCCGAGAATTTAAAGCTGCAGGCCAGCCTGAAGGCCGCTCACCCCCATCTTTCAGGGCGCGGGCCTGGTCAGGCTAGCTCCGGTCTGGTCAAGTCTTGGGGAGGTTCGGCGATAAGTGTCAAGAAGAGGGGAAGGAAGAGGCGACGAGAGCAGGTATTGAAACTTTTATATCGGCGGGGTTATTTTTTGCGTATTGCGCGTCGCTGACTCGAATTTTAAAAAAGGACGAAGGGAACAGAAGGCTGGACAACATTCGTGTCAACGTCCCTAGTTCGCTCAAACATAAACTCGTCCAGGACCGAGACGCGATCACAATAAACAGCCAGGTTAGCTCGCTCTCCCTGCTTTGCCCTTGCTCAACTTAAACTCACGTCCCACAGCTCGTCCCCCTCCCACGCGTCCCAACAGCTTTCGACATCCTCAACTCCTTCAGTGACTCTATTCTGTCCACAAAACCACCACAGTACGCGTTCCTTCCCTTTTATTCTTTCCCCTGTTGACTAATCATCGCCTTAGCCTAATCGAACCCAACCTTGTCCTACCAACCATAATTTCCGGGCTCCAATGCTACTTCGACCGCGCCTGCGGGCCCAATCTCATCTACGCGAATGAACGGGCCCAGTTTGCTGAGGTTAGAAAACAATATTGGACGGGGCCGAAGGTGATAGTAGGCCAGGAGAAGGAAATGAGCCTCATTTATGGGGCAGAGCATTTGCTACGGATGCTTGGTATGTTTTCTTTCTTCCTCCCTCTCTTTCATTTTGTTCTTGTTTGTTTTTATGATCAGGCTGACTTACTTTACCTGATAGTGGTGTTCCCAATGATGATAGTCAGTTCCGAATTAGATGATGGGTCGATCCAAATATTAAGGGATTATATCGACGAATTGCTTTTGTGTGTTTTTGCCCTCTGTGTCATGCTAATTCCATTACTTAACAAATGGACAACATAGGTATATGGAACGTGAAAGGGAAAACATATTCCTTTCAGAATATCAAAGTGGAGATTCAGTAAATTTATGTGTTTCAAAGCCACCGTATGTATCCTGCCTGTGCATTGCCTATAGATGACTGATGCACCCGCCTTGTCGTAGAGCACGGCGTCGTCGAAACCAGAACCAAGAATGAGAAAACCACTCGTTTCAATTTTTTTGCTGCACATGTCGTGACAATATGGTTGTGTTCCTGCAATATAGGTTTGGAGCTTCTTGACAGAGATCTGAGTATCCTTTGCCAAAAGGAAGCAGCCGAGGTCACCTCCACTGAGGGAGAACATTGAACAACATTCGGTATCGCATGTCTTATCAGAATTACAGCATTACTTATACCCCAAACCGTTCCTCAATCCGAGTGCTTGTAAATGCAAAGTGTCATACGTAGACTCTCATCCGGAGGTTAATTTTGTTGGGGCCCCAAGGCAACTTCTTCTCGAGTAGGGCATCTCTTAAAGCTTAGCTTCGACCCCAGCGTCCATTTCGAATTCTAAGTTCTAAGTCTAAAAACGATATGCTATTTGCTTCGTAAAGTGTAACTAACTACCTTTGAATACTATACTCGAATAAATACGTGCGTATTTCGAACCGAACTTGTCAATGAAAACATGCATGCAATGTTGGAACCCCGTGAAAAGAAAAAGGAAAAAAAAATCAGCATAAGTCAGTCCAGTCAGTCGGTCCGCGAACCAAGGTTAACACCTCCCAGCCCCCAACTCCCTCCTCAACTGCTCCGCCCACGCCATGATAAAATAGACCACTCCACAAGGCAACACACACTTCACCCCCACCTCTCTCCAATCCCATCTCCTCCCACCCCACTTCCCCCCATCTCCCCACCTCTTCCAATAAGCCCTCCTGTTCCCCTCCGTCGTCGTTGCGCTCACAGCCGTATCCCCGCCTTCCTTCCCACCACCGCCCTTGGAATCCCACCACAAATTACTCGTGACCCAAATCTGCACGCTCCGACTAACGCTCGTCGTACTCCCTATAACAGCCCACACCACCACCGGCCGTTTCTCGTGTCCGAGTATGGTAAGCGTAAGATGTGTAGCGGGCCAACATATCCCCTGCAGCGCCAACAACCGGACGAGGGTCGATATCGGTGGGTAATAAAGCCGCCAGCGCGTCAACAACCCCGTCGTAAGGCACAAACACTGGTATCCCGTCAAGATAGCCCACAGCGCCGAAACGAAATAGTCGATCCGTTCAGGGGATCCTAGCGGGGGTGGCGAGTAGAAGTGATACAAGTTATAGAGGGTACCAAAGATAGCGGGGACGATGGAGAGAAGTCGGGAAAACTCGAAGAGGAGGGGCGTTAGTCGTTGTTGGAGTGTATTTGGGGGAACGAGTGGGCCGGAGAAGGGGACTTTGCGGGCGGTGGGTAGGTGTCGATGCTACACTTTCTCTTGTTAGACAACAAAAAAGAAAACAAGGACACAAAAGGGATGGGGTAATCACAGGCTCGTCCGTTTCCGTCTCCGTCTCCCCCGCACAGAGTTCTCCGGGGGTCGTGCATATTGGTTTCGGCTGGCCTCTCGAATGACTGGTGCTGAGACTGGTAGAGGACGCGAGCGCGAATAAGCGGGTCCTTAAACTATTGCTGCTTGCATTCCGGCGGGAGGAGGAGGTAGTGTAGATGAGGTCATCGTCTTCTTCCGTGTCAGAGTTCATATCAAGTGGTATTGAGAGTGGGGGCTCGGGTAGGGAAGTATACGGCTCGGGTTCGTGAAGGGGAGTATACAACTCGGGCCGGGCGGAGTAGGCAGGTGGTGGGCAGGTATCGAGCGGAGAAGAAGGAAGTGATTTGAGTGCTGTGGTAGACCTCGATCGAGAAGTCGCGATGGGGACAATCTGTGCTGGCGTGAATAGGAACTTGCAGTTGGATGTTGGTGGAAACACGGAGATATCGTGACTTGACGAGGAGCGTGGTCTTCTTTTGTGTACTCTGAGAAGGGAAGGGGGGGCGGGTAATTTGGATGGGTCGGCGGAGGGTGAGTCAATGATGGTGGTAATAGACGCGGTGGTGGTGATAAGACGGTGTTTCTGGTCAACTGGCAACTCTTTGCCGATGGGATCCCCTTTATGCGACTGCAAATGCTCACAAAAGCCTGAAGCCAACGCTCGTTGGCTTCGCGCTGGAGCAGCAGATCTCACTGCCAGGGTGCAGAGCTCCTTTGGTACGTCTGCAAAATATGCGTTCAAGCTTGTGCTTCGTTGTTCATCAAGGGCTCGTCGAGAACACCTATTTTCTCTGTTTTCTCGTGATGAGAGACACCTGGGAGACCGCATCACGAATCAGCAACAGCTTTATGAAAGACAAAAAATGAAATGAAGGGGAATGAATAAAACATACAAAAGGCTCGGTATGTCTGTTTAAGTATGGAGTCAAGGTATGTGAACGTGTGGCGGAACGTTGTCCGGCAAAAGCCGCCTTTTACCAAATTTCATACTTACAAGTTCTTGCACCGTTCAAGTGGACTGACGCAATGCAGGGCGTCATCATGACCCTCAAAACTTGCAGTGACCACCCACTCAAAATTCCTTTTGTTTAGTACGACTGCGCCTCCACCGTCATTTACTCCACTCTCCGTGTGTACCAAAACCACAGGTACCAAGGCTGGCTACAATCAACTTTGAAGACATTTATGGATCCTTGTTCATTTGATGCGGGGCGCGTTGCATTGTATTTTGCGTGCAAGATGTGGCGGAATCAATATTATCAACGCGCAGTACTAGGCGTAGCATGCCAGTGAAACCAAGAAACTACTTCGTATGTCGACTTCAGCAGGAAACCGCACGTTCGGTATTCATACGTACCTTGCAAGTTATTCTTGTCCAAAGTTCGTTTTTGGAAAAGACGCTTATCGATGCTTCACTTTTCACCAGAAAAAAAAACTCAAGCTTCAGTATTTATGCGCTACGACTGGCGTCCAAGATAGCCCAAGACATTGACAACGTAAGATCATCTTTACCTCAAATCTGCTGGGTGCTCGGGAGTCGGGAGTCGGCTTCAATAATGACTCGCGGTTCCATTATAACTTACCTTATCAGACTCGGACTCGATTATCATTATCACGGTTGTCATCTTATCATCATTCCCGACGGATGTTTTCCGGTGTTCAGTCCTATACGCTAAATCTAATATAGGACATCTCGATTCTCCAAACTCCACTTTGGAGAAAGTTTTGACGCGTACTGTGGCGAACTCATCTGAATGATCGGCATACGCCTACGGAACGTCGGGCCTCCTTCCGCCTCCACACCGCGCCGCAGAGATTCTGATTCCTATAGAAGGTATTTCGAAAGATTCACCCTCATTTTCCTGCATTTGAAATGATACAATCATAAACTGAAGGATATCTTGTCTTCCGACTATACTAAATAGGTAGCTCAGACAGGGGTATGAGTATTCTGATTCGTTGGAGCGACCCTCTTGAAATTTTTAAGAACACCAAACGCGAAGTCGTCATCTTGGAAAAGGATTAGAAAACTATCGATGCCGCACGTTTGTGGTGGTTGGGACAAGGAATGTAGGTGAGCGCTTGGAATTACTTTCAACGTGCCAAGTCAATAGAACTCTGGACAGAAAAAGTTGACGAGGAATGGTGAATTTCGTTCCAGGCTCTAATGGGCAAGGATATTTGTCAGGCTTCCAAATATTTGCTTTGGGCGAGAAATGCCTAGCTCAACGGTCATCAATTTTTCCCTACTCAAGGTGCGATAAGTACAAACGTTCGACGTCGCGGGGATGATGAAAGAAACTTGGCAAAAACGACGATGGTCATGCTTCCTTCCTGCAAGTCAAGAAGTTTTGGGCCCCCTCCGCCATCCAAGTTACTGTGTCACCATTCGGTCAAGATCAATCAATGTTTAGTAGCTTAACTTCGCTCAAGAACATCAGTCCCACTCTCTCCGCCAGTCGAGCGATCGTACGCGCCGCTTTCAAACGACAAGAACCCCACGTCTCTACTCATTCTTGGCGTAATCTCACAACGGAGGAAGCACTACCACTTTTGAAGAGGACTAGTTTCACTCCCACCTTACCAGGAACTACGCAAGCCAGCCGTCTGTGAGCGGACTGGCGTGTCTGAGGCTCCCCGTGCGCGGGTTCACCTTTATAGCGCGCTCTAAGGCGACAACGAAGGGACTCTTTCGGGAACTGGCGTATTTCGACTCGAACATATTTCCAAGCCTTCTGGCCGACGACAGTCAGTTCGAAGCGATGAATCCTTGAAGCAGCAAATTTAAACGTGGACATCCATACAAATATATTCACAAAGTTCTAACAATTTTGTGCATTCGAAACTGAGCGCCCAGTAATTTTATCAAGTTCATTTTTCTGCCCATTTCTCAACAATGCGGAATCCAAACTCGCTGCATTCACCTGTTATTTGCTTATGATATTTTTCAAAGCTTCCCGCCTCCCGCCTCCCGCCTCCGAACATTTCGTCTTCCATCAATCCCGCCACATTCTAGGCCCGTATGAATCAACGTTGCTTATCAGCTGATACCCACTGATTGTCCATTTGGCACCGCCTTTATCTCGACCAAGCATTTAAATGAGTCGAATCTTCTCATGTCCATTCATTCCGCAGATCACTGTCTTGGGAAGGAAACTTCTTTCAACAAAAAAGATTATTTCCATCTAACTATTGTTTAGTTTCTGTCCAGCGGGAACCATCGTATTCGCCTCTCCATCATGCCACCCCGACGTGCAAAGCGCGCTAAAGTGGAGTCTGTGGTCGATGCGACACCCTCGTCGAGAGATGTCGTCTCCCTGCCCACTCGCACATCAAGCGCGTCAGAGCTTCCCGTGGAACTCTTTATGGAAATATTATCATACTTTCCTCGCGCGCCGGTTGGGGTTCCTCGCTATGGGGTATATATTGACAGCACCCCACCCGCTTCCTCTCTTGAGCGCACCGACCTCCTCAGAGCTCTCTCCCAGACGTGCCGACGGTGGAGATTGATTTTTCTACCTCTGCTTTGGGAGTGCCTCGAGGTCTGCACCACCAGATTCCAGAAACCCGCGTGGTATCTTTGGCTCGCCAGGTCATTGGAGAGGAAAAGCAAAGGCCTCACTTCAAGCCCTCAACACGCCGCTCATGTCCGGTGCGCGCCTGTAGTCCATTCATTAAGTCATGTGCGGTTTATCGTCGAACCAACAGATGCGTAAGAGTCAAACTTTCACGTTGCTCAACGGCAACAGTCCTGCCTGCCTTTGTTAGTTGTCTTGGGGCGCTGCCCAACCTACACACGCTGTCGATCATTTTCGCACATACCAAGATGACCAGTAGCCTCAAATCGGCTTTCGAAGGCCGAACGTTTCCGAGTGTGCGAACGGCGGTTGTCCCAAACCATGCTCACAATGTTTTGAGAAGCTGTCCAGAAGTGCGAAGGGTAATTTGTAACTATGGTGATGGAAGCACGCTTGTGAGCGCGATAGGTAAGGAATGCAAAAGGGTTGAAGTCATCGAGGGCTTTCAGCCAGACGAAAAGATGATGAAACGTTTGTCGTTTTTGTGATGCTTTGATCATGCGGATACTATTGATCATTGTCCAACAGGAATCGTGAAGGCTGCGCCTAACCTTCGGACCGCCAGGTTCTCTCGCTCTATTACTCCTGTTCGTAATTCCTCTTTGGCGCCCTAGAGCCCATCTGATTGGCGGCTGCTTATTGTGTAGGCGGCTCTTCTTCTGTTATCTTCTTTGAAAAACCTGGTAAACATTGAGCTTCATACTGATGTCCAGAGTGAGGCAGCCATTGGGAATGATGCCCGCTTGGTAGATTGCATAAAAATAGCGAAAGGAATGCTTCGAAAACGCGAGGGGACGAAGTCATTGATAGTGAGCCATTTTGCTTATATTTGCGCCTCGTTGGGCGGCTGGAGCAAGAACATTGAGCTCGATTAGTTAATTTTTTCGATACAAGCGGCAGACTTCATGGACAACCTGACATTGACATCTTGTTACCTGATTTATCAACCTTGCGAGAGCCATTCCTGTATTTTGATAATATTGTAATGAATTGTAGAGGCCAAGTAGAGGCAAGTTGCGGCTCTAAATTACAACAATTGGGGTATCACCGTATCAGGAATGAAAGCTCTTCTGCCTTAGCTCTGCTACTTTGTTTCCCAGCCAATACGATTCTCACCATCGGCCTCCCATCTGCCGTATGAGATACTGCCAACCTCATATCTCGGTGTTGGGCTGCGAATTCGGCGGGTGAAAGCGCAGGAATTGAAGAGTCCCAGTCGACCACCATCCTACGATGCTCGCAAGCTGCCAAAACAGCCCAATCTAGCTGCGAGGCAGGAATGCGCAAAGAACGAGTGTATCCATCCCAAGCCATCATCGATAATGCGGCGCAAATTGCCAAGGTCATCGTCCCGATCATTACGACGAGGACTGAAAGGCGAATTTGTACGACAGGCTGGGAAACAGTGAGGTTGCGTTGTTGGAGGTAGGGGCACTGTGAGTCTTTGACTGACATGAAAGCCTGCCAGTACCGCAGCATTTGCTTTGCAGTGGGTTGAACGACTGGTTGTCCAGCAATAGACGCTTCCAACACAGGTCGTTTATATATCTTAAAAGTTTGTTTAGAACTGAAGGCAAGATGTTCGTTGGGACTTACTTCTGCAACATTCATAACGGCGTTGGCGTATTGCCCCGTTGGTCCGTAGGCATGGTCAACTGGAATGAAACCTGGCACCGTATTATTGAATATACACTCTACAACATGTACATCGGACTTGAAAGATGTTTCTTGGAACGTTCCGAACGATGTTAAACCCACGCCGTGAAGCAAGACGTTGGCCAGAGAGATATTCATTGACGTCGAGTTGCCAAGACCGCCAGCATCTGGTACCGAACCAAAGACATAAGTGTTGATGTTGTCCCGAACTGCTCCTGTGCCATTATTATCAGGGTCATAATAAAACCCACTATAGTCCGTTCCTTGACGGGTCGGGTCAACGGTGGCCCATTGAGGGAGGACTGTGCTCAACAAGGGGATTGCATCTTGGAAGCTGGTGGAGTTGGCGGAGTAAACATGGAGATCAACAGCGGGATAGAGGTTGTATGAGCAGTGCCCCTGCCATGTGTTGTTCCATTCCTGACCAACAAAAATCCACCCCGACGTGTCATTTGGAACGTAATCAAAGAGTTGCTCGAGCGGAGCATTGGCGTATTCCAAAGCCTGGATCCGTGCAGCTAGTTCAACAGTTGCACCATCTATGGTATTAAACTGGCTGACGAGTCGTCCCGAGACGAGCGCACTGCGATGAACGATATTGCTCTGAACGGTGCGGTTGGCAATGCTTGTGCTTGCAGCGCTAATAATAGCCGCGACGATACAGGCCAGCGAAGCCAGCGTATAGAAGATCTCTCCTCCGAAAAGACTTCTCGCAAGCATGCTCCGAAGTTGGAATACCTCGTCAATGGTTGTGGTCGGGGATATGGACCAAAGGCTAACTTGTGATTTATGCAGTTGAGGATTGAAAAGTTTTCTTCTGATCCAAGAACGATACATGGAGCGAAGACACACAGCGATGATGGTAACACAAAAAGTGATGTATGCACCAAAAATAGCCCTGATGGTGGAACGCGACCCAAGGCCGCAATCGATGAAGTAGTCATGACCTGCAAAATTGCCTTGAACCATCTTCGTAAGTGAAAGGAAGGGAGATGACAATATGGGGGCTGCTTGGGCAACTCACCTCATATTGAGAGGCACGGGCGTTTATGTCTTTGGCCTCGCCTTTGCTGCAAGGTTCATCTCGGGAAGTCTACTTGAAACCAGGGTCTGTTTGTATTGAAAAGGAAGCTCCGCTCGGCAGCATAAGTGGATGCGTTGTAGATGGCCATTTTGCAGTGTTGCAGCTTTGGACGCGTTTCGAGTAGACATTTGAGGAGGCGCCTAAGAAATACGCTCATACAAGATATGAGGAAAAAAAAGTCAAAGTAGACAACGATCGGGTTCAACCTGGTTCAACGCGACCAAATTATCGTTTGACATGTCATCCGGCTGCCAGATATCTGCTTTATTGACGTTGATAACGCTTTACCGATGAGCTCTGACTAGTCAAAGTAGATGAGCCTTACCATCACGTTAGCATTTCTTACACCGCCGTCAGTCTCCGGGGAGTGGATCATGCGATAATCTGGAAATCTCAAAAAAGAAAAAAAAAAAAAGTCGGAGTCAATTTCGTACCAGGTTCTGCCCTTGTCAATGGGCTGAAGCCTGATGGTTCTGCAACCGCCGATAAACTGACGAAAGATGGGGTGGTATAAAGCCACGGAAACCGCTGAACCGGCACGCAGGGGTCGACTCCATACGATTTTCTGAGCATCTGTCTCCTGAATCCTTACCTTATACACCTTTCCCAGACTTGAAGGAGGTGCTGCAGAAAGTTTGGCGTTAAACCTCCGGCGGTCCTTATGTTGATGCGGCACACCAGCTGCAAAATGCTCGGAAACCTGGGATGCCTCAGTAACATCGACACAAATATTTTTGAAAGCTTTCTGTGAATTGTGGTCGGAAGAGTGGGATACGTCCAGAGGATGACACGGAGCATCGATGTGAGCGAAGCGATTGCCAGCACGCTTGCCTCTCAATTTGATCAATTTCTGGAGTATGTAGTCCAAAAGTCTCGACATGAATTTTGATTAGGGCTGCGCACCGTCCCCGTCATAGACGGGTCGACGGACGGGTCTGACGGGCAATTGTCCGTCTCCGTTTGGACCTGCAGAACACCCGTTTTCATCCGTCACATGACGGCCGTAACGGCCGTCAGACGGGTCATCGACATATTCTATTATTTCCTCGTAATTAGCTGTACTATCTTTTGATTGTGTCAAAAGTGTCTTATTATTTACCTTTTGCAAGCTCTATCTCAGCTACATGTGGTTCAAATGCAGCTCGAAAACAATTAGAAACAGCCTAATGGTGCTGACTCATCGCAATTGAAACCCCGCGAAATGTCTGTTACACACCTTGAGGTTGCAATTTGCTTTTTGAAGGTGCAAATCTTTCTTATCTGTGCTCAATAATTCTTTTTACTTTTTCCAGGTACCGAAAAAGTGTGAAAAAAATGAATTACATCGAAAGGTGGGCAAAACGGCCGTCTAACCCGTTTACGGCCGTTTTTGACCCGTCCGCTTCCGTTCTGACTTTCGAAGTGCAAATTTACGGCCGTTAATCGACGGCCGTCCCCGTCAAACGGACGGTGCGCAGCCCTAATTTTGATATCGACAAAGTGGGTCGGCGTCGGGCCAGGTCAACGGTGGCCCAATAGGCTGTTTCACAGTAGGCCAACTTAGGTCCCAACTTTCATCTCAACTTGTGGGCCAACTTCAACAAAGTTGAGGAGGAAGTTGGCCAACTCTACCGTGAAACACCCTGAACTGCAGAAAACATAAAGTTGGGCTGATTTGGGCTCGGAAGGAATTCCGGATGCAGATTTCTGCCTATTTTGGATATGTGGGAAGTTTCAAGGTGAAGTTGGGCACCAAGTTGGGATCAGAGTTGGCTGCAAATCGGCGTCAGGACCACGATTTGCATCCCAACTTCATGAAGTTGGTCAAACTTTGTCCTTCCAACTTGGCAAAAGTTGCTCACCAAGTTGGGGATCAAGTTGGGACCTAAGTTGGCCTACTGTGAAACACCCTAATGTAGAAGTACTAGAGTTGGAGGCTGTGCTCCAACCACGATCAGAACACCTCGAATGTACCTTCCTTCTCAGATGGTCACTGAACTTCCAGTGGAGATATGGCTTCATATTGTTGGATTCATCCCAGCAGACGATCGCCGGAAGTTGGTCGGCGTCAACCGCGTCTTTTTCGAACTTATAATGGATGAGCTCTATGGCCAACTCAACTTCGTCAATTCCAATCCTTGGGAGTTGATAGAAACTCTAATGAGTCTCCAGTACGTCTGAAATTTTTTATGGGTGAAGCAGAAAATCAAAGCACCCTTTTCAGTAACTCCTTCCTGGCCGATAGGGTTCGTGTGCTGAAAATCTGGCCCGGTGCACTTTGCGACGCGATACACACAATGAAAGCCTTGAAAAAGCCTTTACAGATCCAGCGTCATAAGCCCGATGCTCCAGACCCCCATACTCGCCCTCCAGGAAGTTTGAGTTTACTCGTGAACAAAGTGTTCAAAAAGCGACCGACCCCAACCGACACATCACTACCGTCTCCTCCCGATGTACTTCCCCCTCCGGATAAACGGAAAGAGCTCTTCTTCGACGCTATTTCACGGCTCCACCGGGTCCATGAGCTCAGAATGTATTACCATGAAGAGCATGGTCGCTCGTTTCTCCACGATTACACAACAGGCATCTGGTCTGTGCATGGGAGGAACATCCGCCGGTTGGTGATAGAGATCCCATTTGATAATGCGATGGCTATTATCCCACGTACGGGGGTTTTGGAGATCCTTGAGGAGCTCGAACTTATCCTGCGTTGTAATCCGTCTGATGCATCTGCAAAGGATACCCTCTGTGCTTTCGTCAACGGCCTGGCCCCTACCCTCCATTCCCTTTCACTCAGATTCGTTAACCACAGTCCGTTATCCTTGATCGAAAGCCTTGAGTCTTTCCCTCGTATAAAAAAGCTTTCTATTCCCATGCCACTTAATGAGTATCACAGGCCTGATCACTCTCGTCTTCGCCGCTTTCTGTCTAAAAACGATACACTAAGAGACTTGCACATCTCGTATCCTTCCTGCTGTTCACCACATGCATGGAGGATGCCGCCGTTATTCCACCAAATCCAGGTGACGGTATCTTGCCCGGACACAACTTTACCTGAACTTTGCTCGCTGGAGCTCAGTCTGCGATCCCCTGCGCTAATCAGCAGGGAAGCAATTGACCTTTTTGCGGGTCTAAGTCAGAATCTGACCTCGTTGACGCTGACTAGCCGCACCTTTTCAGTTAGCACAATCGACACGATCTTGCTCTCATTCGAGAATCATAAGCTCAAAGAGTTGTCTCTCTTCTCTGAGCATCTCAGCGCTGAACTCATGGACACGTTTGTTCGTCGATGCCCCGAACTAATCAAGCTTGTTCTGGAAATTGAGGATGTGGTCGGTTCCGAAGCTGCTTTATTATTGGCCCAATATTGATGACCCCTACAGGAGCTCAAATTTATCAGTGCAATGGCGGAGAGAAGAGATCTCGAAGACCTACGAAAGCCTTACAAGGATTGGACTTTACAAGACCTTAGCATTTTACAGTGGGTATATGGTCACGGCCGTGGGCATAATTGGGCCTGCATGAGGGCAGTGGCTGACGTCGCGCCCACTATTCGAAGCTTTGCTGGCCAAGGAAACATGGAGGAAGCCTCCCTGCGGGGCTTGCGCCCTCAGCTAGTAATCGACCTGCAGCAAAGACCATCCGCATGGCAGAACTAGATGGTCATGGAAGTCAAAATGGCGGCAGAATAATGCTTTACTGTCACATTTATACCATATATAACCCCCTGTATTTGGTTCTATCGGGAACATGGATGATAGTCCATAGTGTTAGGATGGACGCCGAGGGTATGAGACTTTGATATTCCAGGTGTATAGGCATAATTTATAACCCGCTTGGTGGTATGTACAGTAGTAGTAAGTGATTGTTCCACTCCCTGAGTTGAACATCAACAGCAAAGCAAGTGCAGAGAAAAAATGCGAGAAGAACGAAAAGCCCACTATGTGGCTCAACCCGTTCACGAACCCTCTATCGTATGCTTCTCTGTTCTTCGACGACCTTCCACACCCACTTCATCAGCACCTCCTCCAACATGGCATCCCAACCCTCTTCCTTCCTCGCCACCATCTTCGCATCAAAAACTAGTGGTGGCTCCGAAAATCGCTGCTTGACGGGAGAACTCAACGGAGTTGCGATGGCTGCGCCTGGAGCGGGAGTATTGTTTGCTCCAGAACCATGCTTGAGCGGTTGGTAAGGAGTTTGAATGGGCAGCATGAATCGCAGCTTCAGCGCGCTGAGAAGAGGAAGAGCACATGAATCAGTAGAGCGTGTGGAATTGAGCATCGTACTAACCCAGCCCACAGGCGCAGATTGTCGGTCCTTCTAAACGTCCAGCCGCTCTTCTTTCCAGGAGCGGCGCTGGCTTCACCCTCCAAGTCAGCTTCCGCTGATTTCTCCAAAGCTATAATGTCGTGGATGCCGTCCTTGCTCACGTAGCCCCATGGCTTCTTTGACTTCCGGACACAAGAGTTGTACGCGGTGCAGAGCAGTTGACCAGATGAAAGGCTTTCAAGAAAGGCCTCTCGAGGTGAAGAGGGCTGCAAAGCGGGTTGGAGTGCGGGCGGAAGGAAGGATAGCAAAAGGGAGTGAGCTCGACCTAGACCATACGATGAGATAACGTTCGGGAGAGAGGAGAACAGCATACCGAGATTATCCTCAATAAAGTTGTTTTTTCGCGCCCACTCCGGAAGTTCGTCATCGTCTATGCTTTCATACTCCCCCACATCCTCTCCAATGTCATCCATCTGCTCCGGCTCTTCCGACAAGCTCATCCCTTCCATGAGGCCCACCATCCCCGTAGACACCCTCCGTCTGCCAACATCAGAAACCACCCCAAGGCTTATGCCTTCTCCATCCCCAGCGCTCACCCGCCGATTCTTCGGCCTTGGACCGCCCCTCGCCTTAAGCTTCCTCTTCTCCCTCTCCCAACCCCTCTCCGCCAAACCCTTTTTCGACCCGCCAAATAACACCTCATCAACAACATCCACATATGAAAGCAACACTTTCCTCTCCCTCTCCAAATCCTCTAGCTTCACGTCTTGCCTATACAACCACCCGTTCCCAACAACGAGTCTCTCGTCCCAAGGCTCCCTCTTCTCCTTCCCATCATCCTCGTCACCAAACACAAACGAGCTGTCTTCCTCATCTTCCCAAACCGGAATGCTCTCAAATCGGCCTTCCACCTGCACGAGGGAGTATGTTAAATATGGGTCTTGATCGATGCTACCAATATCGGATTCATCAGGCAACAACTCCATCGCTTCAGCCCCGCGAGAGTTGCCGCCGTCGCTTTGGGCATCGTACGCGTCGTCGCTGAGCGGTAGGCGACAAGTCTCCTCCAGCTCACGAAGGACAGTAAGCACTTCTAACGCGGATTTCCGGATGAGAGTTAGAGGGTCTGGGGACGAGGATGAGGGTAGATTCGTAGATTTTCCTGGTCCTAGTATCTTGGATCGGAATTGGGATCGTATCGTGCCTGCGGATTCGTCTGGGAGGGAGAGAACATAGTTTCGGACTGCACGTATGGCACGAGTTGTAGTTTGTAGTATGCCCAAGACGTCGATTGTCGTCGAAGTAGGGGTGGTGTTGTCGATGCACCAAGCGTGGGCCACCACAGAGAGATTTTCAATAACACCTGGAAGCAAAGACTCCGGGTTGACTTCGTAGGTCTTGACAAAGGGAGGAAAGACTGGGGGGTTGGGCACTACCGGTGATGGTGGTAGGAGGAACTCTTGTAAACTCCCTACAGAAGGCGGTGAACGAACGTGTGAGGTCCCGCCTATGGCTGGCACTAGCCCATAGTGCGGTTTATCTAGCTTTGGGCTGTTGCGAATCAGTAGAGAACAACGGCAACGATGACTGAGAACCCACTTCTTCTTCGCAGCGATCCCTGTCTTGGTGAAATAATGCTGCAAGTGTTCTATGCTCCCCAACGCCATAACGCTCCCGCGTTTCGCAGCACTGCGGCTGAAGGGTTTCAAAGGCTTGTTCGTCGAGTTCATGTTAGGGTAGAACGCGGTCTGTCGACGCGCTTTCTTCGCTGTTGCTACGTCTGGTGACGACGAGCTTCCCGCCCCTGTCGAATCGGGGGTAAGAATCATGGGCGTCGTTGATGCGGAGGAATCTGAAGTCATGTCCGGATATAATATGGATGGGGTCTATAAATGAAGGTAGTGGCCCAGTGGGTAAAAGGGAATATCGTAAGTGTATTACAACAAGATGGAAACGTTATTACGACCGTGTCAGACGTGGGAATAACACGACCCCTATAGGATCTAGTAGTGAAGTCACTGAAGTATGTAGCAGCCAAAGCTAAGGCTGGTTGGTGGAAAGGAGGACAGAGGATAAAACTTGAAATGGTGACCAATTAGTAGAATAGTCCGGACGAAGGCGACGAGTAGCCACGCGAGCAAAACCAATACGTTAGACGCAAAATCCCTCTCGATTGGGTGGAGGGGAGTCTTATTCCAGCCATCACTTTTGGAGCTGATCTTGTGGGCGACCGAATGTAAATATGAAGACTGCGGAGGCAAGATAAACTGCAGATCCACACATCTAGCATTGTCCAATCGACATTACTGAGGTGGCGTGGGTTGATCTCTAGTTCATAAGAGAGACTGAAATATATCTTGATCGTTTTCAATCGACTGGTCGGCAGAATTCGACGCAGAACCTTGATTAGTCTTAAAAGAGATCCACTGTCAAAAGCGAGATAAGGATCATAGAGGTGGTCAAGGTTCGAGGGAATGCTCAAATCAACATCCTTTACTGCGTCAGGACGATGGAGCGGTAGAAAGTAATGGAAAGACTTAAGAGACCCAGCCACGTTTTGCAGAAGTTTCTCGATCTCTTTCCTCCACCGGTCAGATGGGTATATTCCACACCCTCTGATAAAGAGGTATTCTAAGCTGGAAAGGTCGATCGACTGGGAGTCATGAAAACGAGTGAAAATAGCTGGGCCAGAGAAAGAAGCAAAGCCTCCAAGTTCGAGACGTTTCAGCGCCATTGGACGACCTGTGAAAGAAGTAGTCTGGAGCTGAGTGTGACGGCCCACGTCAAAGACTCTCAGATACTCCAATCCGCGAGATTTGAGTAACAATGACAAAGGAAAGTCCTCTATGGCTTTGATGATATCGATCCGGGTCACCGTCGGACGTTGGAGTGCTTTTAGAATCGTGGATTGCATGCGCGGAGGCATCTTTTGCCATAAAATTGGGTACAAGTCAGCGTTGTGCCGGTTGTGCAACTGTTCTGAAAGTCGTCGACTGTCACTGACTGTGACATTTCGCAACCAAACACAACCGCGACTTTGCGGGGTGCCAGGGGTGTCCTCATATATTATGTAATGTAATTTTAGGTGTAGACACTTCTGAGATTTCGAGGTGGATTTGACTTTCTCACGATCTACAGTTGACTGTGAGTCTGTGACCTAAGGTCGGTGACGCAGAACAACTGTCACAGGTAGCACGCAAAATGGATTGTGGTAGATACGGAACATGATATAGAGGAATCTAGAACAGTGGTAGATACAGAATATGATGTAGGAATAACTGTGCAGCGTTAGAAGACCGCGCAGTGCGATATAGCATATGCCCAGAGGTAGGACCCCATGGCACCGCGCAAAGTTGCGAACGTTTGACCGTTGACGACCTTTGGTGACTCTCTCACGATTTACGGTCGGTGACTGTGACCTCAGGTCGCCGACCCGCACAACACTGGTACAAGTCATAAACTCGTCTGAAGGTTATCGCGGTGATCAAGAGGTGTCAGATCGGTCGATCTGCTACGTGAATGATGGCAGGGTACCCCCCCACCTACCCCCCCAAATAAGGAAATACGGCAATGCGGCAGCGTTGATGGCATCCTATCATTCTTCCACCATCTCCAGACGCATCGTAGGCAAAACGACGCGTCCTCCTCGACATATCCTACAAAAACATGTCAAGGCTTGATGTATAATATACTTGTATATAGCTTATTTTCAGCATCAAATGTGCCTTCATCTGTTCATAGTTAACTCATCACATAACTGGGTTTCATTTTTCAGCGAAGAAACCAGCCTCTACTCGAGTGATGCATCTCCTGTGCCCAACCTACATCAAACATGGGTATGACCACACATCCAACCCCCTTTGTTGGCATCAAGCTGGTAGACCCTATAAACTCAGTACATCTGTTGTTGCATTGTTGCAGAGGATCCTTTCTTACTATCACCACATCAACAAAGAGCATGTCCAGCTCAAATGTCCTACAACAATCATGTTTTTCATCGATATCCTTCCTATACCAACACACTGTTATCTTTATTGACTTTCGCTGAACTTTTCTCTTTGTGAATCAGTCGCTGCTGGTGATCCTATTGATGAGCCATCACTTTGCCGCTGACATACCGACCCTCGGAAATTACCGGTGTCAAGCTCGCGTGGCCAGATCACACGTCGCAAATCGACCGATCTGACACCTCTTGGCGGTGATGTGTTGGAATGAAGAGAGAATATGGATGAACGCGTAATCCCATGGCGCTGGCACGGAAGGATCTATTCGAAATGATGCGTCATCTAATATATCCAGGTGTCGCACATAATCGACAAGGTGGGGCGATTCGCGGAGGAGCTCGAAAAACACCTTTGCCGAACCGAAGGGCGGATCTTCATGTTTAGACTCCAGCATTGATGGGATAGTTAATGACACCTGGTAGAAAAGCTTCCTTTGTGCGAGATGGCGAAAAATTGCAGACACTGTTGAACAACGTTGGATTGCGGCCGAGTCGAAGTGAAGGCAATCAAATATCGTGGCGAAGAGCTCTAGAGGCAATTGAGTGCACATGGTGGAAGGAAAGAAAGGAGGTACTTATGACGGCAATTGCTTGAACGAAGTTTACCACGTGCATCGGATAGGAGACTTGAGCTTGAGATACCGTCTTGGACTCGGACTGTTTTCATTTTCATTTTTCAAGTTATCACTGGGGATCACCGTGGATCATGTTGGAGTCTTCCAGTAGGTCGGAGTCGGATGTTTGCAGTGATCATGATATCGATATTTCAGAAGATACAATTTCTGCTGTGCCAGTGAGTCCCCTCGCCATCGCGACCATGTGCTGTTAATTCCTCCCTTCTCTCGAAGTACCCGTTCGACATAGATCTCCTGCCACTTTGATTCCTCGGAAGCTCTCGTCGTTAGTGACTCAGTATGGTTGAAAAAAAGGCAAGAATTCTGGAGTCCGCCCCTCGGCGGTGGCGGCCCCGATCTCGAGACCACCGCTGCTCAAACAGCATCACACGAAGCTGACCCCTAAAGCTAAAGCCAACGGATTCCTCTCCCCTTTCTCCCTCCCTCGCCCCATAAACCTTAGTATACTTAAAAAATGTCCAGACCTCTGTTCAGATAAACCAGACCGATGAGGTTATTGTGTATGGAAAAGAAAAGAGCAAAAAATGAGGAGACGTGCTTGGATCCAAACGGCAAACTTCAAATTTTGTGGGTAGCCCCCTTCGCTTGTTCAATATTAACGAGGCGTCGACAAGAAGCTGTCATTAAGCAGAAATCGCTCATCGTCCCTCCCGATCACCACTCAACAGCTGGCTCCCTTCGTTGTCCTAATTAAACATTTGAAAAAAAATAGTTAAGAGGTGTCGAAACCTCTATCCTAACCAACCAAGGAAGCTGATGCAGCGAAGGGAGAAGAATTGAAAGTGTTATGTGAGTTGGTATCGACGACGTTGTCAATGAGTACTTCTTAGAAAAACAGTGACTGCTGGGTAGCCGTGCAAAACCAGATTGTGACTCGCAAAATGCCTTTTGATTGCGCGCAGGGAAGTAATCCACCCAGCATCCTTAAAATACTTCGTGTGGTCGTCCGGATGTAAATATGACAACTGCGGAGGTTGGGTAAAGCGCAAATCAACGTATCTAGCACGCCCCAGTCGATATCCCCGGGATATGAGGGGACATGCATATCGAGGTTGAGATGTAGCTTGATGGTATTGATTCGACTGCAAGGCGGGATACGTCCAAGACACTTGATGAGCCAAGGGAATCCATTATCAGCGAGGTTGGTCGAGATCCTTAAGCATTCGAGGTACGAAGGAATGCTCAAGTCCAGAGTAGAAGAGTCAAAATCATGACGTCGTGCTTTGGGCATTATCAGAAATGGAAATCGTCAACTTCATGTAGTGCTTACCATGTCGAGGCCGAAAATAGTGCAGGCACTTGAGAGAACCAGCCACTTTTCGCAGAAATGCCTCTGTCTCCTTTATCAGCGAGGGCCACGTTCGATCCATTTCGACGCGAAGTGATGTTAATTGGGAAAGGTCGACCGACTCAGGGTCACGCGTAAAACGAAAGACCTTGCCGCCCGACAATGGAGTGGTCTCCCTGAGCTCGAGACTTTTCAGCGCCATTTTTTGAACTGGTGGAGAAGGCTTGAATGGCAGAACTCGCTCCCAAGCCTCCAAATCAAAAACTCTCAAATGCTTCAACGCATGGGAATCGACCAACAACTGCAAATGGAAATCAGCAATGGTGTCGAGAATTTCAACCCGAACCACCGTCGGACAGCGGATTGATTCTAGAATCGCGGTTTGCATGTTGGAAGGCAGATTCGCCCATTTGATTTTCGAGACGCGCCTTCTGAAGATTATTGCGGAGAGGTGTTTAAAAGAAGACAGAATGTGGATAAACGCATCGTCCCCTTGCATGGTGAAAGCATTCATCTGTCTCGTATACCCGTCATCTGTGATATTCAGCCGTCGCACATAATCAAGGAGATGAGGAGATTCTGCAAGGTGCTCCAAAAGCACCTCTGCCGAACCGAAATTCGGTTGTTCAATGCCTGATGGAATGCTAAGGGACACCTCGTAGAAAATCTTCCTCTGGGCTAGAGAGCGGAAAGTAGACGACACTGTGGAAACGCTCTGGAGGGTGGTAAAGTCGCGATGAAGGCAGCCGACGATAGTGTCGAAGAGCTCTAGAGGAAGCTGGCCTTTCATGATGGAAGGCACGAAGGAGGGTATCTGAGTTGAAGATTGAGAACAAATGATTGATTCTGAAAATCAGTGATTGAAACCAGGGGGCCGTCATTGGAGAAATCCGTGAGATCGACTGTGAGAGAAAGCACGTGCATTCTGAAAGGCAGCTGCACTCGCCTGCACCGCGCTATCCAACCACATATTGATTTCTTTTTCAGCTGCGCCGGAGCAGACGCTCTGACCGATACACGGCCATTATCAAGCCTTTATTTAAGTATAAAATCTACCATTTTGCAAACTCTGCAGACGTGCGCAATTGGTGCGCAAGTTGCGCAACTACGTTAAATATCCCACTCAGTTACTATATGTACGAATGAAAGACGGCATTTATCCTACAACCACAATAGATATAGACACCGGAATTCACCAGGTTGAATGTCGTCTGCCAGGAGGAGATCACATTGACACAACCGCATTTCACCTCTCCTCTTTACCCGCACCACCCGAGCACCTGGTCCATTTGCTAGCATACTTATCCTTCCGACCCCATCTTTGCGCTTTCAGAAAAAGCCTTGCCATGATTTGTTATCGCGTTTCGGACTCTTGAGGGATGTCCCATTTGGAACACACGTGCTTTCTCCCACGACCTGACTGTACCAGTCGATTTCACGGATTTCTCCGATGACGGCCCCCTGAACATGTATGTAAACGGATCAGACGTGGGAATAGCCCTACCCCTAAGGTATCACCAGAATCTAGTAGTCAGAGACAGAAGTTGGGCAGAAGTTATGTAGCTGCTAGCCAAGCTAAGGATCAAACTTGAAACGGTGGCCAATCTGGATGGTCCGAACGAAGTCATCGACGGGTAATGTGGGCAAAACCAATACTTGACCAATACGTTACTCGTAAAATCCCTCCTGATTGGGTGAAGGGAAGCCTTATTCCAGCCAATACTTTTGGAGCTGATCTTGTGAGGGACCGAATATAGATGTCGCAACTGTGGAGGCAGTTTAAACTGCAAATCCAGGCATCTAGCATTGTCCAGTCGAGATTACCGAAGTGGCCTGGGGTGACCTTTGGTTCATAAGAGATACTGAAATATATCCTGATCGTTTTCAGTCGGCTGGTCGGTGGAATTCGACGTAGAGCATTGATTAGTCTTGTAGGAGGTCCACTGAGTTGAAGAGTATATAGGCAGTGGAGGGAGATTCTCAAGCATTCGAGGTTCGAGGGAATGCTCAAATCAACATCGTTTACTGCGTCAGAAGACCCAGGTAGAAAGTAAGTAATGGAAAGACTTTAGAGACCCAGCCACGTTG